CAGTTGGCCATTCCCTAACCTGAAAAGCGGGGCCATAAAACCACCTTCCTCAGGGGGCTGGGCGAAGATGGCTGCCCTCGGCACTGTCGGCCTGTGTCTGTCTCCCCTCTCTGGGGACGGAGTCAGCCAAGACGGAGTGAGTGAGGGTAAGGTCTCCACGCCCCACACTTCTAGGATGAGCCTTGCGGATGTGGGGAACACCCAGCCTGCTGGCCACAGGAGACCCACTAAATCATTTAGTCTGGCCCTGCAGAAGCAACCGCAGGCGAGACTCAAAATTCAACAAATCGGTAACGAGCTAATTTTTAAGTTGACGGTTTCTTATGGCCGACAAATCATGTTATAAGTCCAAATGACTCTTGGCAGGGGACCCTTCCGCGCCCCTGGAATACAGCCACAAATATATTTTTAATGTGAAATATAGCATACAGTTGTTCTGTTTCCGAGATTCCCCAGAGGATGCCTGAAAATGTAGATATAGACACTACAGAAACTCACCCTATGGCTTTTCCTAAATAGCCTGTAGCATTACCAATGGAACCAGCATGAACTTGACCTTCCATGCTTTAGGCTCTGGTGCCTCCTTTACATAACTTTGTACTCTGGCTTACGTCCACGTAAAAGCAGGAGTGCTTGCACACAAGCACTGTGACACCATGACAGTCCATCTGAGTGTGGAGAGAGTACTCGGTGACTACCAGGAGCGTAGCATATACAGCATGGACCTGCTGGACACGTGGGGTCATTTATATCCCAGGCAGGACAGAGTGGGACGAAAAGAGATTTCATCATGGTATACAACTTAAAAAATTATGAATTATTTCTGGAGTTTTTCATTGAGTACGTTTAGACAATAGGTGACAGCAGGCAACTGAACTTCAGAAAGTAAAACAAGTAAAACATGTGGATAAAAAGAAACTAGATAATTCTGTATCTATTTAAAAAAATAATGTTGTTGGGAATTCGTCACTCCCTGATGTCACAGCACCTCCCTTGCCATGAGTTAGTCCACAGTGCAGGCAGCCCTGGCCTCCTAGGACGGCTGTGGAGCTTAAGGGAAAAAGGAATTGCAAAATACCTGATAGGCAGAAGGTTAACTTGCCCGCTGGTGCCATTTGCCTCCCTTGTGGGTGAATCCAGAGGAAGGAGTGCCACCCTGTGCTGTAGGCACTGAGTCTCCCCAAAAAGCCACCGCAGAGAAGCTGGTGCTCAACCATGGCATGTGTCACAGTAGCAGAAAATTGAGTGTTGTCTGTCTGGCCCCTGCGGAAGGAGTCCTGGGGGCACTGGCCCTTCCAAAGCTTTGGGGACATGTGGACGTGCAGCAGGTCCAGCAGCTGCAGCAGAGTGCCTGTTTGAGTCCTGGCTGCTCCACTTCCAATCCAGCTTCCTGTTCATGTATCATCCCAGGAGGCAGTAAATGATGCTCAAAGTGCTTGGACCTCTGTACCTACATGGGAGACCCAGGTAGAGCACAGGGTCCTGGTCAATTAACTTGCTTCTCTCTCTCTCTCTCTCTCTCTCTCTCTCTCTCTCTCATTTCAAGTAGATGAGCCATAGTAAATAATAATAATAATAAACATGGAAAAGCTTGGTGGGGAGCTGTGGGTGGGTTGGGGGAAAGATGTCTGTACAGTGGTCAGGGTGTCATGTAGGAGGCCCTGAGTGCTTACACCCCAGGTCAGAGTTCACACACTCAAGGCCAGGATCCACTTACAATTCCAGGCACCTGCTAACGTGCACCCTGAGAGGAGCACATGAAATACCTGGGAGACCTTGGGCTGAGTTCCGGGCTCCTGACTTCAGTCTGGCCCATCCCTGGCTGTTGCGGGCATTTGGGAAGTAAACCTTTGTATGGAAGATCTCTTGTTCTCGGTCTCGCCTCAAATAAAATAAATAGAAGTTTTTAAAATAAAAGGAAAGATTCTTGAGGGACCACATGTCAAGGGCCAGCGGGCGATGGCCACCCTGTGTTGCATTTACCTCCCACTAGGGGGCAGCATCTTCCCCATGGTCATCGCCTCTCCCAGGAAGCCTCTCTACCCCATCTCTCTGTCTTTCCTGTACTTTAGAACTTTGATACAAGTTATCAGCTGAGGAATGGGCGTGGGATCAAGAACCAGGCCAACCAGAAACAGAGGGCTATTCTTCCCAGGAAATAGTCCCAGAGGGGACAGCTAGCTGCCCCCCATCAGGTGCGTGGGATGTTCCCATGAGGTAAGAGCATAGAGAGAAATGGAGCCAAATGCCATGATTTGAGCATTGATGCTATCAAGTGTTAGATGTATGTACTTTAAAAATGGAAATACTAAGGACCCAGCACAGTAGCCTAGTGACTAAATCCTCACCTTGCACACACTGGAATCCCATGTGGGTGCCAGTTTATGTCCTGCCTGCTCCACTTCCCATCCAGCTCCCTGCTTGTGGCCTGGGAAAGCAGTCGAGGACGGCCTAATATGCCTTGGGACCCTGCACCCACTCAGGAGACCCGGAAAGAAGCTCCTGGCTCCTGGCTTTGAATTAGCTCAACTCCAGCTATTGCAGACACTGGGGAAGTGAACCAATGGAAGATCTTTCTCTCTGATCTGTGAATCTGCCTTTCCAATAAAAATAAATAAATATTTTTAAAAATATAAAAGTCAAAATACTGAAAAGGTTATCATGAAAAGAACCAACAATTCTCCCCCACCCCACCCTGACAATCAGGAATCTTGAGCTTTACTGACTACTTCTTCCAGCACGAAGCTCCCTTCCCTGTGGGATGATCTGGTGCTAGTATTCTTACTTTTAACATTCATTGATTTTTACATGAGAGTCAAATTTACACAGAGAGAAGGAAAGAGAGAGATTCCATCCTCTGGTTCCCTGTCCAAATGGCTACCATTTGAACCCCGTTTCTTCCAGGTCTCCAATGGGGGTGCAGAGGCCCAAGAACTTGACCCCTCCTTCACTGCTTTCCTAGGCTATAGGCTGGGAGATGGATCAGAAGTGGAGCAGCCAGGATTTGAACTAGCATCCATGTTGGATGCCAGCACTGCAGGCAGATGATTGGCATACTAAGCCACTGCAGCAGCCTATGGTGCTACTTTGGTTGTTGTTGTTTTGTTTTTTAAGATTGATTTTATTTTTTTTATTGGAAAGTCAGATTTACAGAGAGGAGAAGAGACAGATCTTCCATCCTCCAATTCTCTCCCCAAGCTGCCGCAATAGCCGGAGCTGCACCAATCCAAAGCCAGGAGCCAGGAGTCTCTTCCAGGTCTCCCACATGGGTGCAGGGTCCCAAGGCTTTGGGCTGTTTTCAACTGCTTTCCCAGTCCACAAGCAGGGAGCTGGATGGGAAGTGAGGCACAGGGATTAGAACCGGTGCCCATATGGGATCCTGGTGCATGCAAGACAAGGACTTTAGCCACAAGGCTACTGTGCTGGGCCCCCAGTGCTACTTTTTAATGAGTCCCTGCAGACATTGCTAGCTGGTTTCTTTCTACGGCAGACAGGGATACTGCCCCATTTCATCTCCTTCCATCTTCCCAATATAACTACATCATAATTTTGGTTACCTTGGGAGTCAGTCTAACACCAGTTTGATTATGTAGATATTGTTGATTTCAGATGCTATCTATTTCACAGTATTTCAGTTTCCTTTGTTGGTAAATGTTAATTTTTCAGCAGTCAAAATTTTCTTGTTTTCTCATGTTAGGAGGATTTTAAGGTTAGAAGCTAAACTTCCCTGTATCTTTTCCTCTCAATTTATGCCTGGCTTGGGGCCATCCTCCACTGCTTTCCCAGGCCACAGGCAAGGAGCTGGATCAGAAGTGGAGCAGCTGGAATACCAACTAGCACTCATGGAATGCCCGGGTTTACAGTCAAAATATTATCTGGTTAAGCCACCTTGCCAGCCCCAATACTAATTTTCTGATACAAAGGAAAGTATTTTTCTGAATTTTTCTAAAAACATTAAAAATGAGAATTGGAAAGACAAGCCTAGGATTATTTAGATAATGTTCATACTTTCTGAAATTTTCTAAAAGCATTGAAGATGAGAATTGAAAGACAAGCTTATGTTTATTTTGATAATTTTTAAACGCCAATTTAAAAATATTCATGTTTATTCTTTAAAATCATGTTCATGTTAAATTTGTATTCAGGGGTTTATATTTTTAAAAGTGAGGAAGGAGGGCCCAGCACAATAGCCTGGTGGCTAAAATTCTCACCTTGCATGCACCGGGATCCCATACAGGTGCCGGTTCTAATCCCAGCAGCCACACTTCCCATCCAGCTCCCTGCTTGTGGCCTGGGAAAGCGGTCAAGGACGACCCAAAGCCTTGGGACCCTGCACCCACGTGGGAGACCCAGAAGAGGCTCCTGGCTCCTGGCTTTGGATTGGCACAGCTCTGGCCGTTGCGGCTGCTTGGGGAGTGAATCAGCGGATGGAAGATCTTCCTCTCTGTCTCTCCTCCTCCCTGTAAACCTCCCTTTCCAATAAAAATAAATGAATCTTTATTTTTTTTCAAAGTGAGAAAGGAGAGGAGCATTTAGCCTACCAGCTGGGATGCCCATATCCCACACTGGCACAGCTGTGCCCAGTACCCCACTCCAGCTCCTGCTGGTGTCGACCCTGGTGTCGGCAGGAATGGCTCGAGTCATTGCGTTCCTCCCATGCATTCGAAAGCCTTGAACTGAGTGCTTGATTTTTAGATTCAGCCCTTATCTTGCCCCTGTCATTGTGCGATCGCTCTCTCGCTCTCTCTTCTCTGACTGGAGAAGTCTGTCCTATGCAGTTGCTGGCTGGATTAAGTAAAACCATGTTTGTGAAGTTCTTAGCACAGGAAGTGCCCCGGCAGGTACTCACTGCACGGTCTCCGACAACGGCCGGCTATGTCAGTCATCTCCATCTCCCAGCTCCTCTTTTCCAGCCTCGATGGCGGGTGGTGGACACGGGTCCAGCTGGGCACGGCCCTGGGGTGGGGAGGGTGGCTGAGCTGCCCTGGCATGCCCCGCAGGTGGCGGCGGAGTACTTCAAGAACACCACACTGCTGCTGGTGGGCGTCATCTGCGTGGCGGCCGCGGTGGAGAAGTGGAACTTGCACAAGCGCATCGCTCTGCGCATGGTCCTGATGGCCGGAGCCAAACCGGGCATGTAAGTTGCACTCAGATCACCCCACTGGGGTTCCCCGTCTGCCGCAGGGTCACAGTAGGATGTCCACCCCAGCCTGCTTTTCTGCTAAGGAGGTTGGGGTGCCACCGACTGCCATGGAGCCCCCTCATCTCCTACGGTGAGTGGGCCAGTAAGCATGGATGAGAGTTGAATCTATGACCTGGATGTCATTACCGTCCTAGTCTAAAGAAGGACCCAACAAATTACGAGGCAAGGGAACAGCTCAGAGCATATGAGGGAATTCCAAGGGGGTTTGTGGGGGAAATGGAATTAAATGATGAGTTTATTTGGATGCACAGTCTTGCTGACAGCCATGCATTATTTTTTTCATAATACACGTTTTCCATGAGCTTTGTCGGAACCCCTTATAGGTGTGGATGCCCCTTGGAGAGCATGCTCCTGTCTTCCAACTAGCCCAGTGGAGCAACGGGCTGCTGCGTGAGCCCATGTCCTCCTTGCCCATATCCAGGCTCCTCAGCACCCAATGGCACTGCCTCATGTCATGTTGGCACTCTAGCTCTTTAAAACCCCTGTGCGCCAATTTCAGGGACTTTCAACCACCTGCTGAACATACCTCTACAGTTCCCTATTCATCGCATCGCCCAGCAGGCATCACTCAGCCCCTACGTGCAGGAATGGCAAAGTCAAGTGGCTGTCCCCTGAGCAGAAACACCTCGGGGGGCAAGCCTCGCAATTGTGCAGTGAGGCGCTTCGTCTCAGACTCTCAACACAGCTGGTCTGTGTGTGTTTCATGTTCCAAGAGCAGGATCCATTATCTGTACAGCCGCACACTGCTTAATGTTTCCAAACTCAGTGAGAAGTAATTTGAAGGTTACCTGTGTTAGCACTGCCCTTCACACATTGACTCCGAGGCACGGGCGGAAAGGTGCAGCGGCTCGTGCCTGTGTCCTTGGGGGCTGTTCCTGCAGCACGCGGACAATGATGAGCAGCAGGCAGGAGTGTGGGCTGTTGGTCACCAGTTACTATGTGGCTTGGCCACACTCAGAGTTACTGATTGCAAGGGCAGAAAGGAATTCCTCGATGCCCCCAAACGCTCACATCACTTCCAAGCTCCACTCATCTCCAAGTTCTGCTCATCTCCATAGAGAGGGAGGAGCGACTGGAACACCCACCTCTGGCCTTACCATCAAAGAGAATTCATCACATAAGTGAGGGCTTTTATTCTGGCTAAAGGCGCTAGCTTCTCAAGTGCGATTCAGTCATTCAGCAAGTACTATTTTAATGCTTACTCTGTGCCAAGCCATACAATGCCAAATGGCACGCTCGAAGGTATACATAAGGCCTTATTTCGGTATAAAGGTCGGTCCCTGCTCTGCAGCTCTCACCACTGGACTGGCAGGAGGTGCCAAGGTGCTCTGGGAGGTCTGTGGGCACTGGGCACAGGGTGGACATCCACCTGGCCCACTCTGGCTAACTCTACTGGGCACCAGGTAGATGTCCTTCCAGTCCACTCCGGCCCACTCTGCAGGGCTGGCAGGAGGTGCCAGGGTGCCGGGTAGATGGCCGTCTTGCCCACTGCAGCCCACTCTGCAGGGCTGGAGGAGGTGCCAGGGTGCCGGGTAGACAGCCGTCCTGCCCACTGCAGCCTGCCCCATTGCCTTTCAGGCTGTTGTTGTGTTTCATGTGCTGCACCACACTGCTGTCCATGTGGCTGTCCAACACGTCCACCACCGCCATGGTGATGCCCATCGTGGACGCCGTGCTGCAGGAGCTGGTCAGTGCCGAGGAGGAGCAGCTCGTGGCGGGCAACTCCAGCACCGAAGAGGCCGAGCCCATCAGTACAGTTTGCTGGAGTTCATCTCCCCTTTGCCCCTCCAACCTCCCCACTCCTGCCTTGGGTCCCCCTCTTGGGATGGTGCCCAACTTGGTGCCCATGGCCCCCTCATCTATACTCCCCCTCTCATCTTCCCTACCCTCCCTTCCCCACCCCAGCCCTGCTACCCTGAGGCTTCCTGGGCCCCCAAACCCAGCCCTTCCTTCCCCTCCTTACCTCCCCCATCCCACCCCACCCCCTGGCTGCTCCTTGTCCCCAGTGCTCAAGGGTGGGGCTTTGAGCCCCGCTGCACGTGCAGAGTGGAGGAAAGGAGAACTGTCACCCACCACCCCGCCAGCCCCACCCCGATCCCCTACCCCCAGTGGCGCCCCAGCCTCCACACAGCACCGCATGTTTTTCTTTGCTTCTGTAGGTGTTGATGTGAAAAGCAGCCAGCCTTCCCTGGAACTCATCTTTGTCAATGAAGAGTGAGTACGACTGCCTTCCCCCCAGGCAGAGCCGCTCAGGGCCCTCTGCAGAGATGGGGAGGAGATGGACCCCAAGTCCCCAACCTGCCACACCACCAGCCTCCCCAGGAGCTCTTGCCAAGAGTTCAAGGGTGGCCTGACAGGATGACATAGTGGTGAGCAGGAAAGTAAAAGACCAGTTGTAGCTGAGGACTTGTCATACAGGACTGTCCAGACAATTACCCAGTATGCAGGATTTCATCGAAAATGATGTCCCTTTTAGGAGCCTGATAATGGAAAAAACTTAGAGTGGATGTCACTGGAAACTTCTGGAGAATCACAAAGTATTTTCCAGATAGCAGATGCAGCCTTACCAGATTTGGTCTTGCTCTACAGGGCAAAGGAATGGTGAGGTGATGGTGATCACAGCCAGCTGTTGGGAGATGGTGATGGGCATCGGAGGGGAGAAATAGCCCGGCATTCAGGGAAAAGCTAGCCATGAACAGCTGGCTGCCTTGGTGATGCTGTATCAAAATGTGATTTCAAGGTGGTTTGAAATGGAGACCGTTTCTCCTTTAAAATGGAGCACTCACACTGAGTGGAATGGAACAGAGCAGTGCCGCTGGCTACCTGCCTGGCTTTTCCTCCCTCCACCTGTGTCAAACATGGTCCCAGTGCATTCCCCTCCACCCTGCCACCTCTGAGCCCATCACAGGCCAATCTCACATCTCTCGAGGCTCCTTTTCGGAGCTTACAGTGATCTCATTTTCAGAAACACAGCCGTCTAGTCCAACTACGTAGCAACACTTCAATCTTTCATCCAAAGTTCCAGCCCAGCCTGAGTCCAGCTCTGCAGAAGAAAAGAGGGGATAGTAAGACGGGGGGGGGGGGGCATTGGCCTTCTTCAGTCCCCCGCCCACTTCACCCTCCACTCCCTCTGTGGCCTCTGACTTCTTCAGTGTTAAAGCCAAGGCTGTAGGCTGCAGGAAGACGCAGAGACACAAAGGAAATGGGCTGGTGCTTTCACACAGAGGCAGGGTACGCTTCCTTGAGTCCCAGCGATGGGACCTCTGCATCATTCCGGGCCCGGGAGCTGGAATGCACCCTTCCCTGGCCACTTGGCTGTCTCCTGCTTGCCCTGAAGGATCACTCCCCAACGAAGTTTCACTTTGTTACCGGCTGCTTCTTGGGTAGAGCGTTTCCCAGCAGGTCCGGCCCCAAGGAGGGTGGGCAGCACCCCTGCCTGTTGGTCACTGAGGCTGCTGCAGCTCATTTCCCAGCAGGTCCAGCCCCAAGGAGGGTGGGCAGCACCCCTGCCTGTTGGTTACTGAGGCTGCTGCAGCTCCTCACCATACTGGCTTTTGCCTTTTCCCTGTCCACATACAAGCCACCTGCCTCCAGCTCCGAAGCCAAAGCTAGAGCATCCCTCTGTGCTGTGAGGATGGCACCCGGCTATCACCAGCCCCTCCTGGGCCCTTGCCTCCATCTTGGACCCATTCAGGAAGCAGTCAAGGACACATCACAGCATGTTCTCCAAAGAACAGTTTCCCTGGAACCTTACCTCCTCTTATCCCTCCATGAGGGCCTAGAGATGGGTAATGGCTGCAGGATGCTGGGTCCTACGGGTGCGCATGCAGCCCTCTCCTCTGCCTTCACAATGGGTGAGCCATGGGCACCCATGGTGCTCACAGCTGAGACCACCCAGAGGCACCAGTGCATGGAGCTCTCATCTTCTCTTTCTCCAATTAGGGGGCAGCCAATAGTTACAGGAGGGACTCCATGTGTGCCATCGCCGTTCTTCACCTGCCACACACACTCTCCTGTCTTCTCATTCTTATTCGCCTTCTTCTGGCTTTGGCCTTCTTAGATAACCATCTTTCGGTTCTTTTTCTATATAGTGGTCTTCTGGAGTCAACCTGGGCATTCTTGGTCAGGGCACAGGCTATCCATCGGCACAGAGAGGGCTTCCATCTGCCCATCACTTGGATGCTGGTGCCAAGGAAGGGTATGAGTGGAGGTGGTTCCACCTGCAGTGCAGCTCTGTTGGAAGAGTTAACACTCTCGAGAGGGTTAGTGTCTACATTTAGGGGCTGGTGCTCTCTGCCGCAGCTCACAGGCCACCTGAGATGTCCACATCCAATGCTTGAGTTTCAGTCTCCCCCTGGCACATGCGCTGGATACCAGTGGGTGATGGATCAGGTACTTGGATCCCTGCCCACCTGGGAGACCTGGCATCACCCAGGCCCGGCCCTGGCTGCTTCATGTGTTTGAGGAATGAGCCAGCAGATGGAAGATCCTGTGTTCCCTCTCTCTCTCTCTCTCTCTCTCCCTTTCAAATAAACAACCCAATAGAGCAAATCAGAGGCAAAGGATATCACACTGAAAAAAGAAAAAAATGTATATAATTACTGTTAGGCATCTAATGAGTACCTCATGCCCACCAGTAGGAGTATTAGTATCGTCAGGAAGAATAAAATCCTTGGCTCCACAAACCCTTTCGGCATCGCAGAAGGGAAGGGAGGGAAGGGGACAGAGGTCCTCTTTGCATGCTAGAAAAGTGGAGTCCTAGGAGTTGAAGTTCTGAGCACCAACTAGCTACCCAGAGTCAGGGAGACACCTGCCACCTCCTGAAATCTTCCCCAGGGCTGCCATTCTCACGGTCTCTGCTTCCTTCCAGCTCGTCCACCGCAGACTTCACTTCTCTGATGCACCACAAGGTAAGGCCCTGGAGCTTTCTGTGCTTCGGAGTCACTGGCAAGTCCCTTAAGATGACCCAGGGGTCGGGATGCGGGTAGCTTGCTCTATGGCCTCCGTGGATGTAAGCAGTAGGGAGTGTTCTCGGCAGCCTACACACAGCAAGGACAGTGGGGTTCCTGGCAAAGCGTGAGGCACTGCAAGCCCTAACTCCAAGCACTGTGTTTAGCCACACAGAGGTTTGTTGGCTTTCACAGGAGCCCAAGATGCAGCCTGCCGTGTTTCCCAGAGCTGAAATTGATCTTAGGATTCCTTAGGCTGAGGAATCCATTCACGGAAGTCTTATTAAAAGGGTGCTGTGTGTGAGGGACAGCAAAGCCTGCCTGCACACAGCTGCTTGAATTCACCCTTCTACACACACATGCAGCTGCTCAGTGTGACAGATGTCCCTGGCTACTAAAGCTATGGGCTTTGTTAGGGAGCATCCAGCCACCACCACCACTGCCTTCGCCCAGTTTCTTAGTACTAAACAAACAGAAAGGGCCCACTTTCGCTAAGGAAGCCTCAGAAGCAGAGCGGGCTCTGGCAAAAGGACGTTCAGCCAGGTTTCAGAAGCCAGTTTAGGAGTGGGGTTCCTGCCAGGCCACACAGGAAGTTCTGTAAAGATGGGGGCAGGTGGACTGGGCACCTGCGTGGCATGTTCTCCCCATTCTGGCCTTGGATCCCCACAGCCAGGGGCAGGAGGCTCATCAAATCTCCTTCCTCATCCCAGCATGGCCTTTGTTCCAACAGAATGTGAATGGAGCGCCCACAATCACCACCACCATCAAAACAGCAAACCAGCACCAGAGCCGGAGGCAGCACTCGACCCAGGTGAGAGACCTGCACCTTCAGGCCCTGGTTTCTAGGGAAAAATGCCACGTGCTTTCAAAGGCAGGAGGACACTCGGCTAGTGAGCGTCACCTGGCACTCTTGATGCACGTCCCTGTGTCTGGCTTGTGAGGGTCCAGCTCACCTGACTTCAGCAAAACACCCCACTGTACGAGCATCAGTATCTTCCATCCTAAAAGAGAGAATTGGTCCAGGGTGGAGGGGCTCAAGCTAGTCCCCAAAGCCGCTTCAGGAACCCTGTAGGCGTCAATGACAGGCTGGTTGTCTGCCATTATCATACAGTACAGACATCAGATGAATGCTAACACTTGTACCCCATGGCACCTGTCACCAACAGCTTCTGACTTCAAGTTTTTGCATTCATCCACAGTCTCAGTTGTTTGGCATCGGCATAAGCAAATATCCCCATTTCTTGAAAACATCCTGCAAGCACTGTGCTAGGCCTGTTCTGTCTAGTCTGGCCTCAGGGAGGTAGGAGTGACTTTGAACTCAACGAGGTAGTAGTGAGTTTGCGCTATAGTGAGGCAGAGAGGTATCATGAACCTAAGACCAAAGAGTGATTAAAGGAAGCATCTGGCCCAAATCACTGGCCACATACAAACAGTTGCCTGGTTCATGTCCAGTTATGAAATAGGCAGACGCCATCCAAATGCTTCATATATGTTTGATATAATAGAGTTCAAGGTAAAAATTTCACTGGATGGAGGGCTCATAGAAAACCACCGGTCCAGATAATAAGGGCTGCTCCTGCTTTGATGATCCAGGGATCTCTGAGATGGCTGCAAGGCCAGCTTACTTTGGCCCTCCTAGGAAGAGAGGGCAGTGGTTAGGCACCTTGAGATATGTCCCAAGGTGGCATCTTCCCCTCTGCTTTTCCCAAAACCTCACCTACTGACCTCGGTGTCCCTGTCCAGGACCCAGGGACTCCGTGAGGGTGGCCAGCCCTGAAGGAGGCTGGAGGCACTTGTTTCTTAGTCCCTGCTGGAGAGCGGAGGCAGCATTTGCTTGGCCCCTGGAAGCTGTTATCTGCACCAAGGGGCGCACAGCCTATTGTTCAGAAACAAACCATACCTTCAGGATTAATAAGCACCAAACAATCACCAAAAAATAAAATAAAATAACCACGGGGGTGGGGGGAACCCGCTAGGAAGTTGTTTGAGTGCTTGGCCTGTACGGCTTCCTTTATTCCCCCCAGCAGTGAGGCAGAGGAAAACTCAAGGTGCCTCCAGTCACAGAGGAGGCTGCAGCCTGGCGGCATAACCAAGTGGGTTCAATGCCGGAGTGTGGCCCCTGTCTCTGTGATCGCCGAGCTCAGTACCTTCCCACCATACCCGGGACCCCTCCACCCCGCCACTCCTGCTGTGTGTGCCCGCGCTGGGTTCAAGATTCTGACCCCTGTTCCTTTGGTAGGGAAAGCCCCCAGCCCGGGCCCCCAATGCCAGGACCCAGGAACTGAGCAGGAAGTACAGGTCCCAGCATGACCAAATGGTGTGCAAGTGCCTTTCTCTGAGCATATCCTACGCGGCGACCATCGGAGGCCTGACCACCATCATCGGCACCTCCACCAGCCTCATCTTCCTGGAGCATTTCAACAAGTAAGTCATCCACTCCGCGTGGGTCAGGCAGGGACCTAGGTGCTTAGGGCTCTAGCAACAAACAAGGCCAGGACAGCTTTTGTCCCCTCGAAGAAAAGAATGAGGTCATTGACACTTCAGTGTGACCAGAGAAAAGCAGGCTTCCACTGCTGGCAGGTTCCACTGCTGGCAGGTTCCACTGAGCAAACTCACCTTGGCCAGAGAAAAGAAGCATCTCCCCAGAGAGGCAGCGATGGAGTAGAAACTGGATGAGGGGTTTGGGGTAAACCAGATGACAGAGTCTGAGTAAACCAGATGACAGGAGCATTTCCAGCTGAGGACAGGGAAGTTGTGAAGTGAGTGAGTGAGCACATGAATGAGAAACAGGGCGAGTGAAAGAAGGCCCAGGCAGGGGATGGGCAGGTCACACAGAGCTTGGCAGGGCCCACAACGGAGGCTGGACTTCATCCAAAAGGCTGTGAGAAACTTCTAACGATTCTAAGCAGGCAGTGGATTGATCACATTCATAGTTTTTGAAAACTCACTCTGGATGAAGAAATGGGACGCGCATTAGAAAGCAGAAAGTGGGCAGCGAGAGGATAACCTGGGACAGCGCTGCCGTCGCCCAGGAGACAAGCTTGGCAGCCTCAGAGGCGGGGAAGGAAAGAACTACAGAGGTCCGAGGAGGACTAGAAAGCGCCTAGCGGAGGGGAAGGCCAAGGCTTAGCCCCACCTCCACGACATCCCCCACACCTGGCTCCTGGCTTCAGCAGCCTGGAGCAACAGAGGGAAAAGATGAGGGATGAGGATAAGTCGGCATGGAAGCTGAACATACCATTGAAGACAGCCTGAATTGCACGTAACTTATCAAAAGCATGGGGTATCAGATGCACCTGCCCTGCAGAGTCATCCTGGAGCCAGGGGAAGGGTGGAGAAGTGAACAGTGCAGAGTAGGGGGTCACAGACGAAGCACACACACAGAAGGCAGACTGTAAAGTGAGGAGGGGACCGTACCAGACAGCAGAGAGACCATCAGATGGCATGCCCCCCGAGGGAGGAGAGAGTTTCAGGACAGAGCCGTATGGGATGACGCAAATGAAGGTTGCACACGACCCCGGTAGACTGGGTGACCTGGAGGTTACCCATAGCCTGGGCTGGAGGAATTGGGTTCAAGTGACAGTGAGATTCCAGTGAGCTGAGGAGTAGGAGGGAGGTGAGGGAACAGGGAGGAGGGAGATAGGATGACGATGAAGCAAGAGAACAAAGGAGACAAGGAGAGGGTCAAGAAGGAGTTGAGCTGGGAGGCATCCTCCCTCTCCTTAGGCCGGAAGTACGTCCTTTGCAAAGGGGACGTTCAGCTTCTTGCTGCAAAGTGGAAGTCCTCCCCTTGCTGACCACCAGCTTCGGCTTCTCCCCGCAGCCAGTACCCCAGCGCGGACGTGGTGAACTTCGGCACCTGGTTCCTCTTCAGCTTCCCCATAGCCCTCATCATGTTGGTGGTCAGCTGGTTCTGGATGCACTGGCTGTTCCTGGGCTGCAAGTGAGTGCCGAGGCCCTGCCGGCCAAGCCCCAGAGGCTCTCCCGGGAACCTGAAGGCCACACATGGGCCCTGGCGGGGAGGGGGTGTTGCAGGAGGGTGGGGGCAGGGCATGCCCCAGGGAGAGCGCAGAGGAACGCAGCCAAAGTCTGGCAGTGCCTTTCTGGACACTCAACATTCCTGACCCCTGCACTTTACTCTCAATTCCACAGCAAAATGTCCCTTTAAATTTTATTTCTTTTACTATCTGAGAGGCAGAGAGAGAAAGAGAGAGAGAGAGGTCTTCCATTCCCCAAATGGCTACAACAGCTGGGGCTGGACCAGGCTAGAGTCAGGAGCCTAGAATTTCCATCCAGATCTGCCACATGAATGGCAAGGATACATGTACTTGTGCCATCTTCCGCTGCTTTCCCAAGCACATGAGCAGGGAGCCGGATCAGAAGCAGAGCAGCCAGGACCTGCTGGCATCACAGGTTGAGGTCCCCTGAAATGCTCTTAATTTCAACTACCCTGGTAGAAGAGCTCGCCAACTCTTGAAAACTCTGAACTGGAAAGCATTTCGTGTCTCTCCAAGCACTCAAGGTGCAGCGACTCTAAGTCTGACTCCAAGCAGGACTGATCTGTGCTAGCAGTCTTTATGGAATATGCTGAGACCCTTCAAGACAGCACGCCGGCTTGTCCTTTCCGGTATTAGTGCTAATATTAATCTGTTTAGCAAACCTTCTCATCATGACCACCTGCTCTGAAATCTGAACAATTTCCAACACTGAAGAGGAAGTTACATAGGCAGCTTTGCTAGTCATCCACGCGATTCCTTATCCCACTAGCGAAGACATGTTGTGTGACGTGGTATTTACTCAGAAACGAGCCTCAAACCAATGTTGGCTGCCTACTTCTACACGCCCGGCATTACTGTTATTACCCAACACCCATTTTCCCCTCTGATAAGCCTTGTCTTTAAACAAATACACACCCATCTGTGATGGCAAACACACCCAGACACGGTACCCAGAACATTGATGCTGCTACTATGTACAAGACCAGTAAATAGAAACAGCGCTTGCAGGCGGCAGGTGTTGTGGTGCAGTGGGTTAAGCCACTGCTGAGGATGCCTGCATCCCATTATGCAAATGCCAGTTTGAGACCTGTCTGCTTCTGATCCAGCTGCCTGCTAGTGCTCCCAGGATGACAGCAGATGGTGCCTTAAGTACTCAAGCCTCTAGCAGCCACATGGAAAATCCAGAGGTAGTTCTGGGCTCTTGGCTTTGGCCTGGCCCAGCAGTAGCTGTTAAGGCCTTTGGGAGAATGAAGCAGTGGATGGAAGATCTCTCTCTCTCTCTCTCTCTCTGGCACTTTACCCTTCAATTAAATTTAAAAAGACTCAAGTCCATTAGTCATATCCCTATACTGATAGGTCAGGAATAGAGCCAAATGGATATACCCAAAAGATGAGGGCAGAAAACTGCTGGGAGGTTGGGTTCTCTCTCTCTCTCTCTCTCTCTCTCTCTCTCTCTCTTTCTCTCTCTCTCTCTCTCTCTCACACACACACACACACACACACGCTGTGTAAATGGGGAGCGGGGAAGGATGGTGGAGCATGTGCGTGAAGGGAAAGAGACTGGGCTAAGGGAGTGGATAAGTGATTCCGCATGTGCTCGCCCGGCCTCAGACGCGGGTTTCATCTGTTCTTTTGCTCATGCTCCCTTCTCAGCTTCAAAGAGACCTGCTCTCTGAGCAAGAAGAAGAAGACCAAAAGGGAAGAGCTGTCGGAGAAGAGGATCCAAGAGGAATATGAAAAGCTGGGAGACATCAGGTACCAAAAAAGAAATAATCACACACACACACACACACACACACACACACACACCCCGTCAGTAGACCATTAGCCAACCCCCAGGGAAGAGGCAATTGGATGCGGGGTCCAGCTGGCCCACACCACAGAGGCCGCCCTTCGCCTTGGCTATGTTCCCAGCACCGTGGGGTGTGTGCCGTAGAGGGGACAGCCAGAGAGGACAGCGGAACAACAGAGCAGGCGTCCTCTGAGCCCCTCCACCCCCAGGCCATCACTCCACACGCGCACTCGGCACTCAGGGCTGCCCCTGCTGGGGTCGCCTCCGGGGAGCTGGCAGTGGGGTGCTGTAGCCAGAGCATAAGGCTGGGGAAAGCCCACACAGAGGGCCGTGACTTCTCTGAGCAGCCCCGCGCCGTCGGTGTCAGCTTGTCCCCAGTGAACCAGCGTCTCACTCGGTGCTGGCTTTCCCCTTGCGCGGATCCACCAGTGTGTCCAGCTTTGACCGGGCAGGGCATTATAGGTATAAACTGCACTTTTTTAAGCTTTAAAATGCAGGACATTTGGCAACATAGAAAATAAATAGTCTTTTATCCTTAGCATACTGATGTTAGCTGTTAACTGGTGTACACCATAGGGCATATTTCCTTTTTTTAAAGATTTATTTGAAAGTCAGAATTAAGAGAGAGAGAGATCTTCCATTGACTGGTTCACTCTCCAAAGGGCTGCATAGCCAGGTCTGGGTCAGACTGGATCCAGGAGCTTGGCACTCCATCAGCATTTCCTATGTCAGTAGCAGAGGCACCAACACTTGGACGGCCTGCTGCAGCTTTCCCGGGGCAATAGCGGGCAGCTGGATTGGAAGCGGAGCAGCCAGGACTCAACACTGTGGACGTCACGGGCAGCTTGACCTGCAGTGCGCAATGCTGACCCCATCATGATGCACTTTTTTATACTTGTTTGAGCAAAATTATGCATATTTTCAGTAAGGTTCAGTCCTCCCACCAGGATCTCCAAGGTGCCCATTCTACCACCCTCACCTTGGGGACTATCTTTTAAATCAATCTTGTAAATGCACGCCATTCTATTCTCATTCCCTTCCCCACCCCGGGTTCCCCCAGTAGCAGGGTTAATAGGGTGTTTGCTGGTGTCACTCACTCTTCTGGACCACCCGTGGTTAAGCAGGGGATCGACTGTGTTTTATTGGGATTCTGAATACAGGGGCTTCCAGAAGCAGAAGGGAAAAAATCCAAAAAAATGTCCCAGTTCCTGGAGTCTTTCTGTTTCGTCTTGTAGCTACCCTGAAATGGTGACTGGATTTTTCTTCATCCTGATGACCGTGCTGTGGTTCACGCGGGAGCCAGGCTTTGTCCCCGGCTGGGATTCTTTGTTTGAAAAGTGAGTGTTCTTATTCCTAAGATCGCCTTCCTCGTGCACATTGTCCTGGCCACGGGCACTGCTGTCCCTTCGGAGACTCAGGGGCAGACACGCAGGCAGGCGGCATTTTGTTCCCTGACAAACAGAAGAAGCCCTCTTTAGGGAAAGCCATGAAGCCGAGTCATGTCCTTGGAGTCCCAGTCTAGGGCTGTGAGGCGAGATCACCACCCAGCCACATGCTCTTGGCCTCATTACATAAGCTCTGGGGACTGCCACCCACCTCAGGACTTTAGTTCCAGGAGGTGGCATAGAAGGTGCCAACTGAAAACAGACCACAGCCGTCAGGTGGCTGTGCCCCTGGGCCAGCCCTGCACACTCCGTGTCCCTGCAGCCACGCTTGTGTCTTTGCTAGGAAAGGCTACCGCACGGATGCCACGGTCTCTGTCTTTCTGGGCTTCCTCCTCTTCCTCATTCCAGCGAAGAAGCCCTGCTTTGGGAAAAAGAAGGAAGGTGAGAGAAGGTTTAAGGGAAGAAGTTGGGGTGGGCTCGAATCAAACAGCGCCCACATCAGAATTTTCCAAGGGAGGCTGCCCTAGACCCTGCAGATTCCCCCCCCTCCCCCCACACACACCCCAAAGAGGAATCACGCCTAAGCAGGTTCCATGTCCACCGGCCATGCCCATCAGCGTTTATTTGGCTCTTTCTCTCCTCTTGGTCTTCAGGGGAGGACAGAGAGCCGCCCTCCACGAAGACAGAGTCCATCATCACGTGGAGAGACTTCCAGAAGACCATGCCCTGGGAGATTGTCATCCTGGTGGGGGGTGGCTACGCCCTAGCTTCAGGTAGCAAGGTAAGCTTTGGGTTCTCTTCTCATGAGCCAAATACTGTCTCAGCAATTCCCTTATTTTTTTTTAAACATGTATTTATTTTACTTGAAAGAGTTACACACACAGAAAGATGTTCCATCTGCCAGAGCTGATCTGATCTGATGCTGGGAGCCAGGAGCTTCTCCTGGGTCTCCCACATTGGGTGCAGGGGCCCAAGGCTTTAGGCCATCCTTCTCTGCTGTCCCAGGCCACTAGCAGGAAGTTGGACCAGAAATGGAGCAGCTGGGATTTGAACCAGTGTGCATATGGGATGCTGGCACTGCAGGCAGAAGTTTAGCTTGATACGGCACTGCTCTAGCCCTACCTAAAGAGTCCTTACAGCCCTGGGAGGGAAGGGTGAAGGAACCAAGGCCGAAGCAGTGGTCACCAAGTTCCTGGAACAGGCATAGAACAGATGTGCCTTCTCACCCACTGCTTCTGAGCACTGCTGGGCAGCTGTGGATCAGCTGGGCCACAGGACCACGTGGGCACTTGCACATCACTGCAGGCCTCAGGTAGCAGGCTTACTGCAGGTTCTGCAGCCCTCATCCTTCTGGCACGAGCGATGGAGACAGGGCTGTTAGGGCCATAGCCATTCCAGATGAATCGTCCAAATTCATGCATTAAGAATCTTGGCTGAAGTTGATTAAAATGCTTGTTGATTTTCTGCTTGGGAGCATGTGGGATGAGATGGAAGGGAAATAACTGAACTTCCTAAACTGTCAGGAAATGATGCAACAGGTCAGGGTTCAGATGGTCTCTCCCTGCACCTTATTCATGAACCCATTCCAAACAGGGTTCATTGTTGATTGTCTTTCCTCACTGGACCAAATACAGTGTGCATAATCAAGACAAGGGCTCAGCTTCTATCCCGGGAAGCCTGGAGGATCCTGGCTCCCATCACCTAGCCAAAATGAGAGGCCCCGAGTGTCCTGCTGGCTGCGGTTCATCTGGTGCAGGCCACGCCCTGTACAGGGAACAAGACTCGTGGTTGTTTTTCTCTAACCTGGATCTTCTGTATGAACACCCTTCCCTTGACAGAAGTTATTAAAGTAACAAAAAATTGCTAGATCTTTGTATGCTACCAAAATTCCTGAACTCTTTTGTTTTTCATAGAACTAGTGACTCCTTATCCTCAAAATGTTTCTTAAAAAATTAAGACCTCCCTACATTGCGGGTTTTTTTTTTTTTTCATAATCCTGTAGTCGAATTTAGTAGTTTATTTCAAATAACAGTATAAAGTGATTCTGCGGGAAAAATCATTACCATTGCATTATTCCACTTTATTTACAAGTATAATATAGATTCCATGGTAGAGAAAATCGGCTCTTTTAGAAAATTCCTCGTTTCCACTCTGCTGATGGCTTTTCCTCCCCCATCCGTCCAGTGAGCTGGGTTGTTGAAAGAAGGAACAATTACAGAGTTCCTATAGGCCTTCAGGCTCGGTACCAACCGTTAATTGCTGCTGTTTCCACATACTGGGTAACTCACAGTCCGTTGAAAGGAAAAAAAGAAAAAGGAAGAAACATTCTCCAAGGTGAAATGGTTACAACAGAAAGAATGGCTTTGGTCGCCAGCCGTCTACCGGCTTCCCAAGAGGTGGCCAGAGTAGCACAGAGATCAAATGCGTTTTTGATGGACTTGGAAAAGTAGAGAAAAAGTAGCCTGCTGACAGTGTGGTGAGGGCTCACGTTAACAGCAAAATGTGAAGAGCGGGATTGACGGCGTCGGGGTCTAGGATGCCTCGCCTTCTGCCCCTTCTCTCCTTTTCTTCATTTGTCATCTCTGGGATATCATGGGAAGTCAGAAGGGGGAAGGAAGAAAGGGATGCAGGGAGAACTCATTTGGCAACCTGTTTTTTTGGTTTGTTTTTTTTTTTTAAACACAAGAATTCAACAGTGTCACTCACTTGTCAGGGACGGGCTCCATTGGCAGAGGAACATCTTTCACCCAAATGTGTTATTCCAAATGGGAATATTCATGTGTTTGAGTGCATATGTAAATGTTCTCTGTGGAGAAGGTTCAGCATGGCCAACAGGCCTTCTTTTTTCTTTTTCTTTTTCTTTTTTTTTTTAAGATTTATTTTTTTTTTCAATGCTTCACTCCCCAAATGGCCACAACTGCCAGAGCCAAGGCACTCCAAGGCCAGGAGCCAGGAGCCTCCTACAGGTTTCCCACACTGGTGAGGGGTCTCAAACCCTTGGGCCATCCTCCACTGTTCTCCCAGGCTATAAGCAGGGAGCTGGATCAGAAGGGGAGCAGCCGGGACCAGAACCAGCGGTGTTGGGAGGCCAGCGCTTAAAGTGGAAGATTCGACAGTAGAGCCATTGTCCTGGTCCCGCATATACCTTCTTAAGTTGAATCTTCAAAGTGCTCTAGCAGAGATTTGAAACTAAAATAGGTTGTTAACAGAATGACAATGCTACATGCCAGTAAGACAGCGCCTTCCACACTAGCCTTCCACACTATGGACATTTAATCCTCTCTCCTTTATTACCTCTAGAAAGCTTCCAGTGTTCAGCCCTGCCCATTTATCCCCAAGAAAAAATTACGGAAGACCACGGTTTTTCAAACATGTTGATCATTTTTTTTTCCTTTTCTTGGGTGATGAAGAGAAAAAGAATTGCAAATCAGATCACAAGATTCCACTGTGTGAAGTGCATTGTTGAGTTCACACAGAGTAAGGAGAGACAATGAGATTGAAGTTGAGGAGTAAAGATCGCCAACCCCTGCCCACACATCAAAGCTCTACTGGCGCTCATGGCTGTCGGGGGCAGGGGGTCTCCATGCCCCACGATGACTCAGTGACCAGGAAACCCCAAATCTGAACATGGTGCAGCAATCAGAAAAAATCTTCCAGACTACACAAACAATCCAACCAGGAACAAAAACCTTCCCTCCTCCCAGTCACCCCTTCCAGTTGGCATCCCTGGCCTTCTGGGCATTCTAGTTGCTCTGTTTCTCCGCCCTCCGTCTCAGCCACACCTCCTCTTCCTGCAGAGTTCCGGTCTCTCCACATGGATTGGGCACCAGATGTTGGCCTTGAGCAGCCTCCCACCATGGGCTGTCACGCTGCTGGCCTGTATCCTGGTGTCCATTGTCACAGAATTTGTGAGCAATCCAGCCACCATCACCATCTTCCTACCCATCCTGTGCAGCCTGGTGAGTAGCGCAGCAACGCCTAGGGGTCCGCACAGGTTTCCCAGGGGCCTGCAGTGGCCGGCCTGCCCTCCATGCCTTGGCTTCTCCTCCAGCCACTGAATTTCCCAATAGCCACAGATAAATAAAAAGACATGTGAGCGAGTCATAGCAGGAGTTCTAGAACACTCTTTTTTTTTTTTCAGAACTAGCTCAGGGACAGCCCTGAGCAGAAACAAAAGTATAGACAACATGTCTTTAAAATGCTCAGATTCCGGGTCCGCGCATACATCAAGATCTTTCTCTCCTGAGATCAGACCTCACGGGGGTGGGAGGGCGAAGAGGTAGCCACATCGCTGAGACTAGAACCACAGTTCTCACGGCACCACTGCTCAGAGTGCATTTCATTACTCCAGGAGTTTCTGAGGACTGGGAGCAAGGTCAGCCCCGTCCCAAGGCCTCAGACCCATGCTAGGAATGGAATAGGGGAGGGCAACAACCACCAGATGTTGGCCTGGCCAAGCAGACCCAAAGGCAAGGCACCTGTCCCAAGGCTGCATTTGTCCCAGTCTACAACGAGAAACCTAGGAAATACAGATGCCTCCCCACCACCACCTCCGCCTAACCTCTTCATTCATGGCTCACATGTCTCCAACGTCTACCCTGCCGCCATCTTGTTTGTGTGAGCGTGGCAGTACAATTTGTTACAACTTGGCAACACTGAGCATAGGCCATGAGTTCAAATCCCACTTAAGGCAATTATCTTCCCTGGGGCTGGGATGAGAAAACAGAGCCTTGGTGCTGTACCCTCGAGGTCAGAGATCCCTAGCTCCATCAGAGCAGCTTGTTCTTGAGATGCTGAAGGATTCCTCAGCTTAAGAAAAAAAAAAAAAGGCTTAAATAGCACCCAGAGGGGCCAGCACGGTACTGTGACAGGTTAATCCCCCACCTGCGGCATTGGCATGGTGTATGGACACTGGTTCGTGTCACAGCTGCTCCACTTCTGATCCAGCTCCCTGCTCGTGGAAAGCAGCGGAGGACGGTCCAAGCCATTGGGACCCTGCACCCTTGTAGGAGATCTGGAAGAGGGTGCCGGCTTCTGGCTTCAGACGGGCTCAGCTCTGGCTGTCGTGCTCTGTCTCTCCCTCCCCGTGACTCTTTCAAGTCAAAATAAATAAATCTTACAAAAAAAAAAAAAGTACCCAAAACCCAACATCATACCTAAGCAGCATCCCAAAGCTTTGAGTGGACAGGGTGAGGGCGGGTAAGCAGCGCCAGCCCCTGCACTGCCTAAGGCACTGGACGCTCCAAGGGCAGAGGCCTCATGACACCTAGCACATGCTGTCCAGCTGAGTCAGTACCAAGCCATCGCTTATAGCACACGCATAGGGTTAGCGTGGGAACTGCAAGGCCACGGTCCATGTTAACGTTGGTGTGAATTCTCTCTCCTAGTCGGAAACGCTGCACATGAACCCTCTCTACACCCTAATCCCGGTCACCATGTGCATCTCCTTCGCAGTGATGCTGCCTGTGGGCAATCCTCCCAATGCCATTGTCTACAGCTACGGGCACTGCCAGATCAAGGACATGGTGAGTGGCGGCTGCCTCTGCCTGCCTGCCTGCCTGGGCAGGGAAGAACGGCTGCCCAGCCACCTCCTGGAGCTGTATACCTGATCTATCAACAATGTCTCGTGTTGTTACAAATGCTGGTGCCTATCAAAGGGTTTTTGCTTGGTCCCTAAAGAAAAGCAGCAGTATGTTCTCTCCAACCCTCAAGAAGAATAAGGTGGGGATACAGAAAGAGAGGTTGGGAACACACCAGAATGAGGTCCTGCTCCAGAAGGCATGAGCTGCAAAGGTGTTTGTTTCTTGCTTGGATTGTAGGGATGTTCACTCCAGCAGCTATTGTCTTATTTATCACAAAAGTAGAAGAAATCGCATGAACCTTGGGAGGGAAGTATCTTGTGTCTACTGAATGCTTGTGCTCATCCTTCCCCTGAAGCAACAGTGGCAAATGAAACCATCGCAATCTGCTTCTTCATTCTTAGCAGGACTCAGAAAAGATGGTTGGGAGTGGGCTTCTCGAGGTTGACTTGAGTAGCGCGTCTAGCCAACCCCGCCTCTCCTTCCCCTGCCTAAAGCCTGTCTGGCTTCTTAAGGTGCAGGATTAGTGGAGGTTGGGAAGAGGAGGTTAGCAGATAGACATTATGGAGGCCCATCTTAGTATGGCCGATTCAGGCCCATGCAGAGTTTCACGAGCGAGATCACACCTGTTCTAAGCAGCCTGACTATCTCGGAGGACAGCATCTCCTTCCCACCATTCAACCTGCTCACCTACGTCATTAACGCTCCTTCAGGATAGACGGCCGTCAGCCCTCACTCCCCTTGACTTACAGCCTAACCCTCAGTCTGCTCACCCTGAGCGTGGCCCCGGTCGTAAGGCCTCACCGTTCACCTTATTACCTTTATACTGGAATCTAAACAATTAGAGATAGTCGTTTCCAAAGTCATTGGATAATAATGAGCTACCTCTGGTTCTAGTGCCACTGTGGGCACCAACTGAACACATTCTGTTTCCTCAACTGATGTGTGAGGAGGTTCAACCAGACTGTTTGAAGTCCTTTCTGCTCTAAAGGATGTCACTTCAGCTCCCCCGGAACCCAGCCCTCCCACCTGCCGCATGGCAGGAACATAGGCACAGGTGTACTCACGAGCCTGGGAGAATTTCCCAGCATCCATTTTCTCTTGCAAGTTTCCCATCTTCGTGCCAGCGAGTGAGCTTGTCTGGGCTATGTGCTACATGCATGATCACTTCCTGGAAGGATGTCAGCGGCTCTGATTGTACACACTTTTCCATCTGGCCCCGGCTCTGCCCTCTCACCGTCCCTCACCCCCACTTCAGTTTGGGTCCATGCCACAGCAAAACTGAAAGGTGTTTGAGTTGAGATGTGATTCTCTACCTCACTTAGCAAGCCTGTGCCACCTGCCAGTGGACAGTGTGCACACAGCGGCTGATCTGTTCCCCCAGGTGAGCTCAAAGTGAGCTGCTTCCATGAGCTGTACCCGGGGTGGGGGGGAGCCAAGAAAATGATAACAATGGCAAAAGCTTCATACAATAGAACCCCTCTTATAAGCTCCCGTGTGTATTGGGATCTAAGAGAAGTCCCTGCTTTGAAGAGATCTGTTTAATTTTAGCACATTTCCCAATTATTTAGCTGTCAAAATAACCCAACATCCCCCAGATCCGGTACTGTCTGAGCTTACAGAGTATTGCATTCAAGAAGTGGCAACGATTCTAATCGCTCTCTCCTTACCTTTCCAGTACTTCCAGTCCTGTGCCACCCAGAAAACATGAGTCAGAAGCGCACACTAGACAGCAACTGGAACGGATGAGGGCCTAGGAGGTGGAGCACAGCTCAGGCTGGTGCTCCAGGCAGGGAGAGCCCAGGGTCCTGTGCTGCTGCTTGGCTGGTGACCACGGTGTGCCAATTTGTGTCTTGCAGGTGAAAGCTGGCCTGGGAGTCAACGTCATTGGCCTGGTGATAGTGATGGTGGCCATCAACACTTGGGGAGTTAGCCTCTTCCAACTGGACACTTTTCCAGCCTGGGCTAAGGTCGGTAATATCACTGATCAGGCCTAACGCAAGTGGACAAAAGGGCCAGATCCATGGAGCTGCACTGGGAAGAAAACCTCCAGGAACCCCACACTGAGGGAACTCTCCAGCAACAGTAGGCGCCATCATCTGCCATCTCGGGCGGAGTACAGGTGGCCCTCAGCAAGCACACACAGGCTTGGCACTGGTGTCTTCGCTTCCTGTCTTCCCTAGCTCCGTAGAAAACAGAAACTCTTCTGACTTCCTTCAGTCTTTCTAAATCAGTTCTGAAAACAAGGAAGCCTGTCCCCGCTGCCCATCAGAGGCTGAGTAGGCCTCACAAACTGACCAGCTCCCCTCTTTGATGTTCTCAGCACCCTCTTAGGAGTTAAAGAGCTAGCCAAGGCATCTCACCCAGAGAGGGAGACCAATGGCGTCTCTTTTTTGCGGCGGGGAAAGCTCGCCCAGCACGTGAGGGGTCTCCAAGATTTGTATCCTAAGTTCCTCCCAGGAAGACCATTTCTAGTAGATCGCTTTCTTGAAAATCAATCCCCTTATCATTAATGTGATTCCCTTAGTAACATCCCTCTCCGATGGCTCCCCTTGAGCAGGACACCAAATTCCTGTAAATAAAGAACATTCCCCTCCACAAAGAGGTCAGGGGCATTCCCTTTATCAAATGAATAGGAGGTGGACAAAGACGACACGTTGAGAGGAGCTTTCCTGTCATCGCCAACCCCAACGCCAGCGTGCGGAGGGCAAACGTCCCTGCCTTGTTTGTGAGTGTGCAGCCATGATTAAAACCATGGCTCTACTGTGCACGGCAGATTGGTTTGTGTCTAGGCTCAATGGGTGCTTTATCCTTGATGAGTCACAACCCTAGGCATTATGCAAAGATCTAAACCCAGTGGTCACTTCCTACGTGTCAATGGACCCTCGGAGGAGAGTGAAGCTTTCTACTGCATAGTAAGCTGTAACTGTTCAACGTTTCCCACGAGGAAGATCATCCCAGGAGTCAAGGCCTGCCCCTTCCTCTTGAAGACCACGCCATTTCCTCCAGGAGACGCCTGGATAGTTCTCAATCCCTCCTGTTGGTTGGCATCATGCTTTGCTGATTTCTACCACCAGCTGGTTGCTGATGCATCTTACAGGACAAACAATCCCTCGGGGGCTTACTGCATTGTTTTGGTTATGTTACTATTGATAGCCAAATAAAATTTTCCCACAATTTATCTATAAAATCACTCCCTGAGTTTAATAAGTGCCTTGTAAAAATATCTTTTAAAGATTTGCTTATTTTTATTGGAAAGTCAGATATACAGAGGAAGAGAAACAGAGAGGAAGATCCTCCATCCATTGATTCACTCCCCAAGCAGCCGCAACAGCCAGAGCTGTGCCAATCTGTAGCCAGGAGCCCAGAGCCTCCTCCAGGTCTCCTACGCGGGTACAGGGTCCCAAGGCTGCTTTCCCAGGCCACAAGCAGGGAGCTGGATGGGAAGCAGGGCCGTCAGGATTAGAACCAGAGTAAGCCCATATGGATGCCTGCATACAAGTCCAGGACTTTAGCTGCTAGACTACCACACCAGGTCCTAAAATTTCTTTCTAGTGAACATTCACTCTTTAGCCATAGAATGTGACTGGGTTTAACCAAGAAGACTGCAGCTGTCCGTTTACGTACTTGGTCATTTACGATAGGAAGGTTATGAGATGTAAGCAGTGAGAAGCTGACTCTGTGTTAGGTGGAGCCGGGGTCCTGGCCACCGTTCAGCTTAGAGCCTAAAGGCAAAGCAGCTCCCTCCACGCGTGCAGACAGCAGCGTGGAAAGCCTACTGCTTCCAGCCCAGGCTCCAGACTGCTCTCAGAACAGCTCTGTTTTTTCCCAAAAGTCAGACATGCAGGCAAACAAGACTGAGCAGTCCAGTGACAAGAAATAGCAGACATGATTCATGGCTCCAAGTCACGTGCTGCCACTCTATAAGTAGTCTTACCCTGCTTAGTAGCTTTGTGTCTTGCCAGCAGACAATGGGAATTCTCATCTTGTCATATCGTACTGTATGGATGCAAAAGCAGTACCTGAGCACCTCAGACGAGCCAGCTCCTTTTACAGAGAATGAAGCTGACAGCCCGAACACTAACTACTACTGTGCTCATATCTTAGTCTCAAGTCAGCATGAATCAAATGTGCTTAGTTAAAATTGCCTTTAAGTCACCCATAGAGTACATGGTAAATACTCTAATTAGTGTTTACACGTTAGAGAGAATCTGGTTTTCTTTCAGTACTAGATTGCTGGCTCTTCAGCTGAACCCCAAGTGAAGTGTGAAGGAGAAGCTGCCCTCTCTGCAGGCTCCACCAAATGTGGATCAAAAATATATGGGGTGTATGTGGGAGGAGCCAGTGTTGAACATGGTCAAACCTTTCTTCTTGACCGGCATTTACACTACAGTAGGAATTACAGGCAACCTAGAAATGGCCTAAGGTACAAGGGAACATGTGTATTGGTTACATGCAAGTATGCCCTTTCATATAAGGGATTGAGCATCTGCAGATTTCACCGTCACAAGGGTGCTAGAACCCTTGTGTTCTCCATGGGTACCATCAGAACACTAAATTTGGCTTCGTGTCTGGGGACCACATCATTTCGGAGGTGTCACATAACACTAGACTCACTCTCAACTTCGCAAGATGCTCGAGTCATCACAGCCCGTGGAGCACCGAGAGCACCTGGGGACACAGACAGCCAGCTCGCGTGTGCCCACTGAAGGAGCACGGCCAGCTGCCAGCGCTGCTTCGACGGCAGCTCCCTTGTCCCCGGCATGGCCAGCTGCACTGCATCCCCGCGGCAGCCCAGGACTCGGGTTTGGCCATGCCCCACCCTGGGCACTTCTCACAAAATTTCACCCTTTTTCCTTCCCAAACATGCCACACATTAAGTCTTTAGTAGTTGACTGAATATATTGCAACCACGTTTAGGAAAAGAATACACTGAATGTGTGAAAGCCGAAGTGTTACAAACTCCCTATTTAAGATCAAAGTCTCAAAATATTTTCCCTTCCCCACCCTGTTCCTTTCCAAGGGCAAAGCCCTAACAGCAGAGAAAAAGGGACACATTCATGTGCCTAGGGAATGGAAATGCTACGGGCAAAACCAAGACTAGACGTTGAAGAAATGGCTCATTTGCTCCAGTAAAATATATGGTGTACCTTAAGGAGGAATAACTTCAGAAAAAGCATTAAAAACCAGGATGATCTCAGGAGAAAAACAAACAGCAGCATAGTACATAGTATCCAGGGAATGAACTACTTGGTGGAAACAAAAATATTACATGTTAACATAGGAACCAGTGTGTACAACTGAGAGCTACACAAATATTTCTGTATATGGTCACACAAAAATGGGGGGGGAATGGATCAGAAATTACTCATAGTAACTGTTTAATTCCATAAAATAACAAATTAGAATGAAAATCTTAAAAAATGTCAATTACCAACCTCCATTTATAAAACGATTTCACTGGTAATTTTAAGCAAAAAGTCTTAAAAAAAAAACTTCTGGGCTTGGGAGGGTTACAGCTTAAGAACTTTTTAAAAGTGTAAAGCTCTGATCCTTTTGTGGTTCCTAAGCATGATGCTTGGGTTTACTCATGTCCGTGTGACATTTGCCTCCCCCCAATCTTGCTGCAATGTCAACACAGTACCTGTCTGACATTAAGAAAAAGAAGTTCAAAGTTTTGGGACTAGCATCATGGCACAGTATGCTAAGCCTCCACCTGCAGCACCAGTAACCCACATGGACACCATTTCCAGTCCTGGCAAGTCCACTTTCAGTCTAATTCTGCTGGTGGCCTAGGAAGGCAGCAGGGGAGGCCCCAACTCCTTAGGCCCCTGCACGCACATGGGCGACCCAGAGAAGGCGGCTCCAGGTTCTGGGCTTCAGACTAGGTCCACCTCAGGCCATTGCAGCATTTGGGGAGTAAACCAGCAGATAGAAGATACCTCTCCTTTTCTAATTCTGCCTTTCAAATAAAAACAAAATAAAAAAAATTTAAGTTGAAAGTACTTATTAAGCTTTCATCATCAATCCTGACATCTTCACGTAGCAGAACAATGTGCAATAGTATTTGGGGTAGTCCTCCTTTTATGGTCAGGTGTGGCAGTTTCCTTAAATCCAGTTTCCTTGAAGGCAAGCAGCAATGTCTCTTAGCATTTCTTCCCACAGCTCCAGGGCTGTGCGTGGGAATCACTCCTGAACACGCAAACCGGGGGGCTTACAGTGGCACCAGCACCTCTGTGACAAACCCCCGCCTGACATGACCAATGAGTGGCCTGGGGTCCCTCCCGCATGTGCCTCACTTGCCTGGGAGCGCTGAGCTCTCCGCCAGGGCCGTGAGGACACCCGCTCTCCGCCAGGGCCGTGAGGACACCCCCAGGAGAGGGCTCCTGACAGAGAACACCCAGTCGGCCTGCGCTCACTTACAGCAGGGTACATTATGGAGCTGAGCAGAAGGCAGAGTGCGTGGGGGGTGCTCCTACAGGCAGGAATGATGCTCCCACCCAGGTGAAGCATCATGCTTGTGAAGCCCCGGGTCCAAAGGCGCCTTGGGTAGAAGGTACAACGGAGACCTACTCGCAAGCCTGGCCAATCTTCCTCCCCAGAGCAGCCGCTCGGGAGAGGCAAACACAGAATGACGCCAGCATAGCTGGTGACAAGGGACTGCGGTTTTCTAAGCCTCTGGCTTTCTGACTATCCTCGGTGGTACCAAGCCCTCCTCCTTGGAGGCTGTAGTTCACTAGGCTAACAACTTAGTCATTCAATATCAAATATTGTGTGACAGGCGGCATGATCAAAGCAGATATTGTAAATCTTCCTCAATAAATAACCACAGAACATAACAAATATTGCATGTTTCACACATATTACTGCAGAAATGCAAAAGTATTCCGGCCAAAAGCAACGTGGCAGGATGAGCATCTATTATTTATTGGATGACACGCAAAGCAACACATTACATACATTGTCTCAACTGTTTCTCATGAAAAGCCTGAGGTAGGTGGGTATTACATCTACATTTTACAAACAGCCCGAGAGTCTCAGAAGGAATAAGCCACTTGCCTATCATCACGCTGCTAAGAAGGAAGCCTTAAGGTGATCCTACTCTGCCCCCACACGAACATAACAGGGATAGAATTGATCTAAATGCACGAGAGCCATGTTTTCAAAGCAAAACAGAACCTTTTCTTGTATAATCACATAGAGGGTTAGTGTCATCACTCCTGAAAAATAGAATCCAATTCTTGAAATTATCAGTGGAGCCGCACAACAGGTGCTCTGAAACTTGCATCAACACAGGGCCTTATCTGGTAGGTATGGATATGTTTACAAACGTTTAAGGTTGCTGTAAGAACAAAAGACCAACCGAAGGAGCGGGCTGAGGAGCTGCGGTATATCCGTTCAGCAGTCTGCTGACCCCACAAAGCACTGGGGATCCCTCCTCCTCACAGAGTGACCCGGACCGCTCGCCCTTAGAAGGTCAGAGTCAGGCACAGACTGTCAGCAGTGCAGGGCCAGATGCTGCCAACGTCTGCCTGGGCAGGAGACGCACCGCAGGCCAGGAAACGCAGGTGGAGAGGCTCTCTACACAAAACCAGTTGGTGCATAATGACCTGCCAGCAAAGTTTTCAGAAACGCAGATTTTTCTAGTTGCAAAAATACAGACTGATTATTTGATATTTGACATATCACAGGGGCAACTTATGATTTCAAAATGAAGCAGCGACGGTAGAGAGAAGCTCAAACCCGACACGGGGGCTGACTTAATTGTACATCTGGGCCCCATCTTTGTTAGAATGATCACTGCAAAGTTATAATGTACTTATACTTTGTTTTAGTATCAGAAGATGTCAAATTTGCTTTATAGACAACTTCTTACTTATCTGAAGTGTCGAATACACTGTAATCCCAAGCATGATTCCTTTTAGAGACATGTCAGGTCAAATACATGATTACAGACACCGTGCACACCAAAAGCCCGTGAACTTGAGACGGAGACCATCACTGTGTGTATTCCAGACAAGGTTCTTAGAGTTTCTCAGCTAATGAGTAGCACATTAATTTATTGGCTAAATTATCACGATGAAGCCTCCTGATGATATAATAAAATAAATGGACAATTCATCAAAAATTGGCTTTTCTATTGTATTTACTTCAAAACAACAAAATTTAGTAATGTTTAAAAAGCACCCATTATAAATGCTAACCTGTAAAATGAGTATTATTTATGTCTATCTTATCAGCTATACAAAACTTATCAATTTTTCTTTTGACTAAAGGTAGCAGAAATCCCACAGAAGAAGGGAGAGACTACTAGAGAAAGGCCATGTTTACTAGTCCAGCACCGTCACTCCAGCCTCGGGGCCTCCCAGGCAGCTGGAAGGAGGCGGCGGGGGAGAGGCAGGGACGCTGGAGATGCAAGGGCAGCTCTCGGCTCGGGACCCCATCGCGCTGGAAGCAACACGAGGTCCGGCAGAGAAGATGATCACGGCGGTCGGAGAGGAAGACAAACGCTGTGGGCAGATGCTACAGACGGCATCAGCGCGTCCGGAAGGCAGTGCCGGCGGCAGGCTCAGGAGCTGGGCGGTTTCTTCTTGGCATCCAAATCCTTTTTAATTTCTTCAAGCTTTTTAGCCAAGTTTGGCATCTTTGAAAAGAAAAAAAGATTATTTTAATCTTGTATCTACCTAATAAATACTATTCTATTTCCCTACCTCCACTGACAAGGGATTTTATATGGTTTTTTTCTTCTGACAAGAGTTGCTCGTTAATACTTCTGAGCCTTGTAACTGCACACACAGACACCGTAAGTCGTAAGATAACTACACTCCCTGTTAACCAGACCCTAACTTCTCAACCACTCAACCCAGTGCCAAGTTGTACACGGAGACAATAAACGTGGTATCAGCTAACAAACCTCCTTCCTATAAGGCCCACAGCTCACATGAGGGCTGACAAAGGGAATTCCCTTTGTCACATTAAAAATTGTTTAGGGCCTGATGCAGTTCAACTGGCCTCCCCCTCAAAGCACCAGATCCCACATGGGCACCGGTTTATGTCCCAGCTGCTCCACTTCCCTTCCAGCTCCCTGCTTGGGGCCTGGGAAAGCAGTGGAGGACGGCCCAAAGCCTTGGGACCCTGCACCCACGTGGGAGACCTGGAAGAAGTTCCTGGCTCCTGCTTTGGATCAGCTCAGCTCCAGCCATCGTAACCATTTGGAGAACAACTAAGCGATTGGGAAATCTTTGTCTTTCCTCTCCATAAATCTGCCCTCTCAATAAAAATAAATAAATCTTTCGTCCCTTTACTTGAGAGAAACGCAGAAAGGGAGAGAGAAAGATCTGTCTCCTAGTTTACTCTCCAAATGGCCAGAAGAGCTGGAGATGGGTGAGGCTGAAGCCAGAAGGCGGGAACTCCGTCAGCCAGCTCCCACATGAGAGCAGAGCCCCACGCACTGGGCCATCTTCCACTGCCTTCCTAGGAGCATCGGCAGGGAGCCGGATGCAAAGAGGAACAGCTGGAACACGAACCAGAGTTGATACGAGACACCGGCATCACAGATGGTGACTTAACACATCATGAGTTTAAGCAATGGCCCCAATATTATGCTTCTTGCCTTAATTAAAAAAATCACCTGTTTATTTGCAAGGCAGAGAGGCACAGAAATACTTCATCCTGGTTTATTCTGAAGTGGCTTCATTAGGAATCAGGAACTCCATCCAGCTCTCCCCTGAAGGCGACAGGGGCCTCAGCACTTGGGCCATCTGCTGCTGCTTCCCAGGCACGTTGGCTTGGAGCTAGACTGGAACTGGAGCAGCCAGGACTTGAACTGAGATTCCAATATGGGACACCAGTGCTGCAAGCAACTGCTTGTTAACCTGCCGTATGCCAGTTCTTTTGAACACAGTTTTCCAGGTTCCCCATCCCTAGGCAGCTGTGCCATCTCTATAAAGTAAGGCTGATACAGTTTCTCCTTCGGGCTCGATGCAATGGCTCAACTAGCTAATCTTCCCCTTGAAAACACTGGGATCCCGTATGGGCACCGGCTCGTGTGCTGGTTGTTTCCTGCTTGTGTCCTGGGAAAACAATGGAGGAGAACCCAAAGCCTTGGGACCTTCCACCTGCATGAGAGACCCAGAAGCACCTCCGAGCTTCGGGTCGGCTCAGTTCCAGCTGTTATGGCCATTTGGGGAGTGAACCAGCGGATGGAAAATCTTTCTCTGTTTCTCCTTCTCTCTGTAAACCTTCCTTTTTTAATAAAAATAAATAAATCGTAAAACAAAAAACAAAACTGTGTTTGTACTATTTGCACTGTACTATGCAGCTCCATCTCCAAAATCTAAATATGTCTACCAAGGACAGGAGGGGCTGCAAAGAAGATTCCTTTAATCTTTAAATTCTATCACTGCATGACTTCCCAGAAAATTCTGAGAACCCAACTTAGTGTTTCTCTAACTACACAGATCACCTAAACTGATGAAAGTTTGCCCTCTTGTGGTGACTTGGAGGACAGATGCCTCCGAGACATTTTTTGAACAACGGAAAACCTTTCTGTCACGTTCAGGACTTTTTCCTCAGACCTACAGGTTTAACTGATGCCTGAGAGCGGTCAGTCAGCAGGAAACAGTTAAATGGCATCAAGGAGGACACTGATATGGCCACTTACGTCATAGTTCTGAGCCAGGTACATTCCAACCACGTTGCCAAGAGTGAATCCGAGCTGAAAGAGAAAAGGAAGGGTTACGCTGCAGGCTGAGTCCTGGGCCTGTGTGACACCAAACCCACACCACACCCAGTGCTCGGGAGGATGCGGGGACAACAGGGGAGCCTCCATCTACCTGGACGTGAAGCCCCAGGTCTCCCCAGGTCCCCACCAGCACCATCCCCTTGTCTTCCCTAACAAGCCCTCACTCCCAGGCTCCCAGGAGTGCAGTTCCTGGCACCTGGCACCCCAAGCGCACCCAGGACCATGGCATGGCAGCTGCTCACAGCAGAGCATGGGCCGGGGAAGCACGGGCTGATGTGCACTTCTTTCTGGTCATTTGATTAATCAGATTTATCTTGCAAAAAATCACATCATTCTTTTTTTTTTTAAAGATTTATTTTTATTATTTTTTTATTGGAAAGGTGGATATACAGAGAGGAAGATCTTCCATCCGATGATTCACTCCCCAAGTGAGCGCAACGGCCGATACTATGCCGATCTGAAGCCAGGAGCCTCTTCCGGGTCTCCCACGCGGGTGCAGGGTCCCAAGGCTTTGGGCCGTCCTCGACTGCTTTCCCAGGCCACAGGCAGGGAGCTGGAAGGGAAGCGGGGCTGCCGGGATAGAACCGGCGCCCATATGGGATCCCGGGCGTGCAAGGTGAGGACCTTAACCACTTGCACCACCGCGCCGGGCCCAAAATCACATCATTCTTACGGGTTGAAACCTGGTAGCAGAGGCTCTCCAAATGCAGGAGGAATATTAAATTTGTGGAATAGAAGAAGAATCTAACACCAAACAGGAAGGACATGGGACTGAAAAAAAATATCAAGGAGAACAGAATTCGGGCTTTACCACCTACCCAGCTGTGGCTCTCGAGATCTGAGCTTCCGGATTTACAAAACATTCACTCCAAATGTCATGCTTCTGCTTCAACAGCCTAGGATCCCTAGGTCTTACCACTTGTGTCTCAAATATGGGACAGCCAACATGACTTCACGCGGACAGCTTCATCAGGCACCAGGGCGTCTGAGCAACTATCAGCTATTTCAAAATGCAAAACAACGACGTGCTTCTACAAGAAGTTAGATCCAATTGCAGTTTCAGAATATTAGCAAATCTACCAAGGGGATATTGTAAAATAAATACAGACTATAAAGAAATATCACTGTAAGAGAAATGTTGAGGAAAATAACATAAAGCAGAAAAAGTATACACAATGTAATCAGAATGCTCAATAGATAAACTCAGACAGGAAAAAAAAAAATCTACATCTAAGGCAGAGAAGTCAGATGATGACAGAAGGTTCCGATGCTGTGAGAGCCTAAGGAACGCTCACTCCCTCGGCCAACAGCTGGCAGCGTCAGGAGCTGTGTGAGTGAAGCTGTCCCCCCTGCCAGCACACAGTGCCCCCACAGCATGCCCTGCCAAGACAGTTCAGAGGGCAGTGAGACCCCTCCCCACAACAAAGTCCATGCCTGGCACATCTACTCTGCAGAAACGCTGAGACTTCAGGAATATGGGAAAAAAACAGCAGCCTCTCACAAACATGTTGGTACAACACTGCAAGCGCAGGGACACATGAGTGACAAGGACAGTGAGATTCGTGAGCGGGAAAGGGGCCGGTGATGTGGCACAGGGAGTTAAACTACTGCCCGCAACACAGAGCATGCCCTGTGAACGGTGGTTGGAGGCCTGGCAACTCTGCCTTCTAATGCAACGCCCAGCTTCCAGGGAAAGCAGGACACGGCCCAGCGCCCTGGGCCCTGCACTACACGGGAGATGCAAACGGAGCTCCATGGTCTTGGTGTTGGCCCAGTCCAGCCCCAGCTGTCTGCACTCATTTGCGGAGGGAACCAGCATGTGGAAGATCTCTCTCTCTCCCTCTAACTCTGCTTGAATGAATGAATAAATGCAAGGAAGAAATGAGTAGGAACAAAGCAGGTGGAACTAGGAATCCCAGAAGGAAGTTCAGCCTGGCACAGAGCAATAAAAAGCGGCGTTTCCCAGCTCCACTTAGAGGAACTTATAATTAGTGAAGCGTCACAGTCCATTCCCATTTTGAAAAGCAAAACTCCTTCCAAAGTATGTTTCATCATCACTCATTTTGCAGAAAAATTATATCTTACTTGAATAACAGGACTTCCTAGTTTTTCATCCCACTTTAGTATGAATAACTATTTTTTGCTACATAAATGGATCCACCTATGTTTAACAGCAAAGATTTCAACACATTTGATGACAGAGCACCATCCCAGACCCTGCTGGGCTTGAACAAGGTATAACTTACTACCCTTTAAAAAGATTCTTCTAAACTTTAGTCACTAAAATTTATTTATTCAAAAGGCAGGGCAACAGAAAGAGATAGAGAGTGAGAGAGAGAGAGAGAGAGAGAAAAGAAAGGAGCTGGCTTACTCCCTAAATGGCCACAATAGCCAGAGCTGAGCCAGCTTGAAGCCAAAAGGGGGCCAAGGGGAGGACGGGCGGCCGAGGGAGGATGGGCGGGCGGCGGCCGAGGGAGGACAGGGGGCCGAGGGGAGGACCGGCGGCCGAGGGAGGACGGGCAGGAGGGGGCCGAGGGAGGACAGGGGGCCGAGGGAGGACAGGCAGCTACTTTAAGGCGAGAAGCGAACAGTGGCCGGAGGAGTTAGGCAGTACTTCAAGGGCAGAGGTTGTCACTGAGTGCTCCGCTCAACAGAAACCGCAGGAAACATCTGGGCGGTCCCAACGGCCCCGGCGCCAGCACGCAGGCCTATCTGTGGCTGCTCCGTCACCTCCAGCCTCCTACACCAAGCACCCTGCCAGGCCCTGTTCTGAGCTGCACCGCGGCCTTTCAAAAGATGAAGTCGACAGTGGATTCCTGAGCAAGTGTCATTCTTACTTTATTTTTAAAGATTTCTTTCTATTTTACTGAAAACGGAGATCAGATTTATGGAGAGAATGTGAGGCCAAGGAAATATTGTCCATCCGCTGGTTCATTGCCCAAACGGCCAGAGCTGAGCTGATCTGAAGCCAGGAGCCAGGAACCTCCTCTGGGTCTGCAACGTGGGTGCAGAGTCCCAAGGCTTTGCAGTCCTCCACTGCTTTCCCACGCCACAAGCAGGGAGCTGGACCAGACGTGGAACAGCCAGGACATGAACAGGTACCTACATGGGCTGCCCGTGACTGGAGGTGGATTAGCCGGTTGAGTCACCATGCCGGGCACAAGCATTTTTTAAGTAAAGTTACTAACTTATCTTTCATTCTGATATTATTTATTTATTTATTTTTATTAGAAAGTCAGATATTCAGAGAGGAGAAACAGAGAGGAAGATCTTCCGTTCAATGATCCATTCCCCAAGTGGCCGCAAAGGCCAAAGCTGAGCCAATCCGAAGCCAGGAGCCTCCTCCAGGTCTCCCATGCGGGTACAGGGTCCCAAGGTTTTGGGCCGTTCTTGACTGCCCTCCCAGGCCACAAGCAGGGAGCTGGATGGGACGTGGGACCACCAGGATTAGAACCGCACCCAAATGAGATCCCAGCACATGCGCGGTGAGGACTTTCACCACTAGGCTATCGCACCGGGCCATCTGACATCATTTTGATAACCAGAGTAGGAGCTGGGTTCTCACCTTCAGAGGCAGACACTGAGGGGCAGAGAATATCCGCACTGCTCACAATCCCCTCAAGGTGAAAAAGCTGGGGGCAAGTTATAACCCAGAAGCCTGACTCAGAGGGGGAGCCAACGGGAGAAGCCACGCTCTGCATCTCAACAACAGCCACCTTGCTGGGGAGCAGGCAAGCAGGGGAGAGGGCTGCACAGCTCACCTGCCAGCAACAAAGTTTGAGCAGGGAAGCCAACATCCGGTCAGCACCCGGGGACAGGGGACAGTCCCGGAGGCGGCCGGCCCGGAGGCAGCGAGCTCTGGCTCTGGTGGGCCAATATACTTTTAGAACAGGCTTCAGCCACCAAGGACCATGTGTGAAGAGTGCCAGCAGGGGCCAGTGGGTTGGCTCAGCTATCTAATCCTCAGCCCGCACACACCAGCATCCCGTATGAGCACCGGTTCGTGTCCCAGCTACCCCACTCCCCACCCAGCTCCCTGCCTGTGGCCTGGGAAAGCAGTCAAGGACGGCCCAAGGCCTTGGGCCCCTGCACTCGCGTGGGAGACGCAGGAGGAGGCTCCGGGCTCCTGGTTTGTTGCAGCCATTTGGGGAGTGAACCAGCAGATGGAAGATCTTTCTCGGTCTATCTCTCTGGAAATCTGCCTTTCCATAGGAAAGAAAGATTTAAAAAAAGAAAAAGCACTTAAAAGCACCCCACCCTCGGGGCTCCGGCTCTCACTGCTGCCTCTGATCAGCTCAGTTAAAAGCCCTCCCTTTGGACTCGGCTGGCCAAGCGCCCCCGGACTCGTCGCTGGGCCACCTTCAGGATACAAGCAGGGTTGCCAGAAACTTCATTTTTCATGCAAATAAGGAGCCCCGGAGAAACAACTGCTTCCTCCCGGTGGCACTCTCCTCCCTGGGGTCGGGGCGGGGGCCCACGACTGCACATCCACGCCAAGACTGGCTCCCCCAAGCTTTACCTCTGGCCCCACTTTCTCCAAAGCGCCAATCGGCAGAGGGTGGCTGGAGGCGAGGGTGACCCCAAAAAGCCACTTAAGGGGACCCTCGACCACCCAGCCTCTACACGGGGACCCCACGGTGAGCTGAGGGCACGGCCCACGGCGCTCGGCCATCGAAGCACCTGCTCTTTCAGACACCTTCAGCTTTTAGGGGCCACGGTGGCAGCAAAAAAATAACTAGTAAAGGGATTTGGGGGTGAAGACACCCCGAGGGCCGACGACGCGTCCCACGCCTGGCCTCCCCGCTCCTCATCCAGTCCGGGCCGCCGGCTCGGCTGGGCAGAGGGGTCCCCGAGGGGAAGAGGAGCCCGGCCCTGCTCCACTCACCAGGAACTGGAGCATGATGTCGGCCGGAAGAGTAAGGACGGCGCGAAGGGCGGCTGCACGTCCGCGGGCCCAAGCCTCCTCCTCCTCCTCCTCCTCCGGCGCGAGGGGCGGAATTGGCCGTCGGCTTCCGGGTCCCGCCCCACCCCGCCCCGTTTTTCCGGCCGCCTCAACGCCCGGAAGCAGCTCGCGGCGGCCCGACGCCCTCTGGCGGAAGCCTCTGGGATCACCACCTGCCACAGGCCAGAGGACCTGGGTTCTCGTCCCGCTGCAGGAAGCTGGGGCGCAGGAATCTGTTGTAATGTCAATCTCGCCGCCGCAGATGTGTGCGGTACACGGCCAGGCACAGGGCTCCCTGACCTGGAGGACGGGATGAGACGGCTGAACGGCCTGGGGGCTCAAGCCGAGCCTGGGGTGTAACCTGAGTTAGGGACCAGTGTGTGTGTGTGTGTGTGTCTCTCTTAAGTGCATCATCTGGTAGCCCCCCGAACAAGCTGTAGCAACTCCCTGAAGTTGGCTTCCGTCTGTGTGAATGGGGCCGAGTGAGGGGTCAGCAGATCCTTGAAGGAGTCAGGTGTGGGCAGTGAGCTCTGGCAGGCGTCCCCAAGGCCGGAAAGCCCTTCCTGCACACGTAAAGCAGCGGGGTCATTCCGCTCTCTCTTCCCAGTGTTCGAAATGCACCGTATCGACTCTAGTACCTAGGATTCTGGTTTCAAGCAATAAACAAAAACAATAAATTAAGCCAAATAGGAATGCATTCTACGGAGTGAAGAACCATGGGGAATAGGAAAGCCATCCCCTTGTCCTCTCCCCTCGGCCCCGTCTCCCTGAATGTGCTCATTGTAGCATTGGAATGTATCCCTTGCCTTTATTACTTCAAACTTGTTGAAGATTTATTATTTGGAAGGCACAGTAGGGGGCAGGTCTTCCTCCCACTGGTTCACCCCACAGATGTTTTTAATAATTAGAAGCTCTGTTTCCTTCAGGATGCACAGACCGAAATAACGAGGTCAGCGTCGAGGCCAGCGTCTGGTTTCCCAGGTCTTTTTTTTTTTAAAGATTTATTTATTTTTATTGCAAAGTCAGATATATATATATATATAGAGAGAGAGAGAGAGAGGAGGAGGAGGAGAGACAGAGAGGATTATCTTCCATCCTATGACGGGGCTACTGGGATTAGAACCAGCACCTATATGAGATCCTGGATTCAAGGAGAGTACTTTAGCCGCTAGGCCACCACGCCGGGCCCCGCCCCAGGTCTTCAGCAGGAAGCTGGATTGGAAGTAAAGCAGCAAATGACACCCCTATAGGATGCCAGCGTCACAGGCATCAGCTTAGCCGGCTCGGCCTAAGCATGAGCCGCGGGTTTGCTGCTTAAGCAATCCAGCCATTAGGAAGAAAGCCAGATTGCAGGTTTGTCTTTGTTTTTTTTCTATTTTTTAAAATATTCATTTATTTTTATTGAAAAGGCAGATACCCAGAGAGGAGAGACAGAGAAGAATATCTTCTGTCTGCTGGTTCACTCCCCAAGTGGCTACAACAGCTGGAGTTGAGCCAGTCCGAAACCAGGAGCTCTTCTGGATGCAGGGTCCAAGGCTTTGGACCACCCTCTTCTGCCTTCCCAGGACATAGGAAGGGAGCTGGTTGGGAAGTGAAGCAGCCGGCTCATGAGCCAGCGTCCATTCAGGATCCCAACAGTGCATGCAAGGCGAGGTCTTTAGGCACTAGGCTATCACACCGGGCCCTTTCTCAGCATTTCACGTGCACACTGATGAAGCTGGTAAGAGGGCTGCGTCTCTGGATTTAAGTGGTTGTCAAAGGGGGGAAGGATCCCGGCAGATGGCGACAACTCACCTTGCAGCGTTCCGGTGAGCACGTAGCTCTCAGGGCTCCCACGGCTGCTCGGCTGGAGCGTGCATTCAATCACCGATGACCAGGGCCTCTGGCTTTACATCAGCTCAGCTTTGCCCATTTGGGGAGTGAACCAGTTGGTAGATCTTGCTCTATGTGTCTTTGTAAATCTGCTTTTCCAATAAATGTTAAATGACTGACTAAAGAGGTAACTGTGCAATGCATGATTCCTGATTGAAGCCAAAGTCAAAGCAAGTTTCTTGAAAGATTACGGAAATTTGAATGTGTACGGAATCTTAGATTTTGCTGTCAAATGCCTTGATGGAGACAATGGGAAAAAAGGGAGGAGGGAAACTAAATGACAGAAAACAAATGACTTGGCTTTTTGAGACATTTTTATAATAAACTTTCATAGATAAAACTATTTCATAATGGAGAATGGAAATAATTTATTTTCATTCCATCCTAGGCAGTGAACGTGTGACACAGGCACAAAGCGTGGATTTCCCGACCAGCCTGTGGGAGCTTGGCATTCAGAACAACGCAGCCAGGGGAACCCATCCGTCGAAGGTCGAGGCAGTCTCAAGATCTGAGTTTTTTAAAAAGTGTTTATTGTTCACTGGTGAGGATGGAATTAGACAAAGAAGTTTACACAAAAATGTCCATGTATAGAGAAATAGCAAAAAATATTTTTTTGAGTCGTCATAATTTAGAAACGAACTAGTTGACACACACGGAAGCCGGAGACAGCCCTCCCCAGTCCTGTGCTGCGGGGAGGGGCCCAGGCGCGGCTCAGCCCCGGGCCACCCTCACGAGGCCGCGGATCCGTCTGAGCAGAGCCTGAACGAAGCTGGGCCGCGAGCGGACCCTGGAGTACAGCCCTTCGATGTCCAGCAGCTTCTTCTGCAGCGATTCTCCGAGCGCGCCGACGGCGTCAGCCTGCAGCTGCAGGGGACAGGCCAAGGCGCGTCAGCACAGTGCCTAGCTCAAACATTCATGCTACCTGCCAACTGAAAATACCTTTGGGTTTTTTGCAATGTGGCCTTTTCAATGTACGATTCCTTGAGTAAATAAAAGGGGCAAATGTTAAAATGTGCTCTATGCAGCAATCTGATGCGGCTGCTGACACACGGCATGCAGACCAATGCGTTCCCCAAGGGGCCACAGAGGTGGCTCAGATGCCTCTGAATAAAGGAGAGTAGGTGGGAAGGCAGTTTTTATTTTATACTTAATTTTTCAATTAAAAAAGCAAATAAATAAATAAAGGAAAAAAAACCAAACATCTATTTGGGGAGGGGCACCAGCAGCCAGAGGGCCCAGCTTCCGCGGGGCACTGTGTGCTGGGGGCCACTTCCCACGCTCCCCAGCTGGCCCAGAGCAAGCTCAGCTCGGTCCAGGAAATCGGGGAGCTCGTCCCCCAAACCTGCCCCTACAGATGTGGAGATGAAGCCTCCCTGTCCCCCCAGGGCAGCTGAGCAGTATGAGCCTTCGGAGGGAGAGCCCGCACCGAGGGCTCAGGGGGCACAGGGTGAAGGGGCCACAGCGGCTCACCAGGCAACCAGACACAGAACAATGAAGCAGAGTCCAGTGTCTGCGTTCCTCTCCAGTAGGAAAGAAAGAAGCCAGGTCTGACCAACACTGCACACCAAGCCTCAGCACTGGACCCTGGCTCCCCTCTGGAACAACTCAGAGGAATGCTTCCATCGCCTGCTGGGTAAATGCAAGTTTTCTGGTTGCCCCGGAAGCATTTTCTAAGGAAGGAATCTCATCTCCTCCCATCTTGTAAGGGTAAATGATTTGTTCTAAGAGTTGAAATCGACTGCTGGCTCTTTATTTTTCAGTCCAGCCAGAAAACAGCTGGCTGCTGGTTTATGAGACCTGGACTGTCTCGGGGGTCGGCTTAAAGGTCAACAGCTGGGCGACAGCACCCATGCAGGAATGAACTGGTTTTCTGCATAATTTTGTTCCTGTATTGCCAAGGACTGAAATGCTGAGTACATAATTTGTATGGTACACTGTGACTCGGTGGGGCTTACGTCACAGCTTATCCACATTTGAAGATATCTGAAGTCTTGCTGAGGAAAATTTGCCTCCAAAGGCAAAGCTGGACAGTCATGACTAATTTTTTACAAACGGGTGAGGCAGAAGAGGTGGTTTAACCTGACTCATGCTTTAGACTTAGAATTCAGTATGTTGTAGTATATGTTAAAATGCTTAAAAAAAAAAGTAACAAATTAAAAGAACCCTTTTGCCCTTACCTTTGTATTAAAATTATGGTAGATATTTAGAGTGCAGGATTAATAAAACAAATAAATCCTGCATTCTAAAAGAACTTTATAACAGACAGTGTAAATGGAACAAGTCATTCCTTTATCACATGCATATTACACATCTTCCGAATGATCTAGCTTTGACACATCCGGCCCAGGGTCAAACCCAACGCTAGCTTCCTGGAACACGTCTACTCCAAAATGAATTTTCCTTTTAGGAAGTCATCCAGCCCAGAAGCGCACTTGGGGCTAGGATGATGGAGTGGCATCGGGGGTAGGATGTGGCATCTAGCTGAGGGTGGTGCAGTGGGAGCTGTAACTACATCTCTCCTGGCCAGGAGGGCTTCACCTCCAGCTTCTGAGAAAGGCACCGACAGCAGAGAAGGGCAGGAAGTGGCAGAGACCACATCAAATCACGACTCCGCACTGTCCGACGCCGAGCAGAGATCGAGCCGGAATTCACTTTTCCCTCCTAACTTCTCTGTTTTATTCTGACTTTTTGGAATATGACTTTGCCATTAGTTTACTACAGGATTTTTGTCTTTAGTGTTTTTGCAATGCACTTCATTTTTTTCCATAACATCTGTGTTCTTACACGCGGTGAGATTTGTTTAGTGCTAATCAATTCCAGAGGAGAATGTCGACCAGTTACAAATACTTCGCACATTCCAGGCGCTACACGGGAGCCTCTCACGTAGGAGGTCTCATTTAATCCTGTCCAGGCTCTGAGGTTCCCATTCCCACTTCTAAGGAAGACATTGAGGCTTCCATTAGTCACTCGGCTGTTACTGTCCAAGCCAGCACTCAGGTCAGGCACCTGCACACATTCCAGAAACTCACAACATTACCGCTGCTACTAGCCAGGCCTTCCTTCTGACTTTAAGGGGGAAAAAAAAAGAAAAAAGAGAGACAAGAATCGAATCTTACCTGGTCTATATCATGTTGGCTTACTACTGTCAGCCCACTTTTAAAATCTAGATTTGTTTCCGAGAAGGAATCTATAGAGATAAAAGTCACAGACAAGTTTGGCAAGTGCGTATACAGTGGGTCTTCTTTAAAACTCACAGAAAATATACACGATGAATTAACTGATCTTTTAAGACCATTTTCTACGAACTTCCTGAAATATTCTCTTCTGCACTACACGGTGGAAGAACCTGCTAACAATGCAACCCACAAGTCCAAGACTGCAAACTCCTGTTTCCAACTGTCAGCAAGGGATGCAACCCAGGATTGTGCCCGACACAGACTCGGCCTCACTGCCCGGGCGCTGACCCACTGCCATTCTGCTGGAAGACTGTTTGCTGTAAGGGGATTCTGGAGTTGGATTAGCCCCCAGCTTCTAGAAGCCAAGGAACAGCTGATGAGCAGGCTCTAGAATATTCTTATGCTCAGTCCAACTTCCCCTGAACAGAAAGTATACTACAAAACAAACAGCTGCATCTAGCAATAAAGTAGTTCTCAATGATCACTCTTAGTCACCTGTAAAGATAAAAAGTAAATAAAAATGTAACTAGCTTTTCAAGATACTAAAATCCAAAGGCATTCTGTGTTTCACAAACACAGAATTAAGTTTACCTTGAAGTCGTCTGTTTTTAAATAAGGTTCTGGAGGCAAATAAGGAATCCTGGGAATCCGTTGGTATGCAATGTAATAAGTAATACTCCAGGTGGCGCCAAAGGATAAACAGGCAGGTTTCTATGATAACTGCACGTGGGAGCTCAGGTTAAAGAAAACTGCATGGCCTATGTTTTTACACATTAATTTCTCAGGAGAGAAAAGGAGAATGCACTCATTAATGATATGCCACAAGTTCAGTCTAGCAGGGCGAGGTTCCTGTGAAGATGTCTCCAGAGGAAACAGCAGGGCATGCCAAGCTACAGGCCCTGGATGCTGTGCCGGCAAGCTCCGTCCTCAGTTCCTAGACAGCAGACAGCATTTGCAGCTATTCTCAGTATTACTACCTGTCTATAAGAGACAAAGAAACAAAAGTGATTTGGAAACATTTTTAACCACATTCTTGGAAACAATAAGTTACTATGTCCATCTGGTTTGGACACCCAAATAATGTAATAAGAAGAAAATTGCTCTGGGTCCAGTGTGATGGCTCAATTGGCTAATCCTCTGCTTATAAGCACTAGGATCTCATGAGTGCCAGTTCGTATCCCGGCTGCTCCACTTCCTATCCAGCTCCCTGCTTGTGGCCTGGGAGGGCAGTGGAGGACGGCCCAAAGCCTTGAGACCCTGCACCCGTGTGGACAGCCCAGAAGCAACTCCTGCCCCTTGGCTTTCAATCAGCTAAGTTCTAGCTGTTGTGGTCAACTGGGAAGTCAAACAGCAGATGGAAGAGCTCTCTCTCTCTCTCTGTCTCTCCTTTTCACTGTAAAACTGCCTTTCCAATATAAACAAATAGACCTTAAAAGGAAAAAAAAAATAGTTCCACACAGAAAGATCAAAAAGGATACAAGAGCAAAGCGAAAGCAGCTTAGCTCGGTTGTTGATCAGCTTCACCAAACGCCGTCTCGCGAGAACATACTTCTGGGCCGTGGGGATTTTGTCGACACCAGCAGGCATCACGGACTGACACAACTAGGAGAAAGGCATAAAGTACCAACAGTAAATGTAATGAAAATCTACCATAAGCAGGTAGCTATGCTAAATGTAACAACATTCACACATCCTTGCAAACCAGTTTATAACCTGAGCTACTAAATGACAGTAACGAGTACATATATAAAGGGAATGCATATGTTAACAAAGTGGCTGCGCGCTCACACTGACTGCAGCAGTATCCGCAATCGCCAAGACAAAGAAACGCGCACACACTCCCTCCCTCGCAGATGGAATACCACTTGGCCTTCAAAAAGGAAAGGCTGTCATTTCCAATCTGAGTCACTAGGTTGGAATACGCACAGAAAGGCAAACACCACAAATATGCAATCTGGAAACTGGCTTGGCAGAATCAAGCATTGGGAGAGTAGAGGGGTGATGTGGTCCAGACGTGCATATAAAACTGGTTAGTTTGTTACTTTTTGGCAATTAGCTAAAGAGATGAAATCCCATGTCCTCATCTGACTCCTCCCACTCTCCTTTGGCCTCAGCCTCGGCTCTGACCTTCCCAGCGAGTAGGAAGGTCCACTCAGTCTGCAGACAAAGCCAGGCCCCGCTTGTACCCACTGATGACAGAATGGGGGACTGATGCCAACAGGAGTTTAATCAACCTACAAACACTAGCAACATTGCAGACACTCTCCAGAAAGCCAGAGTGCAGTTTCCTGGATGAGGTCCAGCACTCTGCCCAGCACTTCCAGGCTGCAGGTGCTGCCAACGCTGGACACCTGCGGACAATCAGCCCAAGGAGAAGACAGAGCTGTCCAGCACGTCCAGCAGTGTGGCGCGGCTGGCCTCCACTTCGTCAGCTGCACATCGCTCAGGATTTCAAGGGCATCCCTGGAGATTTTAGTGGTGATGCCCAAAAGCCTGGGGAAGGAAGTTCTCCCAAACCCTGGATCAATGTTCTGATCTGGCACAGTGACCTCAGAGGGGGAATGGCACCAGCACAGACTGCAGCTGGTACCTCACGGGCCACACCCATGTCCCTGCTCCCAGCAAGGTTCTCGCAGGTGAACACAAAGCTCACATTCTCCAGACAGGAGAGCCGGGCTGTCTTCCAGATGCCCCGGCTGGCCCCACGCATCACGGCGTTGTTGCCCATCTGCACTGCAGCCTTCCCTGGACGGGACCTGTGAACCTGCTGCACACACTTCAAGACTGCCTTGTCTGCTCCCACCATCAAGCCGTCCGGATAGTTATCCAGAATCAGATGATCTTAAGAAAGCAGGTGGACTTCTAGGTTGCCCCTTTTCCCCTGGACATCACAACGGTACATCAAGGGTTTAAAGGCAGCATCACTCCCAAGAGGATGCCTTGCCACTTACAATGTTCTACAGCGCAAGTAGGGCAATGGTGCTCAACTACATTTAACATACACTTCAAATAGTTCATAGGACAGTGCACGCTCCCAACTCAAGAAATGATAAATGTCTAAAGTGATGGGCATGCCAACAACCCACTTTGATCATCACACATTATATAATATATACTAAAATACGACCCTGTACCACACTGTCATGGCATTGAAAACAACAGGATACTTCAAAAAGTTACAGAAAAATGGAATAAAAAGATAAGTTGATTTTGGTACAAAGAAAAATTGTCCATTAACTTTCTGAAGACTCCTTATGTGCCAATTAATTTAAAAAATGTAACAGAGGAAGAGCCAAAGAAAGTCAAATTCATAAAGGACTCCCATTTGCTGCCTTTCAGAAAAGCATGTCCCCACCTGCTGATGGGCCCGTCCAGCTAGATTTTCCTGTCATGTTTAAACAATACAAAGCCAAATAGAAGGTGTGACAAGATCATGCAGCATTTGTGTAAACACTGTCAGGTATTTGTGAAGAACATACACACATCTAGACAAAAGCATCACCAAGCGAAGCCTGCCTGCTTACCCTTGCCCTGACACACATGGGAGTCTAAGGGTCACAAATGGTTTAGCTGCACATCTCCTGAGCTGGACAGAAAGTACGGTGACAAGCACAGTTCTTGCAAGGACAGGCACTGCCTCTAAGTTGCAGGTTCCCACTAGCCAAGTGCCTTTGGACAAGCTATTCAGGATTCTGTGCCGTTTCCTTGATTGACAAATGGGAGTAGCATCAGTGTCTGTCCCCTGTATTAGGACACGTAACTCAGGACCTGGACTGGACACACTCAACAGCTATGCCCCGTAATTATCAGAAGAGCAGCAAGAGGGGGTAGGAATTGGCCACTGAGAAGAGCAACATGGAATCTGAAAGGAATCAGGACTATAACACTGGCTCAACATCCAGGTTGCCATGGGACACCAAAAAGTTTTAGGAACTTGACCAAGGGACACCTTATAGCTCAGCTGTGCCAAATGGCAAAGGAGGTGAGCCCGGGTGGCAGCGGCTGCCGCTCTAAGGTACTGAGATGGCAGTCGGGTCTCACAGGCTAACTTACTCATAACTAAGTAAGAAAGTAAACGAAGGAATAAATAACACTAAGTGGACACTGAGATGGGTGGAATCATAGATACTGGAAACAAACAAACATACTGCCAACAGGAATCCTAGTTTCCCAGCACACATTTTACAGCATCCATCATCCAAGCTGGCCATCTATTTTCCTGAGCAGGTGCTGTCAAGAGATGCCATGCTTACCAGAGTGCTGCTCTGATGACACACAGCATCTTTCTTTTCCCCCAAGTTAGACCCGTACCCTGGCCCTCACAGGTAAATACCCTGGCCCTCACAGGTAAAAGGCAGTGACTGCCCAAGTCCCCAAAGCTCATTAAAATTCATACCTCTTTGATCTCATCTGGGGGAAGCTGCTCTACATTCTGGAGCTTGTTGACACTTCGTCGATGACTGTCATAATAGCTGAAGAAATCATTAGCGCTCTGTTTCAGCAGGTAGAGGATAATGCCCAAACCAGGCAGGCGCCAGTATGGAACCACAGCAGCTTGGGAATCTAATGGAGTTGACAACACAAAGCAACATTCCACTTACAAGAAGCTTGCATGACTTTGAAAAGACCTGTTGTAAAACGAGAACAGCTCTGGAATGTGGGGCTTGTACACTATTATTAAAACCAACCCAGGATTCCTTTTAAATACCACTGATAGTTCAAAGAACAAGCAGCTAAAACTCACTGTGGCCAGGTACTGTAGCCCTCGACCACACTTTTCAATGTGGACGTGGACAGGCTGTCCTCTCCGTTAGGTAAGGACCTCTTGAGAACTCAAAGTTACAAATCTTTACATCCATGTCCCCCCCTTCCTCCCTTCCAAAACACACACACGTACTCACGTTTGGGTTTCCTGATCACAACTGAAAAACTGTCTCATCAATAGCTCTTCTTAGATGGATTCACTTTTTTTTCCTCCATCTTCCAAATACCTCCAACAACCAGGGCTGGGTCAAGCCAAGGCCGAAGCCAGGGGCATGGAACTCCATCTGTGTCTGCCACATGAGTGGCACAGCCCCAAGCACCGGGCCACAGTGACGTTTAGCTGCTTATTCTTTGAAAGAAAGAAATCCCAACCAGAGGCACAGAATGATGGGTCAATTGGCTAATCCTCTGCTGCAAGTGTCACCATCCCATATGGGTGCCGTGTCCCAGCTGCTCCACTTCCCACCCAGCTCCCTGTTCATGGCCTGGGAAGGCAGCAAGGGATGGTCTAACGCCTCGGGAGTCTGAGTCCATGTGGGAGATCAGGAAAAAACTCCTGGCTCATTGCTTTGGACGAGCTCAGCTCCAACTGCTGTGGCCATTTGGGGAGTTAAGCAGCAGGTGCAAAATCTTTCTGTCTTTCCTTCTCCCTGTAAAATCTGCCTTTCCAATAAAAATAAGTAAACCTTAAAAAGAGGGCAGGGGGAGGGGAGAGAAAGAGAAAAGAAAGAAATCAACCCGAGGCTTCCTGAAATCAGCATAAGTCAATTCTATCACCATGACCAAGAAACCAAGGGTAACAACTTTAACCAGTCCATGACTTGGTCCTCACATTCCAACTCTTTCCAACTGGATCACATTTGCAGCTACCATACCCAACCTAGACAATGAATTCACTTTAACATTATGCAACATACGGATTGATCTTGTATTTTCCTATTTTCACCCAGTGAGCACACTCTGGTTCTGGAGACTTCCCTTGGAATCTCAAGTACTAGTTAAGACTGTTCTCTCCCATAGGTCTTCCACATTTATCCCCAGGAAATCTCGAGCTTTCTTACACACAGGTCTGGCACTATTTCCTCTCATATTTTCTTTCCCGTCCATTTTTATCGGAAAGGCAGAGAGAGAGCGAGACACACACACATCGACAAAACAAAACAAAACAAAACAACTCTTCAATGTTGAGCACATGAACAACACATGGGATGGGAATCACAGCGATGATTTAGTCTGTGTGCCAAACATAGATTCCCTCGTATTTTCTTTTAAAAGCCACTTTCAGCTTGCCCTCTCGAACCCGGGCGATGAAAGCTCAGCTCACCTTGCCGGGACCCGTCCCTGTTAACCGTTTCCGAAAGGCTCGGGGTGAAGAGACACACAGCATGCTGCAGGGTAGGCGAACTCTGCAACATGAGCGACTGGCAATATTCCATGACGTTGGCACAAATCTACAACGAAAGAAGAGCAGGAATTAGAATCTTAGCCACAAAATCACCCGAGACAGAGACATCTAGATTTCAAAGAGGACATGGTTATGAATCATTTCCTAAAAATACTCATACCTGTAACCAGTACCAATTTTCCACCTAACGCAGAGGCCTTACACACTTCCACAGCTCCCACCCTTCTTACCTGCTGCATAGCCAGCTCAATCTCATCCTTCTTGCTCACTCTATCTCCCTCCACATTATCATCTTGAAATTTGAACTGACGCAGTCTGTCGGAACCACCAAAGCGACTCAGTAGTCCCAAACACTGGCGCTAAGAAAGGAAAAGACATTTGTTGCTTTCCAGCAAAATGTTTAAAATTAATGACCCCCCTTTCTTGAGGGAGATCTAAAACACAAACTCAGCAGAACGGAATCACCATAAAACATCTGACATCCTACTCCCAGTTCAGCCAACCAAGGAAAAAACAGTTAAAAGACTAAAAAAGCCAGTATATGTGACTTTTGGTTTCTAGGAGGGGGGCGGAAAAGGTATATACTTTATGGTGGAAGAAAGGCATGAAAGAACTATAAATTCTCCTCCACACAAAATCAAAAAATGATATTTCAAAGTCAGAGTAGTAGCTGTTAAGTGTGTTATTTCGACAGGGAAAAACTACAGCAGCGAAGAGAGGATGCCCAAATCCAGTGAGCAGAATGGAGTAGAAGAGTCACGAGTCACGGACTGCTATGTTCTGCAACACATCTTACACATGCCACTTCAACATGGAAACATTTGTTACCTGGAATCTTCCGATGTGTCCCTGGAGCTCCATCAGCGAGCCTTCATTGACGTCAACGTCAAGCTCACTTAAAATACCTACAAAATTCGAATGTTTTTAAATAGTTTTATAATAAAGGCGTTAAAAACTAGAAAGTGAAGATTTGACATTTGAAGGTCATTATGTGCCTGAACAGTTTCCACGAAATCGCCCCGAGAAGCACGAATTCACAGACTATCAGTACCTTTCATGTGCTAACACCAGCACACGCACACTTAGATGAAACTTCAGATCTAAACAGAATTGCTTCCAAAATGAATTTTTTAAAGTTTACAAGAAAAATCTTTAATTTATTGCTATGAAAATTTAAAACTTGCTAAATTTGACTGTAAATTACTTTCTTTTCCATGTCTTTAAAAAATGTGAAACAATGGGGCTAGCTAGTACTGCAGCAGAGCAAATTAAAGCACAAAGTGTAATGCCAGCATCCCATGTAAACTGCAAGTTCGAGTTCCAGCTGCTCCACTTCTGATCCAGCTCCCTGGATGTGCCCAGCAAGGCAGAGGAAGACAGCCTGAGTGTACAGGCTCGTCAGCTCTGTGGAAGGCCAGGACAGAGCTCTAGGCTCCTGACTGGCCTGGTTCGGTCCCAGCCATGGCATTCATTTTGGAAGTGAATCAAAAGATGGAAGATCTGTTTCGGTCTCTCCCTCTCTTTCTGCAATTCTAACTTTTAAATAAATAAATAAATCTTTAAACACTGACTAAAGTCCCAGCTGCTCTAGTTCCAATCCAGCTCCCTGCTAAGTGAGACACTTCGAAGAATCTCCTGGCTCTTGCTTTCACATGAACTCAGCTCTGGCCATTACGGACACTTACAGAGATATCTTTTTTGCTCTTTTTTTTTTTTCCCTGTTACTGCCTTTCAAATGGATAAATCTTTTTTTAAAAAAAGATTTATTTATTTTTGTTGAAAGTCAGATAAACAGGAAGAGAGACAGAGAAGATCTTCCATCCAATGATTTACTACCCAACAAGTGGCTGCAACAGCCAGCGCTGAGACAATCCAAAGCCAGGAGCCTCTCCCAGGTCTCCCACATGGGTGCAGGGTCCCAAGGCTTTAGGCCATCCTTGACTACTTTCCCAGGCCACAAGCAGGGAGCTGGATGGGACGTGGGGCCGCTGGGGTTAGAACTGGCACCCATAAGGGATCCTGGTGCATTCATGGTGAGGACTTCAGCTGTTAGGCTACCGTGCCGGGCCGGAATAAACACATCCTAAACAAACAAAAAAAAACACACAAAAACTATCACTTCGTCTTTCACATGAGGCAATTAAATGATTCTACAAGGTAAACAAATTATAACAAGGAAAAGATCAAAACATACAAATAATTGTTCATCATCTTTCTTTTTCCCAAATCTTTGTTTCTTACTGATGGTGATTTTGTACTCTGCCTCTCACAGTGAAGAAACAGCTGTAATCTAAAACAAAACCCTGCTTCTAAGTTTTTAAAAATTTGTTAGTTTCGAGTTACATGAAATATTTGTTTTTAAAAACAGCATGTAAAAGGCAATTCCATTGTCAGAAGTCACATCCCTTGTCTCTGTCACTCTACTAGGTACAAGCACGCACAGGGAAATGTTGGAAAAGCTGCTGATCAAACGCTTACATGTACTTACTGCTAGGTAGTATGACTTTATCATCTCTGAGCTTTTATAATGAGCAGGTATCATTTTTTGTGGACGTACACTCACTGCTCCAATGCTGTTAGCAGTACCTACTTCAAGTAAGTCAAATCTGCTAACTGTTCAAGAGCCTTGCGGAAAATGCACTATAAAAAAACTGCATGCATATTTCAAAAGTTTTTCATACTGATAGATCCTTAGCTTTCCCAAACTACATGAAACATCCTTGAACAGGTGCAGAGCAACAGGACTTGACCCTATCAAATCTGTGTCAGTGGCAGTAGGTCAACTGCGGAGTCCCTTCAGCACAGTCGACTCACCGGGAAGCGCAGCTTTGCTGATGATTCCCGTGAGCAGAGCCAGCTCCTGCAGGGACCCCACGCTCATCTCCTGACAGCGCAGAATGGCCTGGATGGTGTCGGAGTGCGCAATGAGGAACTGCAACACCTAGGTCAAGGGTAAAGCAGAAGTGGAGTGGAGGAGCCAGAGCAGCAAATCGTCACGTGACTGCACAATTCATTCCAGTAATATCGACACATGTAATCCAACGTAACGGGGACGAGTAAGAGACTGCTTTCTATGCTTAGGTTTATTTTTTTCAGGAAACAAATATTAAACTAGGCTTCACAAGAACTAGAAAGATAAAGATAAATCAAGCATATAAAGGCTGCTGTAGAGAGGTTTCAACGTATAACAGAATTTGCAATGATAAAAACAGTGTAGGACCCTTCGGTACAAGAACGTAAAATAAGAAGACATGAAATGACTACAGAGCTAAAGACACTGCTTGACAAAAGTGACTCCCTGACACAAAGACAAGAGCATTAAAGGTTCCAACTCTCCCGGTAAACCAAGGAGATAAAATCCTGAGCTCCAAATCGTCCCCTTTCACCATCACAGAGGACTTGCAATGATTTCAACTGCAGAATTATCTCAATGCAAAGACTATAAAAAATACGCCACGCAAGCACCTGCAACACTCAGGAACTGTGCGCCTTTCTGTATTTTAATACAGGTGCCTGAGCTCCCCAACAACTGCTGGGCATGAAATTCGGTGACCTGTATTTGTTTTTTTTTTAAAAAAAAGAAGCTTCCTGGGGTGGACACTGTAGCACTGCAGATTAAGCCACATATGTCAGTACTGGCATTCCATATGGGTTCAAATCCCTACTGCTCCACTTCCACTTCAGCTTCTGTCTTTGGCTTGGTCCAGTCCTGGCTGCTGCAGCTGTGTGGGGAGAGTGAACCAGCTGAGGGAAAGCATCACTCTGCTCGTTTCTATGTAACTCTGCTCTGCTTTTAAAAAGGAAATAAATGAAAACTTAAACAGCAACCTCTACGTTGACAGGAGAAGGCTCAGCCTGACAGGAGAAGCAGACAAAAGGTCCAGAAACCAGAGCATTTCAGGACGCGGCTCCTGAGGACAGCACAGCTTACTGAGACAAGATACAAGACTGCGCATACATGGAATGAGCCTAATGAATCACTGCAAGGACAGATTACAGACTGTACTAACTTTTTTTTTCAGATTTATTTTTATTGCAAAAGCAGACTTACAGAGAGATGGAGAGACAGACAGCTAGAGAGAGAGCTATGGCCCATCTGCTGGTTCACGTCCCAATGGTACCCATACGGGACGCCAGCAACGCAGGGAGAGGCTCAACCCCTACTGCTGGTCACTACTGCATTAATTCAATGAAACCAATATGTTTGATGGTTTCACTGAAATGCAATGATTCCTGTTGTTTAAAGGAAAAGAAATCTGATAGATAGAGAATTCACGTGGTTCAAGTCCTCATTCTCTAAGTGTGGCCTTATTATCTACGTTCTGTACTTTCTGCAAAACACAGTATACTTCTCCAAATAAACCTGATTTAATTACTTCTTAAAAGAGAGCTCATTCTCACTGTAACTGCTTTCATTTTAAAAGAGTAAATTTTAAGCACTTGCTCTCCATTTTAGGATTCTACTGGTTAATTAAAAGTGTTCATTCAACACAGAGAAAAGATAAAGTCTGTTTTCTTTTTAATTTTTAAAGGTTTAATTATTCACATATCCATCTGAAACAGAGTGGCAGAGAGAAGCAAAACGAGCCAGGAACTCCATGTTGCAACAGGGCCTAGGGGCCTTCGGGGCGAGCCGCTTCAGAAGCAATGGGGACTCAAACTGGCACTCCGCTACAGGAGCAGGCAGCTTAACCTGCACTGGCACAGTGCCTACTGGGGGCCCTTGTTTCCTATCTCAACGTATTTTAAGGATTGATTGATTTGTATTTGAAAGGCTGATTTCACAGACAGAAGGAGAGACAGAGAGCAATCTTCCATCCACTGGTTCACTCCTCAAGTGGATGCAATGGCTGGAGCTGAGCCAATCCAAGGCTGCGAGCTCAGAGCTTCTTCAGTCTCCTATGTGGGTACAGAACTCGAAGGACTTGGGCTACCCACAGCCAGGACACAAGCTGGTGCTCATATGAAATGCTGGCACTACAGACAGGGATTAGCTGGCTATGTTACCACACTGGCCCCTTATACCTACATCTGCTACAAAGAGCAAGATTAAATTCTATTCACATCAGCTTTCTATGTGTTCAATTTCTTTCTGTGTTTGTAAAATGAGGATTTTGTAGTGTACAACTCCTAAGAAGAGAAGCTCTCTTACCTGCCCTGCTGCTTGCAGGTGCTGGGCCATACTGGATGTGAGGATCACCTGACAGAGCCGCAGAGCCGGAAGGAGAATCTGACGATAGCGATCCACTGGTGTGGGGATGAACACCGGCCGGTCCCGCATGCCAAACACCCTGGATTCATCCCAACCAGGAGGAGAGAGCAACATTCCCAGGGTTAAGGTATATTCTCCTAAAAGCCAGGGAGCTTGAGAGAGAGTTTGATCTTCAGTTCACTGGTTCACTCTCTCCAAACCCCCAACTGCCCATAACAGCAAGGCCTGGGTCAGGCTGCAGCCAGGACCCCCAAGACACCAAGAGGGTCTCCCCTGTCGCTGGCGAGATCCTGACTTATACCCTGCACCCGTGTGGGAGACCTGGAAGAAGTTCCTGGCTCCCGGCTTCAGATCGGCACTGCACCAACCGTTCCGCTCACTTGGGGAGTGAATCATCGGGCAGAGGATCTTCCTCTCTGTCTCTCCTCCTCTCTGTATATCTGACTTTGTAATAAAACTAAAATAAATCTTAAAAAAAAAAAAAAAAAGGAATAAGACTGGGAAGAAACACTTCTAATAACAAAATTCTCTCCCATATTCTAAAGTAGAATAGTATTCTGAAAGGGAAAGCATTAGGCCTTATTTACTTTCTTTGCTCTTACTTGCAAACTCCCATTAGGACAGCATAGAGACGTATAGCCAAACACACAAGGGAGTCAAGTGAGAGAATATTACTAAACCGGAATCATACACCAGTGGGAAAATGACACGTGCTATTTCCTTAACAACCCTTTCACGGGACTCGAACCAAAGTGGCCTATGTGAACACTTACCCCTGTGCATCCATTTCTGGACGCATGTCATAGACTTGGCATTGTGCTAGCCGCACAATCACTCCGGACCTCAACAGCTCCAAGGCGCCTTGCTGTATCTTAGCGACTCTTGTGAGAAATGCCTACAAAGTCACAGACGGAAAAATCAACAGTGTGGAACTCACGGGAAAGGACCCCTACAGAAATGAGACTTTCTCACAGCATTTTTCTCACCTTCAATCACCAATGAAAACAAACTCGGAGCTAGCTAGCTACAAGGGAACAATACACTGCCTTTCTCAGGATTTTATAAGCACTCACTACAACATATCTAAACTGCCTACATACTGGGCCATGCATGAAATAAACATGCAACTAAAATAATTTTTCGTTATCACGTGGCCAGAGATGCTTATATGTCTGTAGTACCCAAAGCCATGTGTGGCATTTATTGGGTATTCAGTTCAAAACTTGTCACGTTAACAAATGAACACAGAAAAGGGAGTTAAGTGCTCCCAAACTGTGATACTCATGCTAAGTTCAACCAGGAAGAAACAAAATATTAAAACAGATTTGTAGGCAAGTAAACAAAGTCGGAGCCAACCTATCTGTATTGGAAATGGGCGTCTAAAGTACAGCACCTGAATTTAACAGGCAGCTAATGAAGAGCGAATTGTACTGCAGATGCCTCGTGCAGCACCAAGTGTCAGACCACCACCACCAGTGCTCAGCCCCCATTATCCAGCTCATTTTGTCAGGACCACTTCAATTTATTTATTTCTTTAACTAAAAATATATTTTTTGGTCAACACAGCATCTTTATTGTCAGACTTCAATTTATCCTTCACACAGTGAATATGTTTCCTACACAGATCCCCACATGCAGAACTCAGGACAGCATGTATGACAGAAGACAATCACCAAAACGTATGAGCCACTCATTCTCTTCAATATGTCTGCAGCCCCAAGAAGAATAACCAGCTGGTGTTCACCAAGTCATACCATTTTGGACTCGTAGGTATAGAGGGCTTTTAAGAGGGGAGGTTGCGGAGTCAGCAGACTCTGCAAAGTCCGGTCATCTTCCAGCAGGCTGTCCACAAGGACCTTCAGATAGCCGCTGTTGGAGAGGTACAGAAGCCATTGCTGCTGCTTATCCACGGAGACGATCCGATCCAGCAGGGCCAGGGCCAGCATCTGAGGGGACAGCGAGGCAGAGTACAACAGTACGTGACAGGAACGGCTGACCTACAAATGCTTTAGAGCCTTTTGCAAGACAATGGAATGCTTGCAAGAAAATCTCTTCATTGTTTAAAACACGCTGCAGATTATAGATACAGGTTCAGAATTTAGGTCCATTAATAAGTAAAAGTATATTTTGGTACCATATTAAAATAATGACACTGACTATATTTTAGAAGAATTTAGAAATCAACTAAGAGGTTTAACAAAGTTCTTTTTTTTCTAATTGTGAAGTTTCACACACTCATTACAGAAAACCCAGAAAGGCATATTAATAAAGACATTATCAAATAAAATGGTTTCATCCTTTTAGGTCTATTTCTTCCCAGTGTTTTTTCTTTAATTTCTAAAAATAATTTAAGGATTTTGAAAAACTCAACCAAGATCACTACATGTTTGCCCCATTTTCAAAAATCTTTTTCCCACGCCAGGCGCGGTAGCCTAGCAGCTAAAGCACTTGCTTTGCATGCGCCGGGATCCCATATGGGCCCCGCTTCCCATCCAGCTCCCTGCTTGTGGCAGTGGAGGATGGCCCAAAGCCTTGGGACCTTGCATCTGTGTGGGAGACCCAGAAGAGGCTCCAGGCTCCTGCCTTCACATTGGCTCAGCTCCAGCCATTGAGGCTGTTTGGGGAGTTAGTCATCAGATGGAACATCTTTCTCGCTGTTTCTCCTCAGTATGTCTGACTGTCCAATAAAAATGAAAATAAATAAATAAATCATATTTCCAGGGACTAGTGCAGTGGTATAGTATGCTCAGCTTCAGCCCGAGGTGCCAGGCATCCATATGGATTTCGCTTCACTGCCAGCCCAGCTCCCTCTTTGATGGTTTGGGAAAGCAACAATGGCCCAAGTCCTTAGCTCCTGCATCCATGTGGGAGACTTGGAAGAAGCTCCTGGCTTCCGGTTTCAGATATTAACCCAGTTCCAGCCACTGCAGCTATTTGAGCAGTGAACCAACGGATAAACAAGCTCTTTGTCACCCTGCCTCTCAAACACAAAACTAAATAAATCAATCCTTTAAAAAGTCATATTTCTGTAGTCTTCAAAAATATGATTTACTGTTAAATAATCTTCCACTGAGAGAAAAATTATCTTCCCAGCGCTATCTCAGGCATGTCACAACATTTTAAGGAACTATAAATACAAGTTTACATTCACAAAGACTTAGACAAGAAAAAGCTATATTCCGTATAAAGATAATTCAGCATTCTGTTAATCAAAGATCATTTTTAGGCGGTGTTTTCGTCAGTATTTTTACCCTAGTCAACCTCAAAATTAGCAAAAAAGATTATTCTGAGATGAAATTCTGCATTAACATTCTGAACAGAATTGAGCAAGACACATGAATAAATGCAAGGCCTAAATGAGCAAGTTTTCAAAATGTCACACGTTTCGAAAGCCCATTCAGTGAACAGCTCAGCCCGTTCTAAACCCCACCGGGGCGGACGTTACCCTGCCGATCTCGTGGCCGTCACAGGCGTCACGACACACCACCTCCATCAGGGTAGCACCGTAGCTCTCAATGATGGCCACGTTTTCTCGCTGCAATTTACTGAACACATCTTCTGGGGCTGTCAGCCTTTCCCACATGGTTTTCTTAGCTGAAGAATTAAAACAAAGCATACTCCAATCAAGAATAAGTAATTATGTCTCAGAAGCAACAAGAAAAACCCCTGCGTGACTGAATGTACAAAGGCCCGCTGTCTCATGGGCCAGGCACAGGACCCTTTCAGAACACCATCTTCACATTTCTCATCAGCGGGCACTATACAACAGTATCAGAAAATACTTTCCCTAAATAAATTTATCAAAATGAGTTATGAGACTCTAAGAGAATCAATATGCTCTATTTATCCCATTGATTAATCGGATTTGTTTTACTAAGATCTTGACAATATGGCTATAAAGGACTAGGTCAAATGGGGACAACCTATCATTTTAATTTACTTTAGTTGGAATGCTTATTAAATATAGCAAGCACACACACAGACAAGGGTAATATAAACATATAATGATAACCAGTGGCACGAGCACATATTTGGTGTGATTTACATAAGCATCTTAGAAAAGTTCCTCAAATACGCTAAATATAGTTGTAACCTGTATTTGAAACCAATTTCATGACTTTCTGCCCTAATTAGCACAGTTTTCAAATTGTCATCTTGATGAGGAAAGCATTCTTAGTAGTTCCACATAGCAGTTGAGTAGTGATTATTCTAAACAAAATGAATGTAAAAAAAAAAAAATGTAATGGAAATGTGGAAACTGTTCCTAACAGGGAAGTTCCACTCTACCCCTATACTTTATGTACCTATTTCTACTTTGGCTGAAAGTTAGAAAAACAGACATTTGTTTTTCTCAAAGTGCCCGCCCAAACCAAGCTGAGCTAAACTGGGGTGCCATCCACGGCTCTGTGTGCTGGCAGATCTGACGGGTTCCAGCAGGGAGCGCGTTAGCAGCCAGGACTGCAACTCAACACTGGCAGAGGGAGTGCGGGCATTCGAGCAGCTTCCTAAACACTGTGCTAAAGCCCACCCCATGACCTTGCCACAGGAAGCGTGCCTGCTTCAAACCCTCTCAGAATGATTCTATTGGTGCTCCTAGCGTTCAAGGTATTCTTCTGCCTCATTTCAGTAGGTAATACACTTCTATAAATTCATCTTTCGGCTACTCCTCCCTTCTAAGGTGCTAAAGCACAGCAGACAACCTGCAAGCTTAGTATGAATTAAACTACTCCTCACACTACCATAATCTCTAGGAATCTGTGTACAAAACGACACACACTCATAAGTAAGAAGGCAGTGAGTTGCCAGAAAGTGGTCTGGCATTTGCCTAACAAACAGAATAACTCTGGCACGGAATCCTATATGATAGCATGCTGAACATTAACAACAGTTTTTCACATTTGAAAACAAAAGATTCCAGATTATTATTCTCAATTTTAAATGCTATCCATATTTTAAAGATGAGCATTCATCAACATTATTTAAAACATGTCTATCAGGCCCAGTTGGTAGCCTAGGAGTTAAGAGTTCTTGCCTTGCGCGCCTGGTATCCCATTTGGGTGCTGCGTTGTGTCCCAGCTGCTCCACTTCCCATCCAGCTCCCTGCTTGTGGCCTGGGAAAGCAGTCGAGGACGGCCCAAACCCTTGGGACCCTGCACCCGTGTGGAGACCTGGAAGAAGCTCTTGGCTTCGGTTCGGTTTAGCTCCAGTCACTGCACTCACTTGGGGAGTGAGCCAGCAGATAGAAGATGTTTCTCTCTATCTCTCCTCCTCTCTGTGTATCTGACTTTGTAATAAAACCAAAATAAATCTTTAGAACAAAGACAAAAACTAATGCCTACCTTATAACTAAGAAATTCTGTTGTTAGATTTATCAAAAAGTTTCACACCACTGCAAAAACATTTTTGGGACACTATTATACAGTCAACACTGGCGATGTCTGTTTAGAAGGCCGTTTGGTATAATCTATTAAAATAAAGTGAGCAAACTCCACTACAAAGAATCCTCCTGAGTAACAAAGCCATGTTCGACCCAGCACTTTCGTGACTGTAAAAAATGAGACACAATTTAAAGGCTCATGAATACAGAAAATGATTCAATAAATCTTACGTCCACACTGGACTGACACAGTTACATGTGTACTGCAGCATAGTACAAGGGAGGAAAGACACTGTACACTCTGCATAGCACTCTGCTCGGCAGGACTGAGCCATTCACAGTGAGCGACTTACAGAAATACATAAAGCCGTACTAGTATTTATGTAGCAAGGTTCCTCTGCCAAACAATAATAATGTACTATCATAACACTTAAAAACTACATATTCTTCCTGCACTTCAGAGGACACACTTTAATGACCATTTTTAAATTTTCAGCAGCCTTCTCTAAGAAGGACGATGAAGAATCAAGCGCACTGTACCTGCTTCTAAAGTGTCGGGTTCATCTGGCCTCTGGGCGATCTGTAGGTAATAGAGCAGAGAGCCGTACAGGTGAGTCCGCACCCGCTGGAAGCCGCCGCCTACAGAAGAGGCACACGCACAGTCAACCCGTTTAGGACAATGCAAGTCAAAACACAAAGTTGGAATTTAGAGATGAAAAAAAAAAAAAAACCTGTCTTCAAAATGAAGTCCAATAATTTTTTCAAAATGATGTGAAGTGAAGAATCCCCGATGGAAGCGAAGCCCACTGGGGGGCTCTCTGCCGAAGGAGAGGTGACACTGTGAAGCATGAAAGCATAGTGGGCCTCTCCGGGGCTCGAGACCACCATCTGCTTCTGTTCTGTGCGGACGGCTTGGCTGAGGTGGGCAGTCAGTGTGAACACAGCACCAGCGACCACCGGCATCAACTCTTGCGCTGCCTCATCATCCAGTATCTGAGAGCCAGAGGAAAATTAGAATGAGGATGGAATTTCTAGCTACAATCATCAGTTTCATATATATTTAACTTTACAACTACTAATAACGTAAGAATTGTTATAAGGGGCCAGAGTAGTGGCACAGGGAGTTAAGCTGACACATGCGATGAGAACATCCCATATGGGTGGCCAGTTCAGGAACTGGTTATTCTACTTTTGATTCTGTTCTTTGCAAAGGCAGCAGGAGGTGGCCCAAATCTCAGGATCCAGCAACCACAGGAAGACCTGCCTGGAGTCCCTGGCTCTTGGCTCTGGACGTGCCTAGCCCTGGCCAGCATTGTGACACAGCAGGTAAAGTTGCTGTGTGCAGTGCCAACATCCCACATGGTCACGGTCTCTCATCCCAGCTGCTCTAATTCTGATCCTTCTCCCTGCCGGGGACCTGGGAGGCAGCAGACAATGGCCGAAGTCCTTGTGCTCCTGAACCCACAGGAAAGATCCAGAGAAGTTCCTGGCTTCCCAACCAGCCCAACTCCAGCCACTATGGCTATGTGAGTGAACCAGCCTCTTGAACTCAGCCTTCCAAATAATACATGCATCTTTAAAAAGGAATGAATCTTACAAAACACGAAAATGAATTATGAAAAAGAAAGGGGGAAAAAGCAAGCTAACATATAGCGACAACCTTAAGTATAGTTTCCTACCCTTGGGAGATATGTTCCAAGACCCCCAGGGAATGCGCAAAGCCTTCTTACACTATTATTTCCGATATATACATTCTTATGATAGTTTAATAAGTGAGGCATACTAAGAAGTCAGTAATAAATAAAAAACAACTATAATAAGTTACATGAGAGTGGTGTCTCAAAAACTACAACTATACTGTATTCACTAATTTTTTTTTTAAGATTTATTTTTTTCATTTGAAAGGCAGAGTACAGGGAAAGAGAGTCTTCTCTGCACTCATTCAATGCCCAAAGGCCCATCAAGGAGAGCACTGGCACAGCCGAAGCCAGGGGCCGGCAGGTCCTTCCAGCTCCGCCGCACTTGGGCCATCTTCCAGTGCTTTGCCATGCACATTAGCAGGGAGCTGAGCAAGAAGTAGAGAAGCCAGGACTTGAACTAGCACAGATATGGAAAGCCAGCACTGCAGGCAGAGTCTTAACTTGCTATGCCACAACACTGTCCCTTCCCCTCCCCCACTAGGTGCTCACACTTCCTGCTCTCATTGACCACAGGTAGCCTAAACAATGGACAGAAAAATGGCAGCTAAGGAATGCTACACGATGGTGAGGTAACCAGCTTCTCAACCAGCAGGGCTTCCTATCAGAAGATCCTAGCGAGGGGCTGGCACGTAGAGACCACAGCAAGTCCCACTCAGGTCTGGGGTAGGATCTGTGTGCACTTTCAACAGGCTCCTTCGGTCATTCTGACACCCAGTCACTACAAGTACAGAAATGATGTCTTTTTCAAGGCAAGTTCTAACACTGACATTACACAACTCGATTTTAGTCCTAATCTAAAACAGAAAAAATAAATCAGGAAACAACATCTGCTTGCTCACGTTGCATCGATTTGTTTAGCAGTGCCAAGTAACTTGGGGAGCTGGTCACCTTATCGTGCACATCTTGTAAAATATCCCGGATGATGAGCTGCCGGTCCTCTGGCTGGATCAGGTCCTGGGGGCAGGCGGTCAGGATGATCTCGACGAGCTGCCGCCAGGACTCGAGCGCGTGGCGCTTGGCGTGAAGGCACTGCAGCAGCTTGTTCCTTGCTACCACGTACTGAAGAATGGTGCTGATTTCCTGAGGCCAGAGACGGAGTCACAACGTTACACACAGCCGGGAGCAGCCGTTACTGACAAGCTTCTATGTGGAACCTTGCCAGACAATCCACATGGAAACTACTACACACGGATCAGGCCACAGATACTATGAGAAGTGTGTGTGTGTGTGTGTGTGAATGGCAGGAGCCAGGGAGGGAAGTCTTTAACATTATCTTCTTTCTGCAGTTGTCTACTTATTCTTTCTCTAGAGCATGACAACTACCGAGTTCAATGCCAGGCTCCCGTGGCACACCTTTCATTTCTCAGCGTCTTCTTCTGATGAGGTCAGCTATGCTTCCACATCCATGGTTCTTCCCACCTGAATTCTTACCCAGAAAACTCCCTTCTTTACTAACAAATGACCCAGCCCGCCTCACGTGTAAGCAGTAATGAAGTCTACCACTTAACACAGTTCTAATAGCCTGGCAGCAAAACCGTTATGTCAGAAGATCACACATCAACTTCAGTTCCATTCACAAAAGTCATAAAATTAAAAGGAAAAGAACCCACTGAAATTTCATTTTTATGTAGTTTACTAATAAATTCTACGGTAACTGAGATTTGCGTCTTTTACATAGCTGAAAGGTTAAAACTGAAATAGACCCAACAGACTTGATGAAACTCACCTCCATCAGCAGTGGCCTCTGTCCGATGGCTGCCATGCCCTGCAGGGCGTTCACTTCCGCCACCAGGACCCTATGAAGAAGCTGTATAGTGAAGAAAAGAGAAACGAGACCACGAGACTCAGCAGCGGAACAACAACACTTGGCAATTACCATCAGCTGTCCTACAGGAGAAAAAGTCAAGATCTCAACAACAGTGGCAGTGCCCAATTTCCAAACAAAAAACCTCAGGGATGGGAAGGCCCATCCCAGAGCGGCACCGAAGCACCCCTCCAGTGGCTGAGTCAATCCGAGTGCCCTGAACACGGCTCATCTTCTGGGAAGGCCAGGAACAGAACAGTTAAAAACAACCCCACAGGGCCCGGCGGCGTGGCCTAGCACCTAAAGTCCTCGCCTTGAATGCACTGGGGATCCCATATGGGCACCGGTTCTAATCCCAGCAGCTCTACTTCCCACCCAGCTCCCTGCTTGTGGCCTGGGAAAGCAGTCGAGGACGGCCTAAAGCTTTGGGACCCTGCACCCGTGTGGGATACCTGGAAGAAGTTCCTGGCTCCTGGCTTCGGATCGGCACTGCACCAGCCGTTGCGCTCACTTGGGGAGTGAATCCTCAGGCAGAGGATCTTCCTCTCTGTCTCTCCTCCTCTCTGTATATCTGACTTTCCGATAAATAAATAAATCTTTTTTTTTTTTAAAAAACCCACAGCCCCTGCTCAGAAGGATAATTTAAAAAAAGGAATATTACAGTAGATCTAAAGAATTGACACGTGGTCTCTATGCTATCTGCTGGCCGTCTGACAAAGAGAATCATCTTACACAAGCTAGTGAGATCTCCTGCCTAGATTTTTTACGACGGTTCACTTAAGGCCGCACACGCTCCACAGCCATCCCTACCTTCACATTGCACACCGTCTGGCCTCGGAAGTTCTTGTGTTCACAGTTCGCAATCACTTGTTCAATCTGGGCCCGGTCAAAGAAGTCCAGCTGCAGCGGCTCAGGAATTTCCTGACTGAAGTCAATGGAGTCAAGGATACTGAGAATTTTTCGACGTACTAGAAATGATAATAAATAATTCAGTTTTCTTTGGGACACTGAGAAGAGCAAAGCAACAACATGGCTCATTCTTGAAGACAGTGTTTTGTTAGGAAAGAATGCTCGTCTAGAAATCAAAGAATACAGCACTGAAATCTAAATCTGGTTTCATTTAAGATTTTCTTTTCTGTCCAGTTATCCTAGCTATTAAAAAATAATTAGATGTAGTGGCCAGCATGGAGGCTGAACAGACTAAACCATCAGGCACAACACCACACACGGTTGCTAGTTCCTGTCCTGGCTGCTCCACTTCCCACCTAGCTCTGGCTTATGCTTGTGAGGAACGCTCAAGCCCTTGGCCTCTGCATGCATGAGGGAGACCTGGAAGAAGCTCCTGGCTCCTGCCTTCGGATAGGCTCTGTTCTGGCCAGCGGTCATTTGTGGAATGGAATAATGGGTCAAGCATCTTTCTCTCTCTGTCTCTCCTCTCCGTTCGTGAAATCTACCTTTCAAATAAAAATAAATAAATCTTAAAAAAAAATCTAACTGTAACAAATAATCCTCTTTGTGCGTACAACTTTTCTGACAGCTCAGAATTTCCAGGGACAAGCATAATACGCTCTACAAGTAATTTGTCTATAAATAAATTCATTCTTAATTCAACGGGCTTTACCTTTAGTAGCAGTGTCAAAGTGAAGAAACCCAGAGACAGATCTATTTTCGTCTTCTGTTCCCCCTTCTCCATCTGCTGAATCATCAATAACAATGGAATGCAAGATGAAAAACATTGCATCTTATTTCTAGGTCATCCTGTCTACATCAAAGAATCCCTTTCAAACGGACAGTTAAAATGCAAAGACTGATGAGGTGTGACTGCCAACATTCATCTAATTCTGTCCCTGAAAAATCTACTTCCCAGTTGTAACGAAGATAATCAGGTTTCCAAAAGTGACAAGACTGAATTATGCCAAGTGGGATGATTCAAAAAGCTTACACTTCATCTGCATGACGCTTAGTACAACAAAATCCAACAAATATTTTGTATACAGCTAGCATGGTACAATTCAATGTGCATGCTTAAAACCAATAAAATGACAATGATGTGGTTTTTAAATTTGTTGTGTTACAGAAAACTATTTTAAATGTGTGAGAACCATGTTGGTTTATCATCACATGCTAAAGACAAGACTCAGATTTGTGCTTGTATTCATTCACAAAGACCAGTCACCAACACAATAAGACAAACACCAACATTCACCTGAGTATGGCTTCACTGGCATGTCATCTAACAGCAGGTGCAGGAGCCTCTGGGTGTGCGACCGCTGACGGTTGAGAGAAGTGACTCTTAGTTCTATTGAGGCAGTCTTCATAAGCCACGACATTTGGTTTAGCATAGATATTTCATATTCTGGAATTTAAACATGTAAATTTCATTTCCCAGAATAACAGAAAAAGATCAGAATAGATTTAAATTCCAAAATTCATCAGATACTCTCCCATGCAAGAAACTCAATAATTTAGGAAGTTTACCAAAATTAACATTACTCTGTAAAATTAGAAAGGAAAAAATATATATCAAGAGAAAAAAAACAAATTAGTATATGTCTTCAAAGATGAGCTAAATCAAATGAAAAAGAACAGAGAATAAAGGCTCCATTACAATAGTTTCACAAACAGCCTCTGAATCTGTCATATGTTGATATTAACACATAACTTAAGAAAAGTAATATGCAGTTTGTATAAAAACTACATTTTGATCTTGATTTCATGAAACACATTTTTTAAAAAATAAACTCAAATTTTATAATTAAAAAAACTTATTTATCCTACTGGAAAGGAAGATCTGTAGAGAAAGAGACAAAGAGAGAGATCCTCCATCTGTTGGTTCGTTTCCCAAATGACCACAAGGGCCATAGTGATGGTCTGAAGCTGCAAGCCTCCTCCAGGTCTCCTGTGTGAGCACAGGGGCGCAAAATCTTGCACCAGCCCCACAGCTTTCCCAGGAGACAGAAGGGAGCTAGTGGTTAGGAAGTGGAGTAGCCAGGACTCAAACTGGCACCCACAGGGGATGCTGACCTTGAATGTGGAAGCTTAGCATGATACATCACCATGTTCTCCTAACTTGTGTGATTATTTGATATCTATTAAGATAACTAAAGATTCTTTTCACATATCCTAAAAGTTACAATCAACTCCACATTCCCTTAAATACTTAAGTCTTAAATTGTTGACAATAGAAACATGAAATTCTTCAAATTATTATATATAATGTTATTCTCCAAACAACTAACCATATTCATAATTTTGGGCAAAGCTAAGTCAATTTGTTTCATTCTTCTTTTTTTTTTTTAAAGGCACATACACAGAGAGGAGATGCAGAGAAAGATCTTTCATCCAAAAGCTGAGCGAATTCAAAGCCAGGAACTTCCTTCAGGTCTCCCACACAGGTGCAGGGTCCCAAGGCTTTGGGCTGTCCTCGACTGCTCTCCCAGGCCACAAGCAGGGAGCTGGATGGAAAGCGCGGTCACTAAGACATGAACCAACGCCCATATGGGATTCCCGGCATGTGCAAGGCGAGGACGTTAGCCACTAGCTACCTCACTGGGCTTGCTGAGTCAATTTCTAAAAAGTACATATCATTATAAGTTTCATACTAAGAATTCTTTTGAATTAGGTATAAAAAGTTTTTAAAAGCTTCACATATTAAAAAAATCTCAAAACTAAAAATACCTTTTTGCCCTAATTAACTATGTAAAGATTGTCAAAAATATAATTTAAAAAATGGGAAAAAAAAAACCCTAAAAATAAAAGAGGGGGCCAGCATATGCTGTGGCATAGTGGGTTAAGCTGATGTCTAAAACACTGGCATGCCACGTGGGTGCTAGTTCAAGTTCCTGTTACTCCACTTCTGATTCAGGTCTCCGACAGTGGCCTGGGAAAAGCAGTGGAGGCTGGCTCAAGCGTCTGGGCCTCTGCCAAGCAGCTGGGAGACCTGGATGGAACTCCTGCAGGACCCGGCCAACTGTGACTCCATACACAATCAGTACACGGAAGACTGCTGTTTCATCTCCTCCTCCCTCCTCCCTTTTCTGTATAACTATTTAAAATAAATAGATCTTTTAAAAAATAATAAATGAAAAAAATTTTAAGCTACCAAATAATTATAGGAAAGTTAACAACGTGAAACTAGATTTTCACAAATACTGTTAACTTCTATGCAATGAATAAATAAATTAAAAAAAAAATCAGTGTGGACAGTAAGGGAAGAGAATGCCCTCCTACCTTTGTTAGAAAAAGGCAAATGCTGCAGCTGAGAAAATAAGAAATCCTGGCTCGTTCTCAAGTACCTCATAGTGGGGCCAGACGTATCAGAGCATGCACACAGCTGGTATATCACCTACGGGATGCAAATGAGAGAATTCCGAAAGCAACGTTGTGCTAGACACTTTGAGATACAAATTTCAAGTTACCAAGTAAACAAGGAAATCTATCAGCAACTCCAACAAGCCGGATTAACATATTCACAATCAGCAGCTCAGAATCACAAGCAGTTCTCAGCACCTGGCTCAAGCGAGCCCAAGGAAATACAGTCGAGTATGAAGAATATCACTGTAGTGTTGATGTCACCAGCAACACTTAACAATATGTTCACATGTAGTTAACAAAAAGTTTTAGTATTTAACTACTATTAGTTACAAATTCCTGCAAGGTAAACTTTGAAGCAACTGCAGAAATCATAAAGATCCACTACTGAGTCAAACCATAAAGATAACCAATGGGTAGAGTTCTAAGCTATTTCATTTCCAATCTAGCTGCCTGACAATGAGCCTGGAAAAGCAGCTGAAGATGGCCCAAGTGTCTGGTCCCTGCCGCCCGGCTGAAGATGGCCCACGTGCCTGGTCCCTTCCGCCCAGCTGAAGATGGCCCACGTGCCTGGTCCCTGCCGCCCAGCTGAAGGTGGCCCAAGTGCCTGGTCCCTGCCGCCCAGGTGGAGTTCCAGGCTCCTGACTTTAGCCTGGCCTAGTTCTGGCTGCTGTGGCCGTTTTGCAAAGTGAATTAGTGAATCCAGGATGGAAGATCATCTCTCTCTCTCTCTGCAATTCTATCTTACAAATATATTTGTAAAATTAAAAAGTGAAAACAATACAACTATTGGAGAGTTTCCATACTAGCAGATCAAAATATATCACAAAAATGTCATTTCTATCATTTGTTTTTAGAAGTTGTCAACATACGGGACCTTCAGATCTTCTGGATCTTGGGATTTAGATTTTATCTATAAGAGAGAACTGGTCAAATTAAGCTCATTTCAACTCAGACTGTGGTGTGTTCCATCCGTTGTGTGTACCTGGTAACACAGCTCTGCCAGCTGAGGAGCTTCCCGAACAGCCACAGGGCCGCTTCTTCCCTCTGCCCCTTTCTCCAAGATGTTCAGGATGGCGTGAAGGCAGGTCCGCGGGCAACCCAGGACTCCTACGTGAAAGAGAATTCAGCTTCTGCTTGAGAACTTTTGCCTTATAAAAAGTTGAATTTTATACACACATGTTCTGTAGCAAACACTCTGAAATGCTGCTACAAAAAACTGCTCAATGCCAACTCCCTAAAGTTCCAATTGGTCAATCTTGGTCTAAGCCCCACTTTGTGTTTCAAATGATTTATTTCTGTCAATGAATTACTTCATTAGACCAAAAAGCAGTAAATGATCACTTGTGTGCACACATATGAAAATTAATAAAGAAATAAGTGCCTCCACATCCTACAAGCGTACCTGGGTCTTGCAGGTTTGTGGTGCTGACAGGTTTCTTTAGCTCAAAGCCCAATAGGTAGAGAGCAAGATTGGGTGGATTGCGCTCCAAAGAGGTAATAAGAAGATTCAAGATGTGGGTTCTTGTTTCGTGTCGGATTACGGCTAATTTCTTTTCAAGTTCTGACCCTTGATGTGGAAATCATACAATAAAAATACAAAATGACACAAATTGAACATAAGTTAGCTTTTTGATTTACCTCAACAGCTGTTACACTGGCTTCAGATTTATTTATAGACAAATCCTAAAATCATTACATACTTAACTCTAGCAAATTCTTATCTTCTGTTAGATTATCACTAAACAAGTAAATACTTTTAAGATTCTTTCATATTAAGTACAAAGTAAAAAATATATATATATGCCTGGTAATCTCAGGTATACCTTCTTCCAGACGCACAAATTCTTCCGCATCCTCGCTGTCCAAGCATTCCACAAAGCCCGCCATCAGCTTCTGACTCACACTCTAAAGGCAGAGAAAGAGAAGCGACAAGTCGCAGGAGGCTGTTTAATTACACAAACTATAATAAACACGAATTTGCACACACATGCCTATAACATTTGTCTGTGAAGAAATAGAGCAAACCTGCCCCAACAACTTAGATTTTACTCATGTTTTGAACAGAAAACTCAGTTCCCTATATTATCATAAATTAGCTGTCAAAAAATTTCGAAAATGTTAGTTTTAACACTTGCTTCCCTACTTTCCTTCCCAAAGAATCACAATAAAATTTTTAAAATAGGGCCCAGAAAAATGGCTCAGTGGCCAAAACCATGCCTTACATGTGCCAGGACCCCATATGGATGCTGGTTTGTGTCCCAACTGTTCCACTTCCCATCCAACTCCCTGCTTGCAGCCTAGGAAACAGTAGAGGATGGCCCAAAGCCTTGGGACTCTACATCCACACAGGAGACCTGGAAGAGGCTCCTGGCTTTGGATCAGCTCAGCTCCAGCCATTGTGAACCAGTGGATGGAAGAGCTTCCTATCAGTCTCAACTTTTCTCTGTAAATCTGCCTTTCCAATAAAAATAAAACTAAAAATAATTCTTAAATTGTAAAAATAACACTACTGTTTCAAAACCTCTATTTTATACTCAACATTACGACATCTTAGCTAAAACTTTAATAAAAGGTGTCCTCTTCCGTCTTTAGAAACATATTACTCATCACCAATTCTGTATTTTTTGGCTTATTTGTTTAGAAATCTAGTAGAATGTTTAAATCAGTAATAATAATTTATACCAAAATGAACATCAACAAACCACAAATCTTCAACATTCCTATCACATTGCTTCATGAACTTCATTCCAAAGCCACAGATTGGACAAGTCTGTTTACCACAAACAGTAATTCTCAACCTGGGCACTGAGAAAGATGCAGTCATTTTGAGTTGTCACAACTGAAAGCTACCACCACAAACTGTGGCAGGGGAGCCAGGGACGCTAACGGTCTTTCAGTGTGAGGGGCAATTACCCCCAAGATGAAGATCTGTCCCAGCCCGACGGCAGAAGAATCCCTCTTCCTAAACACTGTAAAGGAGTACATAGTAAAAAACCAACTAGCTAAAGCATTTTCAACACAGAGATAAACTGGGGATAAAGGTCTACCCAAAAAAAAAAGTATTTCCCCACTTACAGCTATTCAGTGAAAAGAAATACAACTAATGTGAGTCAAATAAAAAGAAGAACACTTAAAAATTCTATTTTTGTTTCTTCTCCCAAGAGGTGGCACAAAAGTGACCCACTAGAACACCAGGGAAGCAGAAAACTCCACAGTGAACAAATGTAAAATGGCAGTGGGCAACTCAAAACGAAAGCAAGTGGCAGAAAACCAGCAGAAACTACTCATATTTTAAAATGTGCTTGGTGCAGCAGCTGTCTTATCAAGCTGCATATTCACAAACCATGGCACATGTCAAACTACAGCTAATATATGTATACTGCGATCAAAGACCAATCACAACCAAGACATGTGGTACTTCTTACCCATTCCCACGTAAATACACTTCAAGCACACTTTTCCACAAACAAGGATATAATTCCTCCACAGACTCTGACTTCCTTGTATACTCAGAATGCACCGAAAGTGACAAGAGAATCAGTTACCTGATCATGTGTGAAATCTCCAACCAATTTTATCTGAATATTGGAGTTGCAGGAGATACAGCACAGGATCTTAGCACTTTCAAAGGCTAATTCTGGATTAGTATTGCCATGATACAGGTATCTTTGGAACAAGAAAATATTTGAGAAACAAAATGACATAAAATCTCATCACTCCCAACAAAGCAACTTTAGCATTAGGACCCCTCCTACTCAAATAGCACCCTTGAATTAAATAGAAAATGGTGTCCTTTTCTAGCCAGCTACATGTTGAATTCAGGTTTCCCCAAACTTAGTAGACTGACATTCTAATCTACAGCCCCCTATTTGGAAACAGGCTTTTCTACTGGTAGTCAGTCAAGTTCAGACAAGGTCACTAAGGACCTAATGTGACTGGCGTCCTTCGAAAAATGGGAAATGTGGGCCTGGATATACAGTGCAGGGAGCTCACCCTGTTAAGCTAAAGCTAAAAGCAGAGGTTAGAGTGCTGTTTCTGCAAGCCACAGAACACTAAATCACAGGAGATGACTGTGTCGCATATCCAGCCCTCGCCTCCAAATAAGACTTAAAAATTCTTATAAAGTAATTTAGGAAGAAGAAAAGCAATTGTAGAGTAATATTAGATGAAGTACAGAAGGTAAGATGAAAATGAAGCAATGAAAAGAAAAAAAAATGATACATTCACTATCCAATGACATGCAGAAATCAAGGTCAGCAGGTCTATTTCTATAGCAACAAATGGGACGTACCTGGCAATGTTGACTACATTGTCTGCCTTCTTGGTTCTGGGATTGATTCCTTGCAATAGCTGTTCTAAAGGGGAGACGATCAGAGCCAGTTGGCTTTCCCTCAGCAGATCCATGAAGAGATTCTCCTTTTGCAGGGCAAGATTGAGCAGTGCAAGACAGTGCTGCACCGCCTTCTCCAGGTGCTTCTTCCCTAGAAGCCAAAAAGGAACTTCAGAAACGTTTTCACGTCTTAGGAAAACAAAGTGTAGATCCAAAAGGACTTCATGGCTTCAGACTTTCAGCACCAACTTGACAAACTGTTCACTTATCTAAAGCATGGTTTCGTTCGGGATGTAGACTACTTTTCTGGAATTGCTTCCCCTTTGCCTTTTTCCTGCTTAGGTAAAGCCATGGTTCTCAGACTAGGGTGATTTGGACCCAGATGACATTTGACAAGGCTTGCAGAAGTCTACGGTTGTCTCAACTGGGAAAGTCTTACCAGCCTCTGGTGGTTAGAAAGCTCTAACACATGTCAGACAACATCCACAATCAACAATTACTCAGCTCAAACTGCATCTGGTGTCAGTGCGGAGAAACTGACTCCGAGAAAGACACAATAGAAAATGAAAGAGCAGCTACCTGTAATCCTATCATTTAAATTGAAGAATCTGTCTTTTCTCATGTAGGCCATAGCCATCTTGAATGAAGGCAGCACGGTGGCACGAAGCACAGGGTCTGGAGCTAAACTGCCTGGGTTCGTACCCCAGCTCCGACACTCACTAAGCGAAGGCCGTGTCCCCTACCACACGTGCATTCATTTATTAATTGGAAATAAGATCTACCACTAAGAACTTTCATTGAAATTAAATGTCCTGATACAGTTACCAGACTTTTTAAAAAGCCAAATGCATAGTGAGCATACGAAAACAAATAATCAATAATAATATTAAATAAAATGTATTGAACACTGTACTATCTTAAGTGATTTTTTCTTGACAAACATAATGAGCTCACAAAATCAAAAATAGTTCAGATTGAAACTAGAACATGTTTCTAATGTTCTACAAGGGGCCCTGCCCCAGGACACAGCGACCGTATCTCTTGAATCCGCTCTCACTTCGGATGCACGCCCATTGAAATGACTCATTGAAAACATCACAGTAGAGAGAATCTCACAGCGAGAAGCAACTCCACAGATGATTTCCAACTCTCAGTTTACAACAGATACATAGCAGAACTGTTCTGTACAGGCACTTGTGGGCACACACCAGGAAAAGCAGCGTAGGTATCCAGCTGCTTCACTCCTTCCTCCAGTAAACTGAGGCACAGCTCCAACATGGGCGACTCATTCAGAAGATGGTACATCAGGCTAAATCCAGGCGGCTTGTAGGCGATGATCTCTTCTCCTAAATGGGACACAGCATAGTTCAAGAGACGTTTCATGTATGAAATTAATAAATTACATGACATCCACATACATGAAGGTACGTATCAACTTAAAAACAATAGAATCCTATTCAACAAACATTCCCGACAACCTTCTCGCACATAGCACTTAGTCGCCTGGATAGGCTAACACATTCAAAAGAAAAATTTGTCACTGCACTTGATCTTCCTCCATTTAATAAAATCGAATTTTCTCTTGAAAAACTAAGAGTGAAACAATGAAATGAAATGTTAAGTTCAAATTAAACATACAAATTGTTTTAACTTGAATATAACATATATATATGTAAAATTCATACAGGTAAGCAGCTGTATAAATAGCTGACATTTGATTAGAAAAAAAAATGTAATTACCTTGCAGCTCCACAAACTGATCTACAAAATCTTCAAGCTGGGGCTCATAATCTCTGAGCAATTTGTAAAACACCTCCAGCACCACCTCGGCCACCTCCCACTGCGCAAGGACACAAACACATCGTCAGCAACGGCACAGTCCAATGGCTGCCTTGCCAGGGTTTGCATTCCTCCCACTCACTGTCTGGTAAACAAGTCCCTTATCCATGTTATTAATTTACACAGAAATTAATTTATACAGAAATCCCAAAACATGTGGATTTTCCTAAAGGACAAAGGATTGTCGTATTTTCAAGATAAAATCTTTCTTAAAGCAACATTCTTAAAGAAACATGTCCACAGCAGAGGTTAAGGCTTTATGCAGAAATCTAAGGCCTTTAGTACTTAGTCCTTCATTAAAACATCAAAAAGGGTCAACCAAATTACATCGTGTCTAAGAATTTCAGCTGGAAAGGATCTGACAAATTATCTAATCATTGTTATTTCATAAGCAAAGTGAGTGAAGCTCAAAGTAATGCTGAAGCCCCCAGAACCACGAGTCCTGAGAGCAAGCAGCACATTCAGCCCCGGGCTCTGTCAGGCCAGGGGCCACACAACTGCACTGCAATGAAAGAGGACAGGACACAACCTCCGCAGGCTAAGCCCTACTGACCCCTGATTACCTAAGCATACAGGCAATTTAAAAAATCCCTAGAACTGTCCTTCCTTTGGCAACTGGATTAATGATGATATAATTTCTTATATTTCTTATATTTTTCTAATTACTCCATATTAGCATGAACTAAATTTTATAGTCATTAATATATCAATTTTTTAAACCCCACAACTTCAAAATCAACTGTAAAATTAAAGCAGAAATGCTGCTACAAAATATACTAAAGAGGATTCTGTGAGGTAATAAACAGCAATAATAGGCTAAAATAAATTACATCAGAACCTGCAAGGGTCTCTTACATAGCTTAGTGGTTATGAGCTTGGATCTGGAATCAGAGTCCTAGGTTCAAGTCCTGGTCCTGGACCTTAAAGCAAGTTCCTTAACCTTGCTAAGCCTCCATCTGTAAAATGGGAATGTTACTAGTACCTGCCTCAAGGTAGTATCAGAATTACATAAGATGACACATATGGTAAGCTGGGCAGATAGGTATCTTGCAACCAGAGCCAGTATGGGCATAAAGGTTAAATGCTTCCCAGGTTCCACTCATGGCAGACATGTCTGATGGAACTTGTTCCCACTAAACCAACATCCCACAGCTAAGAAGTGCTACTGACAGAAAGACACTGGTGTGCAAGTCAAGATTATTTCAATTCCTAACCTAACTCATCCCAATAAGGACTAACAGTATGATTCCCACAAAGGTGTGACATTCTCGGTTAAAGGTCAGCCAAAATTTGTTCAATCAAGGAACTGAATGACAACAAACTCATTTCATTTAAATTAATGATCGCTAATTGGTCAGTGCATTCATTTTAAATCCCCACCTTTTTTTTTATTTGAAAGACAGGGAGAGGAAAGAGAGAGAGAGCTCTTGCATCCACCAGCTTACTCCCCAATTGCTCCTTACAGCTGGGATTGGAACAGCAGTCCATCCAGGTCATTCACGTTGGTAGCAAGAAACCCAAGAACTTGAGCTTGAGCCATCACCTGCTACCTCCCAGGGTGCATGTTAACAGGAAGCTGAAAAATGGAAGCCCAGATGGAAGCGAAACCCAGACAGAAGAGAAGTGTCCCAAATACCATCTTGACTTTTATGCCAATCCCCACGCTGGTTCTCAACTTTTTAAATGAAACCAGACAATAGATTTTAGAATTAACACTGAACTGCACTGATTTTCAGATGTTAAAATGAACTTACAGCGCCTTACATCTTTCATTCAAAAAAAAAAAAAAAAAAAAAAGCAGTAAATGAATAAGGAGAGAAAAGCTTTTTTCGAACATAACCTTTTCAGCTGCTCTCCGGTAAGCTCTCGTGCGGAATCGAAGAAACACAGAATCTCTAAGAAACTGCAGATAAGGGTCAAAGCCAGGGGGCCGCAGCCCAGCGCCCAAGTTGGAAGGAAATGAGCTCTCCACCAGAGTACTAATGAGCTGGCAGAAGGCTCGCGTCAGTGGGTATTCTTCACACCGGGATTCTATTTCACTGAGTTCAACCTTTCAAGAACAACAGAGAAAATTTGATAACAGAAACAGCACAGCATCAAGCAGCACATCTTACAGACAGACTTAACTCATTATCGGTGCTACATCGCACCAAAATATATGTATCAGATATTGTCATTGTCATTTACAAGACACAGAAGTATTACAGGAATCTAGACTAACCAGAAGGAAGAATTCAAATATATCATCACCCATTCTGAATTAAAACCAACAATCTTAAATTGTCCTGAAGACAAAAAAGAAATGAAAATTTTCAGTTCATGCTAGCTCAAGTAAGCTAACTGAACTGAATTCACATTAAAAAAAAAAACAAAAAACTTACAGCAAACACAACAAATTTGAAATATATAGGAACTGTCCTTATCACTATATCTAAAACTGAGTTCAATATTGGGCTTTACCTCAATACCAATCGCTTGCCTCTGGCTTGGAACCCTGACGGTCTGCAGTATCTGAAAATAACCAGAAGGATGTTAGGAGCATTGCTCTTCCATCAGTGAACGGCATGGCTCACCAGCGTCACGTCGCAGCCCGCCCAGTGCACCACACACCGCGAGATGGCCACCAGAGATGACGCTCCTGCAGGATTTCTATTTCGGCAGCTTCAGACAAAATTTCTGATTGTCTGGGATTTGGGAAACTGGCTATTTCTAAGAACAGCCAAGTTCGTTTGTTTTTAAGCAAGTATCTTCTCAGATATTCTGGGACTTAATTTCATAAGGAACCTGAGATGATATCTCAGCAGTGTTCAAGGCAGTGCTCTATTCACAATCAGTCCCACTTACACTCAAAAGTAAAACTACTAACAGGTTCCTTAAAGGGGAAGAAGAATATTCTACTCTGACCCTGCTGCTCCTAATTATTCCACAGTACCATAAATTATACTTAATGTCAAGACACTTTGATCTCTTCCAAGTCAACAGACCACTATTAGGGTGAACAACAGTAGTGCTGTAAGGACAGAAATGATTAACCTGATCATGTTCATTTCAGGAGTAAAGTGCACTCGTCTGTGCTGGTGCATTCATGAATTAGAGAGTGAAGCATCAACGATAAGCCCAATGAACTCAGCCTCCCAGCAAACAGGCAACTCTCACAAAGCATCATGAGCAACCTCGAGACACCTGCATTAGAAGTACTGTACTGCAGACCTTCACGACTGATGCTTCTGTGAATGAGACTCACAAACATATCCCATCTAACTACTTTCCTGGAGGTAACTTATATATTTCCTTTTTACTTGTATCACACACAGACTGGGTATACTGCACAGAAAAATTCAAAATATGTCAGCTCCGCCAGGAATACTTTTGCTAGAGTTCACATTTACAAAAAGAACAGTTAGTAGTAAAGAAAAGTTCAAACATGGTATCACTCACACAAGTATAACTGCCCACACGTGCCCGCACTGGTACATTCCCTAAATGAACAAACATTAAGAGTCCCTACTATCTCATTTCTATTTTTGGTCAGAACTAATATTATGACCCTACCAATGAGCTCTTACGACCAATGACACAATGACATCTTTTAGCTACTATTAAAATGTTTATGCAAACTCCGCAATCAGTTGAACTTGCCCTTTAATGAGAAAACCATCCCCAATGACAACGTGCAGTCATCTAGACACGTCAGTGTTCTGCTGTGGAACATGAAGGCCACAGAAGGTAGGAACCACAAAGAAAACCAGATGTTCCTCCCATGTAATGATTAAGACGCCTGACAAAGACTTACGTCATCCTAGTCTCAAAGAGTTGAGGGATTCTGTCATTCCAGTATTATCATAGACATTGAAACACAAATTCTACAAAGACATATGGAAGCTACACTTCCCACAGTGCAATGAAGGAAATGAACTCTCCACCAGAGTGCTAACAAGCTGGCAGGAATCTAGATGAAGCAGTAGGAAGAATTCCCATATATCACCTCCCATTCTGAATGAAAACTACAAGATACACAAACTCAGGCCCAAGATGAGTTTCTGCTGCTGTGCTCAGTTTCCAAACCATAACTTTCTAACCGGGAAGTCCCCGGTACATTATTAAGTCTCAATTGGATGTTGTTGCTTCCACAGTATTATCAGATGCACTTTCCAAAATGACGTTAGTGGAATCGGGAAATTCATGATGGTACCTGAGTGTATTCCAGTGACTGCCAGAGGGAAGCAGCAATTTCAGGAGATTTTCCAAAAGCTGCGAGTGTCTTCAGCAGCTCAGCCTTGAGCACGGGAGGAACGCTGCACTGCAGCAGCCCCAGGATCACCACAATGGGGGTCCACTGCGGATGCTCACAGAGTGCCAAGCGAGCGTTCTCACTCTGAGAATCAAACAGAGAGAGAATAAAGAGATTTTCCATTTTTAAAAGCTAACAAAGATGACCAGCCACTGACTAAGCTGGCACTTATACTAGGCCCTCATAGGTTCAATACATACTAGAATAAAAACAAGCCTGTCATTTAGACTTGATGGTGTCTACCTGTGGATCAAATCAAACCACCAGGAAGACTGGAGGAGAAATGGCCTCAGCATTACTCCTCCAGCTCCAAATATGGCAAATAACAGAAATAAAGATAAGTGGTCTGCAAGGGTCACAGAAATCTTACCTAGACACTTTCACTACCTCCTAGGACAATATAACACATGCTATACCGTACTACAATGTATGAATGAATACCAACTCTGTCCTAAGAAAAAAATGAAGATATGCAGTATCAAGTATCACTTTTAATTCAGTAAAAAATAATTACTAAATGTTTTGATGATTAATAACATTAGGCACCATTAGAAAAATTAAAAAGTGAGAAGACACTACTCCTGTCCTTCAGACAGAAGGTCAAACCAAGCAAGAGAGGCTTGTTCTAGTGAATAATAAAAATAAATAGAAGAGATCTGCAAGTCATGAAATCATGTCATAAAAACAATATTTCCTTATTATATATATTTTTTTATTTCGTTTTATGACACAGTTTGATAGGCTCTGGGATTCCCCAAACCCTCCCCCATGTTGGATTCCTCCACATCGTTGCGGTGGAACAGTTCATATAAACAATATTTTTTTTTAACAAAAGTTAGTTTGGAAGCAGTGGCTAAAGTGGTCAGACATTAGAGAAAAAAACTGATTTTAGTAAATAACTTTTTTTAAGTAAAAATCTTCTTTACATAAATATATACACCCCTAGCACACAGCAAGACTTCTGAAAGAATGTGCACGCGATAACTAACTCTTATTTGCCTTTCTGTTTTCTGTCAGGCTTAGACTACCATATTTACCTTAAGACTGCATCAGTCAGTAATTAGAGCTACCATCATTATCCTCTTCAGAAAGTAAAAAAGCATTAAGGACAGAATGAATGCTGTCAATATGCTAAATTTGTCACTCATAAATGTTAACATTAAAAGATGCTGGGAACTTTAGAATGCCACTGGGCTTGGATACAAATAAAATGCTGCCATACATGGGCTGCCTACCCAGGTAATGATGGTCGACGTGAGCTGTAAGAAGGCAATGAGCCCGTCTTGCTCCTTCTGGGTGATGCCACGAGAAGGAAGGTGACGGTACTGGACGCTGTCTGCGCTGGGGAGGTCCTTCCGCAGGTGCTCATGGTAAAGCATTAAGGAGTGAAAGAAATGCTCCCAGGAAACAGGACTGCCACCTGCTCCCTGGATGTTTTCAACTGTGAAGAAAGAGCACAGAACATTCTCTCAAAAATGCCTAGACATTTGCTTGGCAATAGAGGATTTATTTAAAACAATACATTTCATTTGCCTGTGCCTTAGCATAATGGGAATCTTTGTAATACATGGGCTAAATTTCTCAGTGACCTAGAACTCAAATTTTTGCTCAGAGCTAAGAATAGAGACATATAAATGTATAGGCAAATTGCTTGGCAAGCCCATTACTTCTTTTGCATTCATGGGCGTTCTCTGCAATTAAACAGGGCTGTGTTATCCACAGAATAATCCACAATGAGCTTGATTTCTCAAAAAAGGGAAAAAAAAAGGAAAAGAAAAAAAAAGGAAAAGAGGTAGCTGCAGGCTATGCTTGTAAATTATATTACTCCATTGCATGCCGAGGTCTCGGGACAAAGACACAGCACGCGGAGAGCTTTGGACACAGTCAGAGTCACCTCGACTTCAGTGCCACCCGTGGCTCCCTGAGTACTGGTCAATTACTCCTCTAAGCCTTCATTTCTTTACATGTAAAAATGAAAATATTTAACAAAGCAGATATTTCCTCCCATTTTGTAGCATTTTTGGATTAACCAGATCTAAGTCTGAAAAGTACATGAGGGAAAGAGTCAAGAAAAGATTAAAAAAAAAAAAAAGAAAAAGAAAACAAATGCCTAACAGATAAAAGAAAAAGCAGTTATATGGCAAGTGCATATACTTTGTATATCAGATTTATTCTTCAAAAGATATATGCATAAGTGTTCCAACCAAGCCAGAACAGCAAAAATTAAGAAGAAGAAGAAAAAAAGATCAATGCATGTTAGATATCCTCAATCCCAAATGCTTAGGACCAAAAGTATGTCAGATTTTGGATTTTGAAAATTCAGGAATATTTGCACACATTTAGGGATGGTACCCAAATTTAAATATCCATTTATGTTTCACAACTACTTTACACGCATTGCCTGAGGGTCATTTTATGTAGCAGGCTCAGCGTCATGCACTTTGAGTAAGACCCATGATAATCAATGTGGAATTTCCTGCTTCTGGTGTCACATGTGTGCTCAAAACTGTTTTGAAGTTTGCAGCATAACAGATTTTTGAATGTTCACCCATACGTTAATTTTAACTCATTAAAATAAACTGTATTTTATAAATAGAAATGACAAAAATCCTGAAACTGTGAGGCAACAACACAGACCACAATAATAACAAAGGCATTGCATAAATACATAAATTACATGAAGCCACCAGAGTAATCTTTCCTATACTGACAGATATAATTTATATTTTTGATAGAATCTCAAACAAATAACCAATATACATAGGCAATGGGGTGCCAAAATCAAGACTCAAGAACAGTGCTGTGGCATTGCCAGTTAGGCTCCCCTTTGCAAGACCAGCATCTCATTTCAGAGTGGTAAGTTCAAGTCCTAGCTACTCCACATTGCTGATCCAGGTTCCTAATGCAGCCATGAAGGCAGAAGATAACAGGCCAAGTGCTTGGTCTTCTGCCATTGATGTGGGAGACCAAGATGGCGTTCCTGATCCCTGGCTTCAGCCCGGCTCAGCTCTGGCTATTGTGGCCATTTGGGGAGTGAACCACTCTCTCTGTCACTCTACCTTTCAAATAAATACCTACTTGTTAAAATGAGAGGAGAGAAAAGACTAGAAAAACAACCTGCAGAGTTTGCTTACCATGGCTACTACCGTTGACTTTCAGTAGACTGAAACAGTAGTGGGCACACTGGGGCCCGCTGGCCAATCCCTGAAGCATTTTCAAATAGGGAATATAAATAGTTGGAGGCAACAGGTCACCCATTTGCCTAACAAACTTGGACAAGACAACCTGAAACAGGAAGAAAAAGTTTATAAACACAATGTTTCATGAGTTTAAGGCCATACGAACCAGCTAATCAGAACTAACAAATTAATCAAGTGTTCCAATTTAATCCTCTCAGAATTTTAACATTAAACATTAACTACAACTCCACTTCCCACCTAGCTTCCTGGGAAGGCAGTGTAGGATGGCTCAAGTCCTTGTGCCCCTGTATGCACGTGCGAGACCTGGAAGAAGCTCCTGGCTCCTGATTGGCTAAGCCCTGGGTGCAGCCTTTTAGAGAGTAAACCAGTATAGATGGAAAATTGTTCTTTCTCCTTCTCTCTGTTAATCTGCCTTTCCAATAGAAACAAATAAATCTTAAAAAAAAAAAAAGAACTTTCCCGAGCCAGCACTGAGAATCATCAGGCAAAATGTCCACATCCCACAGAATTCCAGTTCAGTTCCTGGCTGTTCCGCTTCTGATCCAGCTTCTCCAGTGCACATGACAGCCCAAGAACCCAAAGACCCAAGGACTTGAGGCCTTGCCACTCACATGGAAGACTGAGATGGAGTTTCTAGCTTCTGACTTAGCCCTTGTTGTCACTGGCCCTGGGGGAGGGAACTCACGGATAAAAGAATGTTCTGTCTCTACCTGTTACTCTACCTTTCAAATAAACATTTTTTTTTTTATTATTTAAAAACAGAAAATGAACTTTTGCCTAAATTATCTAGAGATTCACATGCATTTGTTACCAATTACAACTTTTTTTTTTAAAGATTTATGTATTTATTGGAAAGGCAGATATATAGAGAGGAGGAGAGACAGAGAGGAAGATCTTCCGTCTGATGATTCACTCCCCAAGTGAGCGCAACGGCCGATGCTATGCTGACCCGAAGCCAGGATCCAGAAACTTCTTCCAGGTCTCCCACACAGGTGCAGGGTCCCAAAGCTTTGAGCCATCCTCAACCACTTTCCCCGGCCACAAGCAGGGAGCTGGATGGGAAGTGGAGCTGCCAGGATTAGAACCAGCGCCCATATGGGATCCCAGCGCGTTCAAGGCCAGGACTTTAGCTGCTAGGCCACGCCGCCGGGCCCACCAATTAAAACTTCTAAGCATCTTTAGCACCTGTACCTCTCTTACCTTCCCAACTGCATAAGAATTATGTGCACTGGTTATTACCATGCCTATGGAAGACAGGCTAAAATACTAACACTAGGAAGTAATACATAAAGAACGAGAATGCCTTTCTGCTCCAATGACCTGACACATAGACAGTATTTATGGTAAGCACATAGACTTCAAAATCAGCAGAACTTCAACTCCAGGGTTTCAATTTTCTTAAATCAGAGGAAAAAGTGTCCATTTCTAAAGGTGATACCAGCGGCCATTTCCATTATCAGGAAATAACTTTGTTCCTGTCTCAAGGCACTCAATTATTTAGAGAAGCATTAGGGTAGGAAAACTAAAAAGACTCACCTGGCGTTGAGGAGGTCGCTGATGAGCCACCCCTAGGTAAGAGCCCATGATACTGGGGGTCTGAAGGGGCTCTGAGGGACACCAGTACTCCAGAGCAAGCTCTAAATGAAAAGCGTTCTTTTTATATAGTTCACCAATCTGTAAAGAAGAAGCAACGATTGTGGGGAAATGTATTTCCGCACTAAAGATGAAATTAGCGGGAAAATGGAGGGAAGGGTAGGTGACAAGTGATGCACTGCAATGCTTACCAAAAGCATCAAGTGTTCCAGATCCCTTCTAAGTGAAATGGGGGGCTCGTTCCCCATCTGCATACTCATGTGGATCATTCTAGCATCTTCATCTGCCCGATTCCTCAGCTGTTTCACCTGTTTAGTTTGAGACGATTTAAAATGTAAATTTTATATATATATGCTAATAAAAATGAAAACAGGAAATTAGGGAATATCTTAAAGCAACTAACTACATAAAGTTACTTAAATGTCTATTCCACTTTGGTAATGTAAAGAAATATGCTAGGAATTTTATTGTAATATTACTACCCATAATTTATAGTAACGTAAAGCTTCAATGCATTTTCCCCCATAAATGGAGTTCAGCCACAGTACTTCTCAAAGGGGACAGTACTGTCATTATGGGCGGAAAATGCTTTCTCTAGGCTAGAGCATCCTAAATGTGGCAGGACATGTAGCATACCTTAACCACTAACTACCAGAAGTTTCTAGCTCTCGGCTTCAGCCGTGCTCGGAGCCTGCTGCTGTGCCATGGGGAACTGATCTCACTCTCTCATTGTTGCTCTGCTTTTCCAGTAATAAACATGCTAATTTTTTAAGGCACACATTGAAGGTACACTCACAGCATTAAATGTTTAGATTAGAAAAAAGACTTCAAATCAGTAAAACTTGCACTTAAGAAACTAAAATGCAAAGGTCAAATGCAAAGCTAAATAAAGACAATGAGGAGAAATTTGTAAAAATGAAGCAAAGCATAAAAATTGATGAAAGCAAAAAAATTAATTCACAGGAAATGTAAATTCTTGAGTCAACAAAAGGGGAACATGCAAAATAGTAACATTAGGAATTAAAGAAACTTTAGTACAGATCCTATAGAAACAAAGAATAAAATGCAAGAATATTGGAAAGAACATCATGCTGCTCTATTTGATCATTTAAATGGACAAAGTCACTGACAGACATAAACTATCAAAGAAGGAATGGAGAAGGACCAGTGCCATGGCAGGGCACACCAAGCCACCACTTGAAACACCAGCATCCCACAACAGAGCATCAGATCGAGTCCAAGTTGCTCCCCAACAGTTTCCTGCCGATGGCCAAGAACTTGGGCCCCTGCAATCCACACGACGGGCCTGAATTCCATGCTCCCCACCCACCCTGGCCCAGGTCCCACCACTGCGGCCACCGGAGGACTGAACTAACAGATGATCTCTGTGACTCTGCCTTTCAAATATTCCTTAAAATTGTTTCTCCTTCATCTTTTTTTAAAGCATTATCTTATTTGGTAGGCAGAGGAACAGAGAGAGGAAGACAAAAAGAGGTCTTTAATCCACTGGTTCACTACCCAAATGGCCGCAATGGCTGGCGCTGGCCAACCCAATGCCAAGAGCCGGGAGGTACTTCCAGGTCTCTCACCTGGCTGCAGGGGCCTCAAAGTCGTGGACCATCTTCTGCCGCTTTGCCAGGGGCACGAGCAGGGAGCTGGATCAGAAGTGGAGCAGCTGGAATGCGAACCAGCACCCATAAGCCCACTATAAATTCTTAAACACAACGTAATGGGTTAAGAACTTACATAACTTTTATTCAGATGAGCTGTAACCATGATTTCTATGTAATGAAACAGCCCAAATAATCCTGTATCTATTAAAAATTCCAGGTCCTAGAACTGTGTGACTAAAGGCATTATTTACCCTATTCAAGTAATTTATGATTTAAAATTCAAATTCCATTTTTTTCAGATGATACCCAAAGTCCCTTTTCCCTTTTAAATGTTTATTTCCACAAATATAAAATTAACGGTTTAACAAGCTGCTTTGTTCCAACTGGCAGAGCTTCTAAAATTTTGTGACCTATCAAGTGCTTTGGAGTTGCTGAGGGCTGAAATTGTTAACTCCACCTGTACTAGTCTGAAGATTCCAGGTACACATCATATCCAACCAACTAAATTCGAAATTCTTTCCTGGCAGGAAATAAGCTTCCATTTATTTGTATTCTTTACAACATCTAGCCTATTAGCTGGAACAAAGGAGAAATTCAATGAAAACTCAATTCATTAAATAATGGACAAGCATTTCATTCCTTGATTGTCACCATTCTGGGTTCATTTTTATTTTCTTTAAAATGTTCAGAAGGCGTGATGCAGAACTGTACAATGTAGCACAAGTGGAGACCCTTCAGGGCACACACACAAGTGGCTTCCTTGCTCGGTTACTCCTGACGACCCCTCTCACCCAAGTGGCACACAAAGCACGTGCTAAGCGGAAACGCTCTGGAGGGGCTCTTACAACCACCACACAGAGGTCATGGTGACAGCTCATCTAAACAACAGCTACACGATGGTTTCGCAACCCAGTATTGCAACTGTACCCGTGCTGAAGCCTACTTATACAGCTCAATTAAGAGCCTTAGCAAAATCTATAAAACAAGATTTTCCACTAGCTTCATTCAATTCCAAGATAAAAATACTAAAGTTGTGTGTGAGGGGGAACAGCACAATGGCTCAATTGGCTAATCCTCCCCTTGCAGCTCCAGGACTGCCTATGAGCGCCAGTTCGTGTCCTGGCTGCTCCACTTCCCATCCAGCTCCCTGCTTGTGCCCTGGGAAAGCAGCAGATCATTAGTTTCTAAAACATAACACCAGTTATCAGTTTAAATTTTTGTAAAAATCTTCTAATATTTTGTATTCATATTACATGATTACCTTACCTTCATTGGCATAAGTGCAAGAAAATCTGTGATGAGATTATGGATCCTGCGGATATAGAATTCCTCCTGATAGAAGTTTTCTGACAAAACTACCGATTCAGTGAGGAAGAGGAAAACGTTGTCAGCAATTGCAAGCTCTGCCATTGCTTCGTCTGCTTCTGTGAATTCAGCCAGAGCTGGAAACACATGGAAGCAAACAGTCAGTGAAAGAAAAGCCATTAGCCAAATGATAACATTGCATATTATGTTGAAAACTCAAAATTCAGACGTTCATAAGAAGCTACAAGACAAATAATGCTTGAACATAGGTGCAAAGAGCCTCAACAAAATACCATCGAGCTGAATTTAATAGCACAATATAATGATTATCTGCCAATTAAGCAGGATTCCTTCCAGGATGCAAAGATGATTCAATATGCAAAAACCAACAAATGCAATATGTCACAGCTACAGAGGCAAAAATTAAGACATGTTCTGGCAGATGCATAAATAAAACTCTGTATAACTCTGACTCATAAATCTCAATGAACTACTGAAAAAGTACACTAGAAAATTACATTCTTTTTGTAATTTAGACATATGTGATATAACAGAATAGTCAAGGAACTAGCATTCAAACATTAAAATGATACTAAGGCTTTAATCTCAATGAAATCTCCATACATAAATGCAAAAGTCCAAATAGCTTTCTATCCTTTTAATAAAGTCTTCATGTAGACTAAGAATTATTTCCATCAAAAAGCTTTTCTGCAAACCTGTTAGGAATACTAATGATCAAAACATTCTAGAACTATCCAAGTGCTAAGACACTGGAACCTCTTTACACTAGAGAAACGGCACATACTGACAAGGATTGTAAAGTTGAATAGAGCCTTTTGAGATTTATCATGAAAACCTACATAGAACTTACAATATCTGGGTACTGATCCAGATGTTATAATGCCACATGGGGCACGTGGCTCCCCTGTGAAGTGCATGTGTTGAAATCCCAGCTGCGCACCTGAATCTAGGTTCTCAGTAACGTGCACCTGGGAGGAAGCGTACTGGGATCTCTGCCGCCCACCTGCAGTGAGGGATTTAGTTCCTGGCACCTGTTTTTGGTGTGGGGTGTGAAATCAGCATTTGGCAACTGTCTATAATTGTGTCTCTCTCACAAAAAAAAAAAAAAAAAGGAATAGTATCCAGCCTGTTATGGTGAGCCACTGTTAATATGATTATTGATGAATATAACTTACAGAACAGCTTATGCTACATTGAGTCAGAATTCTAGGGTGCCACTGTTATATGGCACAGCAGATTAAGCCAATCCTGGCATTCCATGTTAGAGTACCAGCAGAGGCACCAAGAAGCTGGGCCCATTTAACCCTTGTAGGGAGACCAACATGAAGTTCCTAGCTGCTGGTTTCAGCACGGCTTGGCCCTGCATATCAGAGGGATCTGGAAAGTGAACCAAAGAATAAAGATCTCACTTTCTCTCTCCCTCTATGCACTCTATTTTTCAAGTAAATAAAAATCCAGGGCCAAAATCTGGTGTAACAAAAGATCTGCTTTGGTGCCTATATACCATCCTGGAATGCTGAGGCTTAAATACCGGCTGCACTCCCAACTCCAGCATCCTGGTATAAGCTCAGCTCTGGCTATCATAGGATCTGGCACATGAACCAGGGAACAGAGATTTTTTTTCCCTCTCTGTTTCAAATTAAAATAAAACTTTTATTTGCTTTCATTGAATAAGCAAAGACAGAGATGCTCCCCAGATGCCGGCCAGGAAGCCAGAAGCCAGGTACTCAATCATGCCCGCAGGAGTGGCAGAGAATCACTCTCTCCACTCCTCACGTCCTGCCCTGCAGCGTTTGCATTAGCAGCAAGGTGGAACTGGAAGCAGAGCGAGGCATCGAACCCTGGCATGCTGACACGGGATGCAGGCACTCCCGGTGGCACCTCAACCAGGACACTAAATGCCTACTCCCTGTAAAAACATTAAAAATCAAATGAGGTTTTTAATTTGACAAAATGTGAAACCATGAAGCTTATCTATGAACAAACCAAGAAGGAAAATGTGTAAAATAAGAAGTTGTGCTTCTAAAGAACATGTAATGGGATATTGTCATTTTTAATGTACAACTCTTCAGCTCTTACTCTGAGGCTAAAGGGGGCATTGTAAAGATGTAACATTTCATCTGTTTACTTTACCCAGGAGAAGTAGGTCTGTATTTCGCTCCTACTTCACAGAAGGTCATCTAAAACAACCTTGGCTAATGTTCCAATGCTCAAGCTTGTAATGCCATGGCTGAGGATTCTATGCTCACCAGTGTCCCAGCCGCCCCTCCTACCTGTCACGTCTGAGAGCTGGGACACTCCCCTCAGGGTGAGTGCCCAGGCGAGCCTCACTGTGGCCTGCAGCCCGGGCAGCTTCCAGGCCTGCGAGTCCTGCAGACGAGAGTGAATCGCTCCAATGTACTGCCTCTCGGTCAGCAGCGGCAGCTGATGGATCACATCTGAAATCACACACACAGAGCCCTGAGCACGACTGCACAGGTAGATCCTGACTTCTGACACGCCTGACTAATGCCTCAAACACAGAGGAGCTAATTAACGTGAACGCTGGATGGACCAAGAAGTACATTGTTAAGGATAGTAGACGTGACAAAAATGAAAGGATAACAGACCCAATAATCTTAAATTTTGTGATGTTTTTCCACTTAGAGTCACTCAATTTTTATAAAGCACTGCTATTTAAATATCAAAAACCTTCACTTAAATATAGGTCAAAGATGACATATTACGGAAAATGTAGTCATCATCCCTTGGAATGCTTTCATAAAAGACTTGAAAATATGAATAAATAGAAGAAATTAGAAAAATCAGGCATTTCCAACTCACAAACACTATCTTTAAATAGCACAATACATTCTTTAACACTTTCCATTCCCCAAAGGGAACCATCCTCACAGAAATACCCGACAGAGCTGAAGCGACTTCCTGAAATCCAAATATGTACAAACCACACATGCAGAAACAAAGCACATAATGTACTTCAGCAGGAAAACACTGTCCTTGAGTGTTATCTGCGATCTTGATTTTTGTAAAACGAGCATATGGAGAGACACAAAATGTAATACCCTCCCGGTCCTCTGCGCTTTGCTCTAGGAAGGTGATGTCGAAGCAGTAAAGAAGCGCCATCAGCAGAGCCAGGTTCACCGCATCCAGCGAGCCATTGGCCTCCACGGTCACTCGTTCCAAATGGCCAATGAGCAGTAGGGTGTCATCTTTGCTTAAGGGTGACTGGCAAGCCCAGGCAAAAAGGCTTTCTGCCAAAGACTGCCTGCACTCCTTGATGAGATCCGAAACCTGGAAAATACAAGCAGGATCACCAGTATAAATAAATCAAAGTCTGGTACGGTTATACAATCCAAACTATTTTTTTTTAAAGTTAACAAAATAAGCCTATCTAAACTCACAAGTGATTCTAAAAATTTCATCTCTGGAATTCTGAACAAACTGTATTGCACAGCCTTCATTCTTATGTTCCTTAAGAAATTGAGATGGGGGTCTGGTGCCGTGGCCTAGCGGCTAAAGTCCTCACCTTGAACGCGCCGGGATCCCATATGGGCGCTGGTTCTAATCCCAGAAGCTCCACTTCCCATCCAGCTCCCTGCTTGTGGCCGGGAAATGCAGCTGAGGACAGCCCAAAGCTTTGGGTCCCTAAACCCACGTGGAAGACAGGGAGGAGACTCCTGGCTCCGGATTGGCTCAACTCTGGCCACTGCGACCACATGGGGAGTAAACCAGTGAACAGAAGATTTTTCTCTGTCTCTCCTTCTGTCTGTAAATCTGCCTTTGCTATTAAAAAATATATCAATTATAGCAAAAGAAATTGAGGAGATCTTTTTTTATTTGAGATTCTTTTAAGATTGATTTATTTTTATTGGAAAGGCAGATATACAGAGAGGGGGAGACAGAGAGGAAGATCTTCCATTTGATGATTCACTCTCCAAGGAGCCATAACGGCCGGAGTTGAGCCAATTCAAAGCCAGGAGCCTCTTCCATGTCTCCCATATGAGTGCAGGGTCCCAAGGCTTTGGGCCGTCCTCAACTGCTTTCCCAGGCCACAAGCAGGGAGCTGGATGGGAAGTGGAGCTGCTGGGATTAGAACTGGCGCCCATATGGAATCCCGGCGCGTTCAAGGGGAGGACTTTAACCACTGCACTATCACATCAGGTGCGAGGTGATCTATTTCTTGAAGAATTCTGCCTAGGAAGTAACCTGGAATGGCACGTAAATGACTACATAGAAGTGCAAACAACTACATGGCCATTCACAGACACAACTGACAACATACTTTACTATGCAATATTAATTTTCTTATGCTTATGAGAATAGTTTAACTGTCAAAATTCTTCTGCCTCTGAGAGTTCACACAGACAACCATGACCTCGTCTCACTGAATACTTGCCTCTTTGCGATGTTTTTCACTGCCCAAACCTCTTTCTCGCTGCAGTTTCTCAAACTCATTATTCACATCAATCTGTGACACTAGGGTAAGGACTTTATAAGTCAATCCTTGCTCCATCAGCTCATCTGTAAAGCGTGTTGTCATGGAAACCAGCTCTGGACTGTAATGAAAAGAAATCAATAAACAACTTATTTTGAACAATAATATTTACACTTCCTACAATAACAAAGCAAATGCTCTTTTGTCAATAATGTTATATTACTAAAAATAACGAGGGAGAATTATAAACGAGGTCTCTTCATCTTTTCTGGGTCGTTTGGCTTCAATAAACTTCTAGCCATAAATAAGTGAACTGTTTATTTGCAACCACAATAAAGCAAGTTTAACTTTTGCGACATTCTTTCTTGACAAAACACATTGTACATTATTCTGTTATACAAGCTACTTCAATCACATGTAATAGGGAAAAATTTCTATTTTTACTGATAATTGTAGCTTTGCAAATGATTGTGAATTAATCCCTGAAACTGAAAGAAGCAACAAGACCTGAGTTCTAGAGTCCATGTCTTTCCTCGTCTAGACTGAATCAAAGCTTTCAGGGAGTTGGCAATGCACCGCTTTCCATCCCAGTACAAAAGAACAGCTACCAGTCCTCTGGTGAGGCCAGGAAAATGTGGCTGTTGGTGCTCTCCTGGAAAAGGAAGTTGAGAAATAAATGGTTTAGTAAAGAACTGCATATGTCTTTATTAAAAGACGAGACAAACACTGTATGAATGTTCAGCTTAAGAATCAGAATGCTCACATTTACAAGGCTGTGAGGAAGGAAGCTGTACTTCAAACACACACCCACTGCTTTACTTCCTGCACAACCAACTCAAGGAGCCATCATGACCAAACACCAACAGTGACATGGAATACACCGTTTTCCCAACACCCGATGTCACCCTCATCTGCTAGCTCCACATTCTGGGTGAAGATCTCCGCGACCAACTCGTTCGCTGAGTCTGATTTTATTCAATGCACATTTTACTCTTCAGAAGAAATCTTTGTTTCAAACATTTGAGAGTTTCCTCCATGAGTCTTCTCTGAAAATTAATCTTTTTTTAAAAAAAAACAATTTAAGTTCACTCTCCGTTTTATCTGCTCTGCGTTGACTGCGTTCCACCTGAGCCTTTTCACACTTCCTTGCCTATGACTCCAGTTTCTCCTCCAACAGCTTTCTTCCCACCCTAATCTTTCCTAAATGCTACTTCCCTCAGTTCCCCAAGGCTGACAACTTGCTGTCCCCTTCCGTACTCTCTGTATGGGTCATTTCCTCTGCCTGGACGCCCTTCCTCCCATGTACTCATCCATCCTGCAAGCTGGTTCATTCCGTAACACTTAACTTTATGTAACCACTACCCTTCTGAGTACCTCCCAGTACATTCAAAGGTCAACTGAATCCCCTTGCCTCTAGACCACAGCTAAGTCTTGTACAAACTATTTAAGGACTGTGTTAAACTTTTCTATCTCCCCATGTTTTTCTCAACTGATAGCCTATGAGATCCTTGACACGAGTTGAGGTCTTATTCAGCTTCATAATGCCAGAAACGTAACACTGCATACTGCAAGGGCAAAGCTTATGTTAAGTGACATCTGTGAGTTAAACTCAAAGCTCAAGCGTGTCAAGTTAACAACCCCATCACACAATGGAAAAACTACCTTCTTCATTCTCAGAACTACTTCTTTAAACGCAGCCTTAGGGAGCCAGTCAGTCAACGGCCAGTTAAGCTGCCAAAGGCAGGGCTCCCATCCCACATGGGCACCGGTTCAAGCCCAGCTGCTCCACTTGCGATGCAGCTCACTGCTAATGAGTCTGGGAAAACAAAAGAAGATGATCCAAGCCTTGGGCCCCTCCACATACATGGGAGACCAAGAAGCAGCTCCTGGCAACTGGCTCCAGCACAGTCCCGTCTCCGCTGTTTCGCCATTTGGAGAATGAACCAGCAGATGAAACATCGGCCTCACTTTCTAACTTTCAAATGAATAAGTTTTAAAATAAATAAAATTTTCTGAAAATGCAGCCTTGGATCAGAAAGGCATTCAGCACTATCAACATCACCTGAATTTTTATCCATTCATTATGTGAACCACCCCCACAAAAACAAACTTTACAAAAGCAGCAATTTTACCTCCTGACTGACGAAACCACTGTAAGAGCTTTATGGTACACAGCTTCTGAGATGTCAGCAATTATTCTTTGCTAGGAAGTGACCCTAGAAAAGCTATCTTAGACTTCTTGTCAAAAAAACCCAGTATTTTTTAACATAGTTTCAACAAATTAACAACAACAGTAAAAGCTACTTTAGAACTTAAACAGTAACATAGTAGGTTAATTTATGTTTCCGCATCACCTTACCAGAACTTCAGTGAGAAGTCAACCTACCAGGGCCCACAGCAATAGCACAGTGGTTAAAGTCCTCGCCTTGCATGCTGCCGGGATCCCATATGGGCACCAGTTCTAATCCTGACAGCCCCACTTCCCATCCAGGCTCCCTGCTTGTGGCCGGGGAAAGCAGTGGAAGACGGCCCAAAGCCTTGAGACCCTGCACCCACGTGGGAGACCCAGAAGAGGCACCTGGCTCCTGGCTTCGGATTAGTTCAGCTCCAGCCGTTGTGGCCACTTGGGGAGTGAACCATCAGATCATCAGATGAAGATCTTGCTCTCTCTCTTCTCCTCTCTATATATCTGACTTGGCAATAAAAATAAGTAAATCTCAAAAAAGAAGTCAACCTACCAGCGAGGAGAAGTTCCACAGCTGCCAGTTCTCCGATGTCAAAGAGGTCACTGAGAATAAAGGCTTCTTTAATGAGCTGCTCCGGAAGCAGTCGCGTGCCCTGCTGACCCTGGATGGCCACGCCCTCGGTACTGGCCTTCTGAACCTTCTCATGCTGTTGAACGTTTTTTGGCTGCAATGATAAAATTATTATAAAGAAATTTAAAGAAAAAGAGTACTTTGAAGACTAGCTCCCATGACAATGTAGCCTGGTAACATGCATTATCAGGAAGCAGATCCAGCTAGACTTGAACTTGTATCTATAAAGAGGCCAACACTACAGGTGGTAGCTTAACATGCAGTGCCACAACACCAGCCCCCTTATAACTCTTTAGTGATAAATCCAAGAAGGGAACTCAAGTCAACTAACTCTTGAGACTTATGGCTGTTTCTGTTAAGAACAGCTAAAAAAGAAGTTAAAAAGCAAAAAGTTCTCTTAACAAACTTACAGATAATTGTTAGATGGTCTTATTAGTATACAAGGCTACTTGAAAAGTTCAGGGAGAAAAATGGAATTCAGAGGCAAGTTTTGGTGCCAGCACACAGTGTTGCAGCTTGCTAAGCCTTAGCCTATAGCACCAGCATCTCATAAAGGCGCTGGTTCAAGTCCTGATGGCTCCACTCCTGATGCAGCTCCCAGCTAATGGCCAGCAAAGGCAGCAAAGGAGGGCCCTCGGGCCCTGCATCCATGTGGGAGATCTCGAGAAAGCTCCTGGCTCCTGGCTTCAGACCAGTCCAGCTCTGGCAATTGCAGTCATTTGGAGAATGAGCCTGATGGAAGATTTCTCTCTCACTGTTGACTCTAAAGTAAAATAAATAAATCTTTAAAAGAAAAAATGGCAAATTTTTTCACACAAAAATGTTTTGAAACCCACACACAAAAGGCATCTTCAAAAAGTTTATGGAAGATAGGACCCAATGCAATGGCTTATGGGTTAAATCCTTGCCTTGCATGTGCCACCTTACATGTGCAAGGATCCCATATGGGTGCCAGTTTATGTCCCAGCTGCTCCACTTCCCATCCAGCTCCCTGCCTGTGGCCTGGGAAAGCAGTAGAGGATGGTCCAAGCCTTGGGACCCTGCACCTATGTGGTACAGGGCTCCTGGCTCCTGGCTTTGCCTCAGCTCGGCTCTGGCTATGCAGTCGCTTGAGAAGCGAGCCAGTGAACAGAAGATCTTTGTATCAGTCCCTCCTTCTCTGTATATCTGACTTCTCAATAAAAATAACTAAATCTAAAATTAATATATTTTTAAAAGTTCATGGAATATAAATATTGTGAAAAAAAAAAGCTGCATGGATTTAAAAAATGTCTAGCACCAAAGTAATCTTTAAATTTCATTTATCCATGAACTTTCTTTTATTCCTAAAGATTTCTTTACTTAGTTTTGAAAACAAGAGAGAGAAAGAACAAGAGGAATAAACACCCACAAAAGGCAGTGCTGAGCCACAAGCAAGGCCGGAGCTTTGTCCAGGCCTGCCGACGTGCGAGGTCTCAGACACCCAGGCCATGCTCTGTTGACCTCAGCAGGCCAGCTGCAGGGAATCGCCCGGATGCGGACACTATGGAAGGAGCGTACCAGCTACACCACAACTCCGGCCACTCTTCGAGCACCAAAACTGCCAAAGAGCAAGGGGATGAGCTTCCACATTTGAAGCCTCTCCACTGATGTACTACACTTCCCGCTGCAGTGACTCACGCTATGCAATAACTGGCCAGTTCAGCTAACACAAGTTACAGAGCACGACGAAGATTTACAATGCTGAAGTGCCTCTGGAAATGCATCAACTAAAAGTCTTGCCAACGACAGGTGCATTGCTAACTGCAGGTAAGAAAAGTCTAAGTCAGCTACTAATGCTTGACTCCACTGTCTTCCTAAATTATCCTCAAGATTCTCAACTTTATCTGCCGGTTTGTGGTAAATACAATGTATTCATTTCTATCAAGATCTAAAAGAAGATAATTGCTCTTAAGGGAAATTACATGTTAAAAGAAAACTTGAGTCACTGGAGAAAATCAGCATTGATTTGCTCTTCTTTAAACTTCCAAAAAAAAAAAAATTATTCTTTTTTGAAGCAAACCCAAAGACCAAAAAGGAGAAGTTCTTACTGGGTTTCTGAATAACGAGATGAAGTCAGGCTTGTGTTTCTTCAGAATCATATCCAGAAGGTGGCCGGCTTCAGGCTGCCTCCTCCAGAGCGCGTTGCCCACTGTTTGCCAGATGTCTTTGTATGGACCCCAGAGACTAGCGGCTTAAGGGAAAAGAAATACACCAGCATCAACAAAATGTACACTGATGAAAGCAGGCGGCTTCATCTACACACCCCAGTCACACCACAGCTACTTTCAAAGACAAGCACAAATCAAACATTAAAACAAAAGCAGAGTTTACTCAAATTCAGGCAATAATATAAAGGCAATCTTAGTTAATAATATAAAATCAAATAAATCCTGGCCTTCAACTGCAATATCAACCAGACCTGTTAGCAACGGTCAGAGCTGAGCCAAATCAAAGTCAGGAGCCAGGAGCTGGACGCCCAAGGCCGTGGGCTGTCCTCCACTGCTTTCCCAGGCCTAGGCAGGGAGCTGGATGGGAAGCGCAGCAGCCAGGACAATAACAGATGCCCATATTGGATGCCTCACTTGGCGGCAGATGATGAGCCAGTTGAGCCATCGCACCAGGCCCAGAAATAAGTTCTTCAAGCTTCGGCTTCCTTATGTGTAAAACAGAAACACCATCTACTTTAAAGGATTATAGGTCTTTTAAATGTGATAACCTAGATAAGCCACACAACACAGTACCTTTCCACCCCACGCTCTCATCCAAAGGAAGAGTAGGAGCAGGGAACACTCAACATATGCACTTTATTTCAGCTGGGATACTGGCTATCCAAACAGCCCAGGCGGGCAAGCGCTGGATCGGCAGTTAGGATGCTACCTGAGATGCCCATGTCTCACACGGGGTGGCAGGGTTCAAGTGCAGACTCGGCTCCTCATTCCAACTCGCTGCCAGCACACACCTACCCAAGGTGATGTCTGAAGTGCTTGGATCCTTGCCTCCCTGTTCCTCAGCTCTGGCTTGACATCTGGGGTTTATAACAGCAGATGAAAGACATCTTTCAATCTCTCTTTTTTAAAATTTATTTATTTTGGGCTAGATGCAGTAGCTAAAGTCCTCGCCTTGCATGAGCCAGGATACCATACAGTTTGTGTTCTGGCTGCTCCACTTCCTTTTTAGCTTCCTGATTGTGGTCTGGGAAAACAGTCGAGGATGGCCCAACCCCTTGGGACCCTGCACCAGCGTGAGAGACCCAGAAGAAGCTCCTGGTACCTGGCTGGATCAGCTCAGCTCCGGCCATTGTGGCCACTTGGGGAGTGAACCCGTGGATGGAAGATCTTTCTCTGTATCTCCTTCTCTCTAAATTTTTATTGGAAAGATAGATTTTCAGAGAAAGAGAGAGCTCTTTCATCCACTGATTCACTCTCCAAATGGCAGCAACACCTGGAGCTGGGCCAGTCTGAAGCCAGAGCCTAGAGCTTATTTGGGTCTCTTGCATGGGTGCAAGAGCCCAAGGACTTGTGCCATCCTCCCCAGGTACATCAGCATGGAGCTGGATCAGAAATGGAACTACCAGGAGTTCAACCAGAGCCTATATGGCATGCCAGCAATGCAGGAAGAGGCTTAAGTTATTCCACCTAGCGCTCTTCCTTTCAAATAAAAAAAAAATTGTTTTAAATTGACATCATAGGTAATTGGGATTCTCTGGCAAGCTTACATAAATAGGCTCACATTTTAATTTATAAACTAACGCTAGCAGGTAATAGTTTGTAAACATGTATTTATTTATGAGACAGTTACATAGAGAGAAGCAGAGACAGAGAGCGACACACCCTCTGTTCACGGGTTCACTCCCCAAAAGGCCTCAACACCAGGGCCTGGGCCATGCCAAGGCAGGAGGCTGGAACCCCACCCAGGTCTTGCACTGGCAGCAGGAGCCCAAGAACCTTGGGCTGTCTTCTGCTGGTTGCAACCTTCAAGGACCAGCATCCCATCTGGGTGCCGGTTTGTGTCCCCTCTGCTCTACTTCTGATCCAGCTCTCTGCTTATGGCCTGGGACACCCATGTGCAGACCTCAAAGAAGCTTTGGTTACTGACCTCAGGGATTTGGGGAGTAGAACAGAGAATGGAAGATGTTTCTTCGATTTATTTGTTTGTTTTTAGATCTTTCTCTCTGTTTCTCTCTGTGTGTAGGTCTGCTTTCTAATAAAAAACAATTATTTAAAAAACGTGGACATATGTGTGAAGATACAATGCAGTATACATATCTACTTCCTAATCAAAGATGAACTCCCAATGAAACTGTTGGACATATCTTGACAATAGGATGCTAGACTGCCTGCCACTGGCTGTACCAGCAATGTCAGGACACACAGAATGATGGACTTACGACTGCTTATGAAAGACTAAACAATAGCTTGTATGTGAAAAATCAATTGGGGGGGTGAGGAATTTGGGGAGGGGGAGGGAAATCTCAGATCTTATGGAATTGTACCATAAAATGCAAAAGAAAAAAAAAGCGGAGCAATCAGAACTTGAACTGGCACTCATGGGATGCTGGTGCTGCAGGTGGCTGGCCGGACCTGCCACACACTGGCCCTGGTACCAGCTCCTTGGCTTCTGCTGTGTGCTGCTACATAGGGTTCTAAGCTCTTTACACTTACTATATGTGTTTTTAACATTCTATGATGTCCATATTGTCCTCTACTTTGAATATGACCGCTCAGGTTGACAAACGGACAGGCCGAGTTGTGCTTACCTGCTGTGACCCCACGCAGTCTGGCATCAGAATGCACATTAAACACTAGGCTAAGATCACCTCTTTGCATGTAACAGTTGGAAAGTGAAAACATTTGCGAACATGAATTTATATACGTCAACAGTAACCTGGGACTTAGTCTGGTAAATGAAGAAATTAACACACATCTAGATACACTTAGGTAAATTTGTCTGAGCTCAGCCAAATTCATTTAACTAAAATATTAAACTCCATGAATACATAGTAAGATATCACAGGGGAAAAAGCTTACAAAAGCTCAAAGGGCCTAGCATGGTAGCCTACTGGCTCAAGTCCTCGCCCTGCATGCACAAGGATCCCATATGGGCACTGGTTCTAATCCCAGCAGCCCTGCTTCCCATCCAGCTCAGACAAAGTTTCTTTGGGGATCTCCCCATCAAAATGTTGGACTCAGAACCCTGACCAAGAAAAGAGAGAAGACAGAACGGGTCAACCAAGCAACTCAGCCATTTGTTGGCAGCAAAATACGGGGCAAACAGAGACTCTATGATGGACTATGTTAATCAGTGGATTCTTCAAAGACCTCATAGTACTTGGAGTGGCAAGATTGGCAGCGATTTATAACTGTTGAAATAACAAAACCACTTGAGCAAGACCCTCAGAGCATACCCTACATCCGGGACCTGGGAAGGGTGGGAAATCGGGTGGGCCTTCTCCCTTAATACCCCCCTTTAAACATGAAGCAAACAATATGGAAATAATAGTCTTACCCACTTTCCTATTTAAAAAAAAACCTGAATTAGGTTGCGCTTAGCTTAGGCACCCAAGACTAGCTTAGAATCATTCACTATTTAACTGAGAAAATGAGGAAACCACCTTAAGTTTCCGTGAAAGAAGCAGTAGCTGCATCACAGGTGTATAAAAGAGACTCCATAGGATGATTCAAACACAACAGTGAATCCAACGCCAGGACAGGACTGGCGCTCGGTAACAGAAGCTCTCACTAATACAAAATAACTTCAGCACTCACAAAACAGTTTACAAAACTCACATCTGGACCATCTTTCAACTGCCATCACTCTGACAGCAAGTCCAATCAGTACTTTCTCCCCTCGCATCCCCCATTTAAGGTGCAGTGAGAACACACAGCCCAGGAGTCCAGTGAATGAGACACTCTGCAAGCATCACATGGATATGCTCTTAATGGAGCCCACGAAGTTAAGCGTGTGTCAATGAAGGCATTAACATCCTGAATCAAGTTTTCAGGACTGCCCCACCCTCTGCAGGGCATCTACAGTCTTACCTTGCCTGCTAAGAGCCGGTGGCGCACCGGGAATTATGACAAACTATGAAAATGCATCTCTTTCAAATCACTCCTTGGAGAGAGAGGAGCCACGGCGTGAGAAACACCAAAGGAGGAACCGCCACAAATATTCCGAGTTCCGCTCCAGCGGTCTAGAGCCCACCCCACCCCGAAAACCCGCCCCAAAAGTACAGCATCGTGCGAGGCCAGATCACAGCCACAGCTGCGGCAGTCATCAGCCGAGCTGCGGCGCCCTGTCCCAAGCCGCCTTCCAAGGGGAGCAGGCTTCACGATCCAGACTCCTCGCTAACCGGCAGGTCCTCTCATCCTCCTAAAACGAGGCCCGGGTGCCGACTCCGAGACGTCCGTCAGTGTGCAGTCTCCACTCACGGCTGCCAAAAAAAAAATATCTCGGATCCTCTGGCCTCGCTACTAGAGAGTCGACGCCTTCCTTGGAGAAATCCGGGCCGCAGACGCAAATCGGGGTGGTGGCTGATGGGGACCAGACTCAGATCTGGACTGGGAGAGTCCGCACTCTTGGAGCTAGGGACCAAGCTTCACGATCTCGGCTCACACACCCCAACCCGAGGGTTAGAAGCCAAGGCAAGCCAAGGCAAGGACGCGCGCCATTCAAACCGGCAAGGGGCGGCACCCGAGGTCCCGGCGCCCGGGAAGAGGTGACACGGCGCCCCAGGAGAAGGCTGCATTCCCAGGAGCCTCACGGCCCGCATGTTCGTCTGGGCTCATCGCTCACCGCCCCGGCCCGTCGTCTCCTCATTGCCCGGCCACACTCACCTGAATTTACCGCCAACAGCGTCGCCATCTTGGAGGCGCACTAACGGAGCCCTCCCGCCGCACGGAGGCCCCAGCGGGGAGGAGGCTGGCCGAGGCGCCGCCTGAACGGAAGGCAACACGCCGGCCGCTCCGCACCGTGCGCTTGGCCGGCCCAGACAGACGCCTCGCTCCAACACCTGCCCTGGGTCCAATATCAATTTTTACTTTAGCCCATCCCCTATCAAAAAAGGCTAAGGCAACCACTTCGGAGGCTCGGGGGTCCTTGCGCTGCAGGGAATGGCGCAATGCAACCTGGAACTTGTAGTAGACGCTCAAGCAGGAAGACGCGCTCAGGGTTGTTAAAAGCACGCCGTTTGTACGGTTATAGAGGCCAGGCATTGAAACACTGCCTTCGTTCCACAAGACATTTTCCTGGCTTTACCACCTTACCATGTGAGCATCGCAAGCCAAATTTGCATGACATTTCATTTTACTAAGTATATTGTGTCACTGTAATTAAATATGATGAAATAAATGTGAATCACAGCGAACCAGACATAGCTGTATCTTCGATCTACTGGGTTATTCTCCCATATGCCTGCAACAGCTAGGACTGGGCTAGGCTGAGGTCAAGAGCCAAGACTCTCCCTCCATTCTGGTCTCACACATGTGTGGCAGGGACACAAGTCCTTGGGCCATCTTCTGCTGCTTTCCCAGGTGCCTTAGCTGACGCAGACTGGTCCGAAGCAGAACTGCTGGGATTCGAACCACCACTGCAATACGTGATGATGGTGTCCTAAGTCATGGTTGAAACAGCTGAACCAAAATGCCTGCCCTCAAATCATCATTTTTTTTAGGGAAAAAAATGTAATATATTCAAAGTGAAGGAAATAAACATTTTACTTCAATAACATGGCCACTTTTCTTACTTACCCTGACACAATTTATTTCTTTTGAAAATGTATTTATTTTTATTGAAAAGGCAGAAAAGAAATAAGGAGACACAGAGAGAAGGATCTTCCATCTGTTGGTTCACTCTCCAAGTGACCGCAACAGCTGGAGCTGAGCTGACCCAAACCCAGGAGCCAGGAGCCTCTTTCCACATCTCCCACGCGGGTGCAGGGTCCCAAGGCTTTGGGCTGTCCTCGACTGCTTTCCCAGGCCACAAGCAGGGAGCTACAAAGGAAGTGAGGCCACTGGGATTAGAACTGATGTCCATATGGAATCCTGGGATGTGTAAGGTGAGGACTTTAGCCACTAGGCTACCATACCGGGCCCAACACAATTTATTTTTATGCAGACCCCAGACCTGATCCACAGGTTTTTTTCTTACATGAGTATCTAAAATAGCTGGACTCCTTTCTTAAAGATCAATTTATTTGGGGCACAGTGTCATAAGCCAGGACTCCAAGTCTCTAACATGGACCTTCTTCCTTTTCTCTCCCCCTCCAACCTCTGTCCTTTAATCCTTCCTCTGGTGACGTGTATTTGGTTTTACTGCCACCTGCTCCCTAATGAATTCTGTTTTTGCCTCTGTGGCCTGACCCTGTCCCGTGAGCTTCACATATATATTTCTGATGGTCTTTGCATCTCTACCGGCTGTCACTTGGGCTTCTTAAAATTAGCTCGTCCACAACCTAAATGATTGCTTTTCTCTTGGAACTCCCCACTGCCAAAGTCAGAAACCTGGGAGTCACTCTGCTATCTTTCCTTCATTGGTCAGATCCTTTTTATTATACCTCCTGAGTATTTCTGGAAATCTTTTTGCTTTCTCCACTCTCCATGTCATTTATCTCTCCACATTACATCTTCAGCCTGGTATTTTTGCAACAGTACTCCCACTGGGCTTTCCGATTTCTATCTCATCCATCCATTTCAAGCACTAAGGAAGTGATTTTCAAACACATAAAGCAGGTGGTACTTGTGCCCTGATTATACTTTCTCAAGGAAGTTCTGTTACCAGGAGTATCATTTGTAAATTTCTTCTATTACGATTTTTTATTTATTTGTATTGGAAAGATCAGATTCACACAGAGAGACAGAGAGCAAGATCTTCATTCCCCAAGTGGTTGCAATGGTTGGAGCCGAGCCTGTCTGAAGCCAGGAGCTTCTTCTGGATCTCCACATGGTCCCAAGGTTTTGGGCCATCCTCTACTGCTTTCTCAGGCCACAATCAGGGAGCTCGATGGAAAGGGGAGCAGCCAGTATAAGAACCAGCGCCCATACGGAATCCCAAGGCTCGCAAAGAAAGGATTTTGCCATTGAGCATTTGCTAATTTCTTAGCAAGACATTCATGATACTTCTCACTCTGTCTCAGCCTCCTTTGCAACATACTCACCCACACTTTTCCCCATGTGTCATTTAATCATTCAGAAGGATTTGTCATCAACCCGGTACCAAAGACTTTCTTGTACCATAAACCTGTTATTCTACTCATCTGGAATGTTCTTCCTTCCCTTCCTCATTCTCTTACTGAATACCCAGCAAGTTAAATTCCAATATGACCTGTCTTTCAAGTCTCAAAGCAAGTGCTAAAACTGCCTTCATGATGCTATCTTCAATCTCTCTCAACCAATTCACAAATTTCTTTCCCTACATACCTAGCACATTGTCACTCACCTCTCTGATGACCCTAAGAACCATGATACTAACACTGTTAGTTTCATGGAGCCAGGAATGTGGCACAGAGGGTTAAGCTGCCACTTGCAACCAAGGTGCCAATTTGAGTTCCAGCTACTCTGCTTCTAGCTGGTCTCTCTGTTAATACACCTGGAAAAGCAGTAGAAGATATTTCAAATACTTGGGACCCTACCACTCAAGTGGGAGACACAGATGGAGTTCCAGCTCTTGGCTTCCTCCTGGCTCAAACCCTGGCTATTAGGGTCATTTGGGGAGTGAACCAGTAAAGGGATTTGCTGCCCTCCCACCCCACCGCCCAGCCCTTGATCACTCTGTCTCAGCAGATGGAAGGTTTATCTCAATTGCTCTCTCACTTTGCCTTTTAAATAAATAAATACATAAATCTTTTATAAAGAAAAAGAAAAGAAAAAAACTATTAGTACTCGGGTGTAGCAAGGTAAGCTGCTGTCAGCAGGGCCCCTTTCAATGCGGCTTCCTGCTAATGTGACTAGGGAAAGCAATGGAAGATGTACACACATGGTCCCTGCATGTGGGTACATGGACGATCTGAAGCTCCTGGCTTCAGCCTGATCCCACCCTGGCTCTTGTGGTCATCTAGAGAATAAATCAGGAGATGCAAGATTCTGTTTCTCCTCTGTCTTTCTCTAACTCTGCTTGCAAATAAATAAGTCTCTAGAAAAGCAAAAGAAACGGGAGGACAGCACTGGACACAGAACCAACCCAGCAATTGCAACCACCAACTGATTGGGGCGATGGACTGTGCCGGGCCCTGTACGTGCTAGTACATACAAGAATCTGGTCTGGGAACACCTCAGACAAAGTTTTTTTGGGAATCTCCCCAATTGAACTGCGGGACTCAGAACCGCAACCATGAAAAGACAGAGGACAGTACAAGTCAATCAACCATCTCAGCTATATGAAAAACTGGGCGGCGAGGTGCCTATGGACAAGGAGGAAGTTGTGGGACACAGAGAGTAAGCTCGTCCAGGAAAAAAAAAAACAAAAAACCATGCAGGCAAAGGCTTGGGAGAGGGTGCCCTACACCACCATGGAGCTTTCTAATAACGAGCCTAGAAAAGCAGTACAAGATGGTTCAAGTAACGAGGCCCCTTCCACTCACATAGAAAACAAGTATGGAATTCCAGGTCCTTTATTACGACCCGGTCCGCCTTATTGTGGCCATTTTTAGAGTGAACCAGTGACTGGAAAAAATAACCTATCCATGTCTCTCCTCTTCGCTCTGACATTCCGCCTTTCAAAATAAACACATTGGGCCCGGCGCGGTGGCGCAGTGGTTAAGGTCCTCACCTTGCACGCCCCGGGATTCCATATGGGCGCCGGTTCTATCCCGGCAGCCCCGCTTCCCTTCCAGCTCCCTGCCTGTGGCCCGGGAAAGCAGTCGAGGACGGCCCAAAGCTTTGGGACCCTGCACCCACGTGGGAGACCCGGAAGAGGCTCCTGGCTTCGGATCGGCATAGCATCGGCCGTTGTGCTCACTTGGGGAGTGAATCATTGGACGGAAGATCTTCCTCTCTGTCTCTCCTCTCTGTATATCCACCTTTCCAATAAAAAAATGATAAAAATAAATCTTTAACAAAATAAATACATCAGTTTTTAAAGATACAACAACAGGCCTTCTTGGTTTTCTCAGCACTGTCCCATTTCCAACCTGCTCATGGTTTTTAATTTTTTATTGCAAAGTCAGATATACAGAGAGAAGGAGAAATAGAGAGGAAGATCTTCCATCCAATGAATCACTCCACAAGCAGCTGCAACAGCCAGAGCTGTGCCGATCTGAAACCAGGAGCCAGGAGCCTCTTCTGGGTCTCCCGCATGCGTACAGGGGCCTAAGGCCTTCGGCCATCCTTGAGTGCTTTCCCAGGCCACAAGCAGGGAGCTGGATGGGAAGTGGGGCTGCAGGGATTAGAGCTGGCACCCATATGGGATCCCGAAGCCTGCAAGGTGAGGACTTTAGCCTCCAGGTTACTGTGCCAGGCGCAACATGCTCATGGTTACATGACCTAATGGCACTTGAATATTTATGTTTGCTGTGAAGGTGTGCTTTTCTTGAAAGCAGGTTGAATCTCATCAGGGTGAAACTTCATTTTCAAGCACTGTTGGTTTCTTGCTGACCCTGGGTGTTTTGAATCATGGTTCCTGTCGCTGGATCCTCAGCTCAACTCCTATCACTTGCAATCAAAGGAGTCAAGCATTTTGAACTGGAGGTGAAGCTGCGTACTTACATTTGCTGGCCCTAAATTAGGGATCTGGGGCTCGGGCCTGTTAGCTGGGTTAGTTGCTTGTTCTCTAATTCTGTTGCATTTAGATTGGGAAAGGGCCATGTTGCTCAAGAGGATGAAGACAAGATGAGATTCAGAACCAGAGGCAGTTTAAACAACCTCTTTGCCTAAGGCTTAGGCAGAGACTTGGAAA